ATAGTAGAATGTAACACACAAAATCATGTTGCAGACTTCTGCCCCACAGTAGCCTGCCACCGCCCAGATCCACCGCATAAGGTGCCAGCAGCTGATTGCGGCGGGTGCCAGAGGCCGACTTCTCAGACGCCGCCCCTGGCGGGAAGTGCCCCAGTACTCCTCAACACTCAGGAATCTTCCATTAAATCATACGAGGAACCCTATAGTCTTTGACCAAAGAATATTCCCGTAAACCACAGAAAGGAACCCTATTCTGTTTTAAGGAACCTTCCTTACTGAAGGGGTATTGGAGTTCCTGGAGACCTTCAGGAGACGGAGCTGTGGCTGCGGTGCAGCACCTGCGCTCCTTCGGCCGCCTCTTCGAGCGTGCCTCTGCCCATGAATGCCTTGCCCAGAGAGCCGCAAACCCGATTATATTCCTTATAAGGAATATACCCTTAAATCATACTAAGGAGGGGGGTGTGGGGCGGTGCGTGGGGGTGGCGGGGTGAGAAGGGGGCGGGAGCGCGGCTGTTCAGGCCCAAATGCAATGCCCCCCTAGTCCTGCTGCGTCGTGTGCTCCCGCACGCCTGTACCCATTCCAGTCAAAAAAGTGCCAAATAAAGGGGTGTTGTCTGGTTTGTGCTACCCAGACACCTACGGCCTCGGCGGACTAAGGGGCTTGGGTTGTTTGGGTGTAAACTGCATCATAAACCCACAGAAAGGACGAGGACAAGCTCGGATACCCGACTGGGTTGCTGTAACAAGTCCCCTTCTGAGGCCGATGCCCACCCTCCATTCGGGGTCCCAGGGTGGGGAGGACATTGTATCGCTTCAGCATCGGAAGGTCCGCTTGGGGCAGCGACCTCGCAATCCCTTTCTCCATTGGCATTGGCTAATTAGCTACATGCCACTTCAATACTCTTTGATCCTCCCCCCTTATTCTAACAGTCCTCAATAGGCAGGGTACTTACTAACCAGTTATAACTGTACTTATAACCATACAGTATTAGGGCACTTGTGGGGCTTATAAGTACAGTCATAAGCACAGCTACAATTGGTTAGTAAGTAGCCATGAACCTCCAAGTAGCATAACGGGGGAAGCATCCCAACTCTTCATGCGCAGCGGGCAGAGCCGTGTGTCAAGGCGAAGCTTCGCAGCTTGAGAGGATGCTGACAGCGCCGGCCGCGAAAGGGTAAAAGTGCCCTTAGGGTTGATAGGGTTGAGAGGGTTGATGGGGTTGATGGGGTTTAGGGTTTAGGGTTTAGGGTTTAGGGTTTAGGGTTTAGGGCTGCTCCGTCTTCCGGACGCAGCAGTAGGCCAGGTAGGCCCCTGGGACATTTTATGCTTTCCCTTGTTGGGTTTAAGAGGATCATATTCAGGAATGTTTTTCAGAGGGCTTTAAGGGTTCCTAGCAGCCGAAGAATGCCGAATATCTTTTGACCTACACAGCACGGTCGGTGTGGAGAATAGCCGCGCATGGCCGAGTGGCATCAAGTCCACTTGGCTCAAGCATGAAGCGCAGCTCCGTTCAGCTCAACGGTTTTCGAGGGCAGAACCCCCCACCTTGGCGCAAAAGACCCCAATTAAGCTTGACCCTCGCCCTAACAATGTGGGGGTAAAGCTTTCGTCGATCTTGCCACAGCCTTGCTGTGTCCACGTGCGGTCGCCGCTGAAAGGTGAGTTATTAGTTGAGCAGCCCAAATAGAGCCCCATGGTTCAGGTTGTCTGGTGTGTTTGCAGTCCGAGATGAATCCACCAAGCCATGGTGCCTTTTTCGCGCCTCCGTCGCTGGACGAGTCTCTGTCACAGGGTGCCCAGAGAGCTGGGGGCTATGCGGCTTCCCCTCCCCAAGCATCGGGGACTGGATGGACCGCACAGTCTGGTCAGCAGCCGGTTGTCCCGCATGGGGCGGCAAACCCTGCATGTCAGGATCATTGCTGTGCCCACGATACAGGAAGCGAGTCCGAGTCAGAGGTGACAGACCAACGACACTACGCGGATGTGTGCTATTCGCTGCTTGCATATGCAGAAGACGCGGAGTCTGACATTGAGAGCCTGGAAGAGGTTTTCAAGTGCATGGTGGACCCACACGACCTCGCACTTATGAAAGCTCCAGGTGTCAAGATCGTGGAAGAAATGCGCCGGCGCGCCAAGGTTAACGCAGAGTTTCTGACAATGCTGGTGCGGTCAGATGAAAGTATCCCGGAGTTCTGGGAGCTGCCAAAGGACCACCAGGTCCAGGAGCGGAACAGCGTGAAGGTTCGAACTGTGCTGCGGCAGTTTGTTCGTGACTGGGCAGACGAAGGTGCGGAAGAGCGCCGTTCTCAATACGGCTGCTTGCTCGAAGCGCTTCAAAAGTACATCCCCCTGCCGAAGGCCGCAAAGGGCCAACAAGTGCGAAAGCCAAGAGTCTTGGCCCCTGGAAGCGGGCTTGCTCGACTTCCCTTTGAGTGTGCAAGACTCGGGTACGCAGCTCAAGGGAACGAGTTCTCCTACCACATGCTGCAGGGCAGCAAGTGGGTACTCAACGAGACCACCACTGATCACACGCACACAGTATTTCCTTTTCTGCTTAACTTAGAGAACCGCAGAGACATTGGTGATCATCTGCGGGGGGTCTGCATCCCAGACGTTTGTCCTTCCGCCATCCTTTGCCCTCCGGGAGTGGAGACAACTCCCGAGGACCATCATCTCCTACACTGCACCTTTGCATGTGGGGGTTTACGATAATGAGGGACCCCTAAAATAGGCCCCCCAAAATAGCAGGATTCCCTTGTAATAAGCACCCCCCAATAAGTGCAAGAATATCGTAAACCCCCATGTAAGGCGCGGTCCATGCATTGATGAGTCCAGAGCCTGCCCTGCCTAGGCTTGACATGCGATGACATACATTCGCCTGCCAGGACTTCTCCATGTGCGCTGGGGAGTTTGTGGATGTTTATGAAGAGCAGTACGGTGCCTGGGACGTGCCTCGCCTGCACACGAAGGCTCTTCCTGCAGAAGCATGAGCCTTTGTGATCAGGCCGTGCTTACTTGCTTCTTCCTGGATACGGCGAAGAACGTGTTCCTCTACATTCGTACAATTGCAGACATCATCAGGCTCTGGTCCATGACCGCATGAGCACTTTGGTGGCAGACCGCCTTCTGTTGCTGCACGCTCTGCCCTGATAGGCCTGGTGGCCTTTGGACAAACATAGGGCCGCCGCCTGGCATCTGATGGCTAGCACCCCGCTGTGTCCGGTCCGGGCGCACTTACTGAAGCACCAGGTGCGTTTTGAGAGGGTCATGTGTTTGCATATTAGCTCAACATTCCGGCTACTACTTAGGCTGCTGTACCACTTCGCAGAGCAGCCGGACAATGCCCACTCCTCAAGCACTGCCTAGTCGAGGGCCTGGGCTCCGAGTGGATTTCAGTGGGTTTGCAGTGAAGCCACACCGTTTCTCTGGTACAGTTATGCCAATGGCCCCGAACCCTAAGCAATAAACCCTTACTAAACCCTAAATTTTAAACCCTAAGGCCCCAAACCCTACACCATCTGCGATCTTCTGGTCTTCCTTGCGGCCATGCCAAGTCTTGATTGGAACCTCCAAAACCCCCCCTCCCCCCTACGCATTCCCCAAACAACATCTCGGTGCCGGAAGCCCTTCGCTTAGGGATCAGACACCATCTACGTGCCGACTGGGAGGTTCAGGGGTCGTGATAAGTAGGGTGAGAACTGATGATACTTCTAGCCTAAGTTAGTGTGCTTAGAACCCTAATTCTGACAACTCTAGAACCCTACTTCTGACAACTTTTATGAGCCTCCATGTGTTTTCTGAAAGCTCGTGGAAGCCGGCGTCGTGCTCAGATCTCCATTGAGCTGAGCTGGGAAGAGATCAAGCCGGCCATCCAGAAGTACTTCGTATTCAGGGAGGAGGACTTGCAGACTTCGTAGAGAGCTGCTGCTGCATCGGATGCAGCGCAGACCCCATTAGGCCGCGCCTGCTGCCGAGGGCCAGAATTCACAGGAGTCAGACTCGCACCCCTAAGGATGTACCCCTAAAGGTTCTCCTTAAAATAATCCCAGTATGGCCCTTATAATCCCTTAGGGGTCCTTACAAAAGGGACCCCAACCCAAGGGGTACAACCTTGAGGGTCCGAGGTAGAACCCCTGGAAGAAAATAAGCCGGACTACACATGACCCTGCACCAACGAGCAGCTGCCGGTCTGTCTGTAAAAGCTTGGGGACAAGTTCCCCCTCATGCTCCTACACATCCTGAAGGCGCTAAAGCAAGCCTTCAGGAGCCGCCGTTTGAAGACGAAGAAGCAGCAGAAGCGAGAAGAAGAAGAAGAAGAAACAACAAGGCAAATAATTTTGCCAAGACCAGAGAGGGAAGGAAGGAACCGAGCAAAGGAGGCAAAAGAGTCACAAGGCAACTCTGAAAATGATCACTTCAAGTCCAGTGCCCTCACGTTTTAGTTTTCAGGATTCGATTTTGCACCGGCTTCCAGCATGCTCTCTCATAAGTGCGCGACTATTTGCTGCCCTGAGAGGATTTCCGGGAAGGCTTCTACACCACCAACAGCAAGTGCCTGTACCGAACCCGCAACTCGGCGCCGAATCGCACACTCGTGGCGATCCGCAAATCTCCAACTCCAGCTTGGCCTCAAAGACTGCTTGGTTTTGAGCCGCAAAGTTGCTTTCCGTCGCGCCAAGGATACAAGTGCATCTTCTTTGCTGCGATTCGAAACGACATCGATACCGATGGTGAGTCGCATCCAGTGTACACGTGATCGCTTCTGATATCGAAAAAGAGCCCGGGCGGGATGGAGAGCAATGCAGGAAGCCAGGATTAGAGCAGCGTTGCTTCTGAAGGGCGTAAATGCATCGGATATCTGTATCTGCGAGCAGCCATTCTGGGGTCATTTTTTAGGCCGTCATGGTATGCATGATGCAGGCATGGGTTATTGAAGCGTTGTCATGGACCTCGTTCCGGCAGTGAAACCTGAGCCTCAATCTCCAGCCCTCTGGTGCAGGCGTGCCTGAAGCACCAATCGTCAGCTGCAAGCTCAGGGTTCACAAGCAAAGCTGCCGAACCTTCCATTCCAGTTCGGGGGGGGGGGGGGCAATTCTTTGGTCTTGCCGGGCTTGGGACAGTGCAGGTTGTTCCTGTTTGAAGCCAATTCCGGGGCAACAATTTAGGTATTGCTTGCTGCATCAGGCCTTGCCACAGGCCTTGTGCAGTCACCGCAACCAGGTCCGGCGAGGGAAGAGATGGAGGCTGGAGACATCTCCCCGCCGCCGGCACGAGGGTCCGTGCCCCAGAAAACCGTACTGGTACCGCTTTTCGGTCGGAAGGCTCCATGTTGCCATCGTGGCCCTTCGCTTGTCAGGACCTTTCTCGACCTGAGCGTGGAGGTCGGGCTGGCCTTTGCTGTGCGAATGGGATCAGGGGTTTCAGCGAACTGCAAGAAAGCTGGTCTGCTGTGTTTCGGGGTGGGGTCGGTGGCCAAAGGGCCGACACAGAGGAAATGCTTTCACGATAACGACTATTGAGACATTTCTATTTGGGGGTTTCCTATCTCGATAGCACTTCGAAGTATACCGAAGACAGTAGGACACTCTGGTCGGCCAAAAGCTGTGAGTCTTGTTGATGCAAATGCCACCAGTAAGGTTTTGAACCCGAAGCAGTACACAACAACACAATCACAAACATTGAGCCACTAAACGCCAAAAGAGCCAACAACAAAAGCCTAGGCCCTGAATTTATCCCCCTGAGGCTTAAACCACATCATATTAAAAACCCTGAGCCCCTCAGGCGCTTAGCCCTAAGTTTACTAAACACGCCCCCTCCAGGCTACATCCTAAAGCCCTAAGCCCCTCATGCCCGAGCCACAAAGCACCCTCTAAGCCCTTAATAAACCCTCAACCCCAACGCCCGAACCTCCTCAACCCCTAAACTTAGATCCCTCCAGCCCGAGAACATCAGCCCTCAGCCTCATACCATTCATCCCGTCAACATCTCAACGTCAGCCTCCGAATAGCCCGAAACGCCTCCAGTTGGTAGCTGCTTGTCAGGCGCCCTCCGAACTGGTGGCGACGCCCCAGCGAGGTCCCCCGCCCCCCCTCCATCGACACAGGTCGCTGATCCCATTGCTGGACTGTCACAGTTGTATTGCATTCTACCTTGGGTTGCCTTGAATCCCATAAAGCTCCGGACCCTTAGGTGCGCACTCCAGCCCTACACCCCAAACCCTAAACCCCAGAAGATCCAGGCTGACGAGCTTATTATAGGTTGCCGCATGTGCAGGCGACCCAGTGGCTGACGGCACCACCGTCGTCGAGGCACTCTGCATGTCATGAAACCTGAAGTGCAACCCCGCGCCGCAAGGGATTTAGGGTTTAGGGTTTGCGGTTTAGGGTTGAGGGTTGCCTGCTGCAAACATTGCTGAAACCTTATACCGAGTAAATCTTTCGAGGCAGCTGGACCGGTGGTGCTGCAGGCGACCTGCACAGTCTGTGTGCACACATGTGGACGCTACATGAGACTCCTGTTGCTAGTCATCATGGCTCCTTCAAGCGTGCGACATGGTTTCCTGCAGTGCCTTCTGATTTTGCTGGAAGATCGCATGGCTTAGCTGGAGTGAGAAACATGATTTTTATCAACGTCTTGTGCCAGGCCGCCGACTTCGGCTTTGCGGAGGAGGAGGCGCGCGGTTCTTCAAATGATTTTGCCTGTGTGGCATAGGACCCCACGGTAGTCAGGATCATCTTGTGCCGTTTTATGTTTATGCATTTGCTTCAGGTATAGGAGCGGATGCGGTACAAACGATGCAAGCACCGGGCATCACATCCCCATTGTACGCGAAGGAAGAGTCCCTGAGAGGGAACGCCTGGCAGATACTAGCGGGGTCGGAATATGTACTAATAATTTTAACGCTACGCGACCCGCCTCGGCCTGGCCCAGCACAGCGCCCGGGGCGAGCATGGCGCGCTGTGCTTCCACGGGCGGCAGTAGCCAGCGCGTCGCTCCAGGAAAACCTTCCGCCTTTCACGAATATCCTACAGTGGCTTTGGAAGCGGGATAGGGGGGGCGTGGAGGGGGGTGGGGTGGGGGGGGTCGGGGGGGGGGTAGGGTGGGGGTAGGGGGGGTAGGGGGGGTAGGGGGGGGTGGGGGGGGGGGGGGGGGGGGGGGGGGGGGGTGGGGGGGGGGGGGGGGGGGGGGGGGGGGGGGGTGGGGGTGTGGGGGTGGGTGGGGGGGTGGGAGGCGAAAAGGGAGGGGCCTGCTGGGCCCGAGGCCTCGGCGGATATTCCCTTATAGTCCTTTTGTAATGAAACCACAATAACCCCCCCCAAAACCCTATTCTAATGTTTAAGGCCCTTATAGTACTCCAGCTTCCGGAGGACTCGGCGAGTGCCTCGTCGGGAGCTTCCACACCGCGGGACACCGGTGCGCGAGTCAGCAAGCAGAGGGTTCAGACAGCATTGAAAGAGTATTGAAAAAATTATTATTATTATTACTACTACTACTGCTACTACTACTACTACTACTACTAGTATTATCATTATCATTATTATTATTATTATTTCCATTATGGTTATTACTGTGTCAAGGACATAGTTAAGTCTCGAAGTATACTTCCGCTATCTTGTCCGCTGCTGGCTGTCTGTGGGAGGGCAGCACTTGCGAGAATCGTGCTGAGCTTTGGGTCGCGGTCTTTGTATGAGAAAGCTTTTGGTGCTGCTGTTCTGAAGGTGCCGTTGTGGCGGCTGACGCGCCCTCCCCTGCTGCTCATGCGACCTGGTTGCAAGGCGCCGTTTCTTCCTCACGCTACTTGCGCAAGGGCTTTCTAGCTTCAACCTTCAAACTCCGAAGCTCGGCCTCAAAAGCCTACGCCTTCCGTGTGTGTTTCCGGGATCGATTTCGCTCATTTTTTCTTGTGCTGAGGGTGGTCGGCGTCCTTCGGGGACCTATGGTGACCGCCACGAGGGCATGTCCATGAAGGATACCGCACCAATTGCAATCTTCATGGCAATGGATGCTTCAACCGGCGCTTCGCAGATCAGGGAGTCTTAGACGTGCAGGCCTTCTCACTTAGGGCGGAACGTGGGTTGATTCAGGAGTTCAGGGTTTACGGGTCGTAGGAGGGTACATGGGGCCTTCTTTGAAGGGTTCTGAAGCATGGGCCGTATGGGGTACACAAGGGTTCCCCAATCAAGGGCCCATTCTGCTTCCCAAAGAACCCAATACCCCTTAATTAAGGTACATACCTTAAATCATACTACGGACCCCTTTATAGTTAAACCTGAAATCCTAAACCCTAAAAACCCTAAACCCTAAGCCCTAAGCCCTAAACCCTAGCATTCCTTAATTAAGGGGTTTTGGGCTCTCTGGCCCGGACTGACTTGACCCGTCGATGCGGACTCTAAAGGAGCGGCTCGACAGCCTGGAGTTCTCTGATGAGGAGGAGGTGGGGTTTGGGGTTTAGGGTTTCGGGTTTAGGGTTTAGGGTTTAGGGGTTTAGGGTTTAGGGTGTGGGGTTTGGGTTCAGGGTCATTTGTAAATTTAACTTGCTGGTCTGGATCTTCAGCGCGTGTCAGAACGCGTGTGGCTGGAGAGGCTGCGCGGGCCCGGTAGTGTTCCGCATGAGATTGCACGAGCACATGGAGTAAACCCTAATCCCGAAACCCGAATATTCTCAACGACTAAAAGACCGCTCGCCGCCAGGATGACGATGACCCACTTGGCCTCAAGAAGTAGGAGCCGGACTTTGCTGAGGTCGATCTGCTTTCTGTCCTGTATCGGGTTGCCACTTTCGACTTTCGAGTCTGAATCACTGAAGGCGTGAAGGGACGTCCCTTGCCTAGCGGCTCTTTCCCAAGGCCCTTGATTAAGGAGCATTTACACCTCAGCTACCACTCATCGCACATGCTAGTACGCCAGACTCCTCCACAAAGGTCCTCTGCCTGGAACGGTTTGTTGATTGAGCTTGTTCCAGTGGATGAACTGGTCGGACAGCCAGGCCAAGTAAATCGCACTGTGCTGTACTTTTGTCCTCCGTATCTTCTCGTTTTAGCTCGCATGCGGTTCCTCATGCTATCGGGCTCTTGGTAAGCAAGCCAAGATACGAGTGAAAGAAGAGCTGCTTGGGTGGGTTTGTATAGCACTCTAAGCGTATAGTAGGCATCTTTTGAGCAAAGGTTACAATCATTTTTTTGGGGCGGGGAAACTGTGGTGTAGGAGTTGTGACCTCCAACCCTTGATGGCAGCGCCTTGCCGCGAGGAACATCCTGCATCTGATCACGGAGTTTTCAAGCTGGATGCCTCCAACACATCAGTATGCCATTTTGGTTAGTGCATCACCAGGTCCTTTCTCCTCCGGTAGATTTCACAGGACGCATCTGGCACGATGCTTTGCCGTCACTGTCACATTGTGCAGAATCACTGCGCAGTTTGTAGTGACATCACAGGTTTCGTTTCACTAAGCATGAGCCAGACGTGCATTTTCTGGATTGCTGATTGCGATCTGATCATGATTCTCATAAACGGTAGCAAGATCAATTTCAGGAGACCATGCCATGTCGACCTACCCCTGAAGATTGTCGACCAAACAAGGCTAATTAAACTTGTTGACCCCATGGGCTTCTGATCTTCTGTGCATGTGCAGGTTCATAGGATCCTACCCACGCTCGACGTCTCGGACAAGAAACAGCGAAAGCGAACAGAAAGCTCTCAGAAAGAAGCACATGCAGCGGGCGCCGTCTGCTTGACTCACTGCTTGGGATGACGCCCCTTATACGAGCAGTCCTTAATAGGGATTATCGTACCCCCCTATTATAGTCCCTATTAAGCACTGTTACTACCAGGGGGAACATCCCAACTCCTGATTATATGCAAGCCCTGAGATCGAAGACATGGTTGTGCTGGACAACGTCTCAGAGCACATGCTCGGACATGTCTACTGCAAGTGCCCCTTGCTGTGTTTGAGGTCTCTTCCTTTGGCGTCCTTGTTCCTCCAGAAGAAAGTGACATGCAACCTGGGTATCCCTGGGTATCCCTGGGTATTGCTGCGTATCTCTGGGCATCCAGGTACTTCAACGATGACGATGCTGCCAAGGCTCAAGATCATAATCCTTGAGTCCTTGTGATATATCCCAAGCCTCAAGCTTGCTTCCATCGGCTCTACAGATTCTGATGCTGAGCTGAGTCAAGGTTATGATCAGCATCCTCAGGAGAGCAGCCCCAAGTGTCTTGATCATTCTGCAGCGCAAACCCTAAACCCTAACCCTCAACCCTAAACCCTAAACCCTAAGCACTCCTACCAGGCACAGCAACAGATGTCTAACCGCTTCTATGGCAGCCGCCTTGTCAACGTAGAGCCCGCCCGTCCTGCTTCTGTAGTGACCTGTTGTGCGGTACCTTGTTTCTGCTTTCTAGGGTTTAGGGTTTAGAGTTCAGGGTTAGGGTCCCGGGTTCTTGGCGCGCATGTGTCGAACGATTTTCAAGCAGCTTCCGACGACTTCTCCTCAGGCAAACATCGGTAGAGCCATGTACTTAGCTGTTGAGCTCAGGTGCACCAAGTTTACATCAGGCGTCATTTCATAGGCTACCCAAAGAGGGTCCAAACGTTCGAGAACCCTAAGCCTTATAAGCCCTATAAATCTATAAACCCTAAACCTTTCTGTTGACATATTGCAGGCTCGCAGATGTGTGCCAGTGAACTCCCAAGCGCGTGCAGACGAATAAAGGGCCCGGACTCGGTAGCCTTGCAGTATGAGGATGTACGTAGATGAATATGCGTAGATACATGAACACAGAATTAAATACATCAACGGTAAATACAAGGAAAAAAGTACATATATGTACATATATATATATATCTCATTCTGTACCTATACATTTAAATATACGCACATCGAATTCTTACCTCCATGCTCCCATGCATTCCATCATCTTCGATCTATGGGGCGCGGGATGGCGCGGGGCTTCGGGTTGTGGTAGAACACGGTAGAACATGGTTGTTTCCGAAATTCTGGGTACCTTATCGGGGTCAATCTTATAAGGGAGTCTATTGTAGGGTACCCCGGGTACCCCCCTATTTTCGTAAGCTTTCACATTGGGGTCGCTGGTCTCTGACTCTTGCCAGGTTCAGCCCTGTTGCCGACTTTCGAGAAGCTCGGTGTAGGGCTTTCCACGAGCATCTTGGTCGCCAAGACACAAGACAGAGGGCTCTTTCTGCACCATGGGAGTTGGGATTGGGATTCTTTGGAGTTGGTGTGGTACGTGTGGGGGTGGCTGAAGTCAAGTCAGCATCCTTCGGGGAAGGAATACTTTCAGACAAAAAAAGAGAAGTCAGACAAAACAAAGAGAAGTAGCCCCCCCAAACCATGGGTACACTAAATTTGATACAATATCTGAGGGTAGCTACATCGTCCTTTAATATGGGCCCTTAATTGGGGAACCCTTATATAACCCCTATACACCCTTTAAGATACCCATGGTGCCTTCTTCGGGGCCCTCCAAGGACGCGGTGCGCGCGCGGTGGCATGTGCAACTTCATGCACATCAAGCATATACCCAAGGCCGGATGCCAGAAAGCAGCTGGAAACCTCTTGAATTTAGCCCAGGATCCAAGATATGAAGTTGACAACCTAGAAGAGACTACTATTTTCTTAAGATCCACCCCCGAAAAAACTATTCTTCCTTATAAGGGCAATATAGGATTATTGGTTTATAGTTTTTGGTTGCGTTTAGCAAATAGTTTAAATAGTAGGAGCTCAGAGATCTCCTATCAGAGGCGGTGAAGCGGAGCATTGTGCGGCAGATGTATGAAGCGCACCCCGACTATGCAGGCAGCCAGCGCAAGTCATCTGTTGAGTTGTTCTCACGCTTCCCTGCTTGAAGTCATGCCCTGGACTGCTTGCAGACGTGCCTTTTGCCTTTTTGTCTTGCAACGTCGAGCTATCTGGAGTGTGGGCTCGCTTTCGACATCCTGTACAAAGGATCCCAAAATCGAGCTACATGGAATTCTCTCGACTTGTACATATATACAATGATACATAGTTATACATATGTGTATATATGTAATTATATGTAATTATGGGTATAATATACAGTCATATTACTTGTAATGTGGTTTTGTATAACTACAGCAGAACAAATGCTGCGAGGTGCCAAAGCGGCGCTCGCTGGGCAGCCGCCAAAGAAGAAGCGAAAGGCACTCTGGGAGCGCCTTTCGACCCCTCTGCGCCGTCTTTTTTCGGGTTTATGGGGTGTTTAGGTGGTTTTTTAGGGTTTTGAGGGTTTTGAGGGTTTTTAGGGTTTTAGGGTTTTAGGGTTTTTATGTTTTTCAGGGTTTTTAGGGTCTTTAGGGTTCAGGGTTTAGGCTGGGGGTTCTTTCGCGAGCCTTCTTGGAGATTATGGGTAGCTATAAGTAGGGTCATGAATATGGTAGCAATACTGACCACCCTACTTATGACTACCCATGAGCCTCCAAGTTTTTGTGATGTGCGAATGTCTTTGGATCCTTGGCCGGTTGCTCTTTATTGCTCTTAAGACTCAGGGATGCTGACAGTGACTTGATGTTGGGTGGAATCTGTAGATTCGGTAGCTGCCGAAAGAAAAACAGCGAGCACAAGATCCCCAGGGTGCAAGCTGGCATTTTTTTTTACAAAAGGGCCCGGTATGCAACACAAGACTGCGCAGACCGCCTCCAGCAGATTGACAGACAGCCCAGCACCCGGAACGCTTTCAGACTTACTGTAATCCTAGGGTCAACCCTACCAAAGCGCGCCTAACTCCATAGCCCGAACACCCCCACCAAAACCTTGAACACTGCTTAATGCACAGGTGCACGCCACCAAGGACAAGACCATGGAGGCTCAACACTGCCTCCTCTACTACAAGTCTTGCTACACGTAGTTTCAGGGTTCTGGCACCAAATGTCTCACTTCTGCCTTCCAGTTTTCCGCATCTTCGATTTTCCGGCCATGCCGTTTGATTCTCGGGCTGGATTTCCAAGAAGCTTCCATTTTCAAATGTCCGGGTTCTTCGCGCAATACCACTTTCGCATGTCGAATGTCAAGTTTCGCATGTGTGAGCGTGCGTTTGTTTCCCCAGACCCCAACCGGCAGGAGAGAAAGGCAATGATCGCGGAATGGAACAAGGAGCGCATCGCCGAAATGCAGGCGCAGCAAAGCCTGTGACAGCTGCAGCATGCTGCAGTTTTTTGCACAGCTGAGTCGCAGGGGGGGGGCGGGGAGAGGGTTAGCGTTTAGGGTTTCGGGTTTCGGGAATAGGGTTTGGGGTTCTGCCTGTTCTGCCCTCATGTCAAAGTCAATTGGGGTTTGGGGCTCATGTTTGCCACCGTGACAGGGCGCCACGCTGCGATGAACCACCTGGATGACCCAAGACGCGATATTGTCAGAAAGAGATGCTTAGCAATAGGGGTTTTGTGGTTTAGGGCAAAGTTTAGGGGTTTTGGGGTTTGGGGAAGTCGGTATTCCTGGTGCCTTCCAAGCAGATGGCACCGAACTCGAAGAAAGAATCATGCGTGAGTAATTCTGGAGCCGGAATGCGGCAAGATCGAATCCAAGGTGCTTGGGTTTTCTTATTTCTGTAGCCTGTCTACTAGCGGCCTTAGCGCGTGCAGGTCTCTCCCAACCATCCTTTCCTTTGTTGAGCGGTGGGTGCATGGGGCACAAGAGTGAGGCGTGCTGTAGATAGGAGGATTGCATGTCATCATGTCGACTTGAGCCAAAGCAAACAAAGGAAGGGAAAGTGCAACGTCGACCTCGTGTTTTGATGTTCGGCGATATGAAGATGAGGATGCTCCTCCCCGCGGAACTGCAAGAGACATCTTGTGTGAGCGCCTACCATCTTGCGACTTCCCCAACACAACAGTTGCCTGAATTTACAGCCCAGCCCTTAAACTTAACCTCCGGCTTTCACTTCGCTGCAGTATGGAATTCCCCAAGCCCGACTCCGATTATGTAGGCCCGCGCCTGACGAACCCCTAAACATCCAAAGCCCAACCACCTCCCGCGCCAGCGGCTCAAACGGAGGTCTTTCGGTACGGTCCGCATAGATTTTCTCAAGAAGCTTTTTTTGAAAAGCGAACCATGGCCGTCCGAAGCCCAGCTCACCCGAGGCTGAGGGCTTTCATCAACAAAAAGGGATAAAAAGGATGTGGGGGTTTCCGAAATGAGGGCTACCTTGTTGCGGTTCTTATTGTAAGGGAATGCTACTATTTGGGCTCTATTTTAGGGGTCCCCCATTTTCGTAAAGCCGCAGGTAAGGATCGAGGCAGTTCGAGCCTGATCAGGTGAAGAAGGGAAACCGGCTGTCGGTGGGTTCGGCGTCTGCCGTAAACCGCAACCCGAGAAGATGTTTGAAGGCAGTCACGAGCCTCTCGGTCCTAGCAGCCTTTTCCACAACTAAGATCTGTTTCCTAGCAGCCTTTTCCACAACTAAGATCTGTTGCAAACGAGGAGGCTCATGGATAACTTGTTGCCGTTTTCAAGAGGCTTCGACGATGTTCAATGCACACCTCTTCAAGCTTACCCAGTGGTGCTTAGAGATCTTAGACTAGCTTTACAGGTGCGAAGTGCTCCATGCTCCAATAGAAGGCAACAAAGTGGAACGGTTGCGACTATGGACATTTAGGAGTTTTAAGCAGGGAGGCTGGACAGACAGAACCCAGCCGAGGCCAAGACTCTCTCCGTTGCCGCCGCCGCCGCTGCGGGGGTGTGGCTGTGCAGCGAGGCATTTGTGCCCGGCGCGCAGGTGACTCGCGAGGTCCAGGCCGGAAGCTTGCGGAACAATTGGGGGTGGGGGGGGGCGGGGGGGGGTCGAGGGCGGGCTTGGTAATCGGCTCGCTGCAATTCGGGCATGAACTGAAAAGGTTCTCAACGCAGGCTCGAGGATCGAACTGTTCACCGGCCGTTGCCAGGCGCCGTCCCACCTCCGCAGCGGCACGCGGGGCCGGCCCGCGGCCTCCTCGGGTCTGGCCAGCACCGCCACCGCCGGCGCCGCGCTGCTCGCGGCCGGCGCCTGCGCCGCCCGCAGCCGCAAGGCCACCACGGCGCCTCGCCCGACGAGAGGGTTCAGTGGCACCGGGCGGGAAGGTGGGGGGGGGACACGTGTGCAAGTCGCGCCGCCGAGGTCTGCAAGTCTTTCGAGAACGAGGTGGGTGTGACTCTGCCCATGAAGTACTTCGACCCCCTCGGCATGGCCAAGGACGCAACGGAACTGTCGCCTGTGATATCTGGTGAAGGCAGGCGAGGCAAACATGTCATTCAGGGTAGGGGCAACTCGGCCCAATGCGGAGTTTTGCACTGCCCAGGACGACGATTCCGATGACTTCCGCCGCCGCCGAATGGCCGAGGTCAAGAACGGTGCCTCAGTGACAATACAGAACATGCTAACTCGGTGATGCATTGCGCCCGCTTAGGACGTGTGGCCATGCTTGCCTGCATGGGCTATATCGCCCCGGAGTACTTCCGACTGCCCGGACTCTGCAGCCCCTCCAAGGGCAAGCTTCCTCAGAGCTTGCAGTTGTTCATGCTGCGACAAGTTGTGCTGGATTTGGATGAGCTCGTGCTGCCATTTCATAGGGTAAACTGCAACCTGCCTACATGCTGTACTTATATGCTTACCCGCTGTGAGCCAGTCAGGCCTGGCATTTGCGGACATCCCCAACGGCATCCAGGCGCTCTACAAGATGCCCGCAGAGGCTGGATTAGCTCGTGTCGAGCTTTCCCCGGAAGGCCACAACATGAGCAGCGTTTTTTGTCCCGTGTGTAGCCCTGTATGGGTGTAACATCGCCTTCTCCCTGCGTAGCCATAGCCGTTTTCTATGGGGTGCATAGGTGCGTGTCGGCATGGATATGGGTCCGATCTGGCGATGAGGGCTTTATAGGGAATGCTCGGACGTTCCAAGCGGGGATCGTGTGGTATGCATCATTACCAATACGGCCGTTTGACTTACATACTTATAAGTCAGCTAGTCAGTTAGTAACATATAAGTCCAACCTAAGTCCGACAAGAACACTTGTTGAGACAGCCAAGAGAAACCTGGAATCTGAAAAGCATGGCACCATGGCTGCGATTGACCTGAGTCAAAGAAAGCACAATCGGCAAATGCCAGCACCGCCACACGGCCATTTTCTCTAATTCAGTGCCCGTGTCCACAGCAGGGCCTGCAACATTCTTAATTATGCCCATGAGCCCGCGGACATCCGCGGAGACATGCGCGGACACGCCGCGGACATGCCGCGGACATGCTCTGTGCACGTCCGCGCCGCGTTCCACGCGAATGCTCAAACTTCGGCCAGCGAACCGTGGAAAGCATAAGTAGGTCAAACCAACAAAAACCGATGGACTTATGAGTGACTTGTATCCCAGATACACAACTTATAGCTCAGATAAAGCCCACGTATAAATCACTTATAACCAAACGGCCGTACTGGTATGCATCTGTAGAAATCTGCGTATAAGACATGATCCTGGTTTTATTCGGTGTCTTCATTGATGTCCTTGTACCTATTCATTGCTGCTTGCCGGCCTGTCCCCAGCGACCCGAACTTTGCCATATCCTGTACAGGACCCCACATGGTCCCAGAACCGAGCCTTCAGCCTGACAAGAGCCAAAAGTAGACCCAAAGCCACGCTTTATACTGTCGCTCATGGAGCGACATCTATCCTCGATGAACATGATAAGCCGCTGTCTGACTGCAGAACCCCCAGACTTCTCCACCCCAACCTCAACCCCCAAAACCTTGTAGCAGCAGGGATGGGCACAGATCGCCATCTTCATCGGCTTCCTGGAGTTGTTCCCAATGAGGCATGGGAGTCTTTGAAGCCCCAAAATTTAATGACCCCGGCGAATGAAATGCCGCCTCTGACCACAAGTTCTTCGGAACCTACAGGAATTCCTCGAAGCCTTTAGACCGCCCAAGCTGCCCAGGCAGGAGAAGGACCGCATGCCGGGCGACTTCCCTGGCTTTTCCAAGCTGGGCTTCGTGGGCGGCTCGGCCCCGGCTGTGCCTGGGCCTGGAATTAATTGAGGGCTTCAGGGCCTTCGGACTTTGGGGCTTAGGCCCGTCGGGTTTCAGGGGCAAAGGCCTTGTTCCAAGGGCACCAAACCCCAGAACCCTCGACCGCCAACCTCGACGCCCGGGTCCGAGGACCCTTCGGCCAACCAGCGCGGCTTGGACTCGGAGCTGAACAACGGCCGCCTCGCGCCTCGGCCGGAATTTCATGCCTCGCGGGGTTTCCCGAGGGGTTATTGAGAGCCTTTGACGCATCTGAAAGGCTATGGTGGCCATCACCGGCATGATCGCTCAGTGCCTGGGCGGGAAGTGTTGGTGAGTTGCATGCTGCGCTCAGTTTCGGAGACTTCGAGCTGCGAATTCAGGATTTGCACAGGACATGCAGGTGTTTGGACAGCGCATACGGGGCCGCAGGAACACGTGCGGAGGCACTATAACAAGCGGGGTCAGAGGCAAGAAAACGTAGGGCTTGCTTGCTGCCAAGCAGCCACAGGAACGCCTTCTTCGGCACCACTGGCCCTACCATGTGGCTGCCATGAGTCACGAGGCGCCCCGGGCAAAAGCTTCGGTGGCTGCTGCGTTTCAGTATTTGGTGGTGAGAATCCTTTTGCTGGTGTCCAAGTTTCTGGCCTTTTGAGCACGTGCTTTTCCGGACTTGCCTCGCTCAACATGAAACTAGCCAGTGTTGAAGACGAGGTTGGGGGTTCACAGGGGTGTAGGGGTTTTAATTCATGACGCAGGCCAAGTGGTGCAAGATGAAGACACCTCACGCAAGCCCCCAGCCTAAACCCCTTGAATTAAGCCCTAAATACCATCCTAAACTCACATATGGCCGAGACTCGAGCCAAGCAAAAAATGCCTCTGGGGAACCTTAAAACCTTTGTGGCCCTGCTGACCATGCTCCAGAACGCCGTGGGATCCATGTGGCCGGGCAAGTGGCTGCCGGCCGGGACCCCTGCCGAATGTCAGAGCTGATGTGGGGCTCATCGGCTTTATAGGAGTTTGTTTGGGTTGACCAGGATTTGGGGTCTGTATAAGTGCTTATGCTCATCAGGGTTACTCAGGGATTAATGGGCGTTGTGAAGTTTTGGGTTTGGGGTTGAGGTTGAGGTTTCGGGTATATACGGCTGGGGCTTAGGGTTCAGGGTGCAGGAGTTTCTTCACCTAAACTCAAAGCTATGGCCTTCAACCAACACAAACCTCGCCGGCCTCGTACAAGCACAGGTGCGGTAAAACCCAGGTTGGTTCTGAGGCGTGTAGTGCGTGTAGTGCCTAGAGAGCCCAACCCAGAGACTCCAAGACGCCCTGAAGTAAGGAATATAAGTGAGGAATATTCCTTAAACCATAATACTGGGAACCTTTTCATATGTTAAGGAATATTCTAATGAAGGGGGATTGGTGGGAAGTACACCTTGAAGGGTAGGTTCGCGCATAGAACCTTTACATGGTTGGCCTCCATAGCTGCCAAAGATGTCCTTCTTCGGGACCATGGGACCCCTAAAAGTGAATCCAAGACCGTAGAGCCTTTAGGGTTTAGGGTTTAGGGTTTAGGATTTAGGGTTTAGGGTTTAGGTAGCTTTTGGGCTCTAATGGAGTGCAAGCTCTTCAACCCTTGAACTCTTAGTCTCGCGCTGAGGCCTAGGCGACTTGACGTCTGGCCTGAGCGCTTTTACTTCCGCGGCTAAAGTGGAGCTGTGAGTTTTGCTTTTGTTTGTGGGGTTGGGGGGGTTGGGGGGTTGAGGGACCAAGTGTCCAGAACGCAGCGCGCGTATGGGGCGTGATGTGAGATATAGGGGCGACTCGGCCTACCCGGAAACCCTAGAAAACTCATAGCTCTAGCAGGGTCAAGTCCGACCTCGACCTCGAGTTTGAACATCGGTGTGCATTGAAGAAGATCATGTTCACCGATCACGTGCCACCGCAAGAGGCACTCGGGGTTGAGAGTTTAATCCGTGTAAAGCCCGAATGCAACCGTTTGTTGAACATGTGGAGGCCGACGTGCAGCCCGGCCCTTAAAGCTGCAACGTACTCACACCCTCAAAGCCCTACTCTCCCCCTCGTTGCTTGTGTAAAGTAATCAGGCCATGCTCTGACTCAACATTCAGGCCACTTGCCTGGCCTGCAGCCTGAACCCTAAACCGGGCCTTGTCCCCGCGGCAATGGCTCGACCGGAGGTGTTTTTAGGTCCCCGTAGATTTTCTCAAAAGCTTCTATTGAGACGTGAACCATGGCCGCCCGGAGCCTAGCTCGCCTGCATGGGATCTGGTTAGGGCTTAGGATGGCTTTCATCACCGTAGTGAGGGCTCAGACCTCCCATGTGAGGTAGCAATTGGAGAGAGGTTTGCAAGCAGTTGGGGCTTACCTACATGAAGGGACCTCGCAGGCAGTCCTGAAGCAGGACGGCAAAGAAAGCTATTTTCAGTAGGCCCGGTGCCATTCAAGTTCAACCCTAGAAGATGGACAAGCTCCCGACACATGTCTTCCGCTAGCATTCACGGGCCTCTCGATCAGATGGTAGCCTCGGATTCCCAGGATCCCTTGCAAACGAAGAACCTCCGCACTTGGTGTCTTTAGGGTGGAGCAGGGGGCGCAAGCTTTGCAACATGCACCCATCAAACTCACAACCTATATCCTGGGTGTTCCTCTAGAAGCGTACCCAGTGGTGCTTCGACAAGCTTTGCAAAGTTCACCGAACGCCCAAGACGAGGTCTCGACCGTAGCTTTAACATTTTGAAAGCTGGAAAAGCTGGACGGAGAGGCTGCCAAACCGAGGCCAAGATTGCCGCCGCCGCTGCAGGAGTGTGGCTGTGCAGCGAGGCATTTGTGCCCGGCGCGCAGGTGACTCGCGAGGTTCAGGCCGGAAGCTTGCAGAACAATTGGGGGTGGGGGGGGCGGGGGCGGGCTTGGTACTCGGCTCGCTGCAGTTCGGGCATGAACTGGGTCTCAACGCTCGAGGATCGAACTGTTCACCGGCCGTTGCCAGGCGCCGTCCCACCTCCGCAGCGGCACGCGGGGCCGGGCCGCGGCCTCCTCGGGCCTGGCCAGCACCGCCACCGCCGGCGCCGCGCTGCTCGCGGCCGGCGCCTGCGCCGCCCGCAGCCGCAAGGCCACCACGGCGCCTCGCCCGACGAGTTCAGTGGCGCCGGGCAGGGAGGTGGGGGGGGACACGTGTGCAAGTCGCGCCGCCGAGGTCTGCAAGTCTTTCGAGAACGAGGTGGGTGTGACTCTGCCCATGAAGTACTTCGACCCCCTCGGCATGGCCAAGGACGCAACGGAACTGTCGCCTGTGATATCTGGTGAAGGCAGGCGAGGCAAACATGTCATTCAGGGTAGGGGCAATTCGGCCCAATGCGGAGTTTTGCAGTGCCCAGGACGACGATTCCGATGACTTCCGCCGCCGCCGAATGGCCGAGGTCAAGAACGGTGCCTCAGTGACAATACAAAACATGCTAATTCGGTGATGCATTGCGCCCGCTTAGGACGTGTGGCCATGCTTGCCTGCATGGGCTATATCGCCCCGGAGTACTTCCGACTGCCCGGACTCTGCAGCCCCTCCAAAGGCAATCTCCCGGCTTTTCGGAACTTTGGCGACATCGGTATCCCACATTGTGTGAAGTTGTTTAAAAGCCCATAAAACTTGTGTCAATTTTTTAAATTAATTACATAGTTTAGTTTTAAAATGCACCAGAGAACTTGAACAGTTTAAATACGAGTGCTGGGGTCAGTTCTCGTATTTGGTGTTTCGAGCTCATTGTTCATAACGGTTTGTTTTACTCTGTGTTTATTGTGGGCGCATTCTGAACTCATTACGTATGATATTATTGTGAAATCAATTGTGACTCTCTCACACCATATTCAAGAGGATTCTGAACTTATCATGAACTGCGACATCAAGATCTGCGCGGAAATTTGTTGTGTGTGTTTTACGTAGGATTGACGTTTCCATTAAGCATGTGAAATCAGTAGTCGTGCTGAAGTGTTGCTCACCTGCTTTTATCGGACGCGTAGGCAGCACCTGGATGCAGGCAGAGGTGTACAATTTTTGGGCCACCAACGTCGTAAAACTCCCGCGCCTGTACTCAGCAGCCCCCCCCGAATCAAGTTGTTGAGAGGATGCAGTTGGCCAGCTGTAGGATGAGCGTAGACAGCACCCCGAAAACCACTCACCCGTAACCATCCAGACCTGTCAGGTCTGGCTTTTGCAGACATCCCCAACGGCATCCAGGCGCTCTACAAGATGCCCGCGGAGGCTTGGATCTTGCATGGTCTTGCATGACGGGCGTTTCGATCTGGAGACTCGTACCCATCAACTTATTCGAAAACTCCGGCTGGAGAACACCACAAGACGACTGAATCTGCGTACGTATCTGTACAGAATGTGCATGAATCTACATATATATATATATACAAATATTTTTCTCTCATATTCTTGTTTATTTATTTGTTTTTTGATCGAATTACTTATCCATTTATATCGATATATGGAATCCCAAAATCGTACCGCTCGAGTCAGTCCTATCAGGGTGCTACGCAGATTTTTTGTTTTTGACGTTACGTTAGATAATGTTACATCGACTTAGATTTAGCTTCATATTCTTCGCATGTATACATGTACATGTGTATGTACTGCTACATAAATAAATATGTATATATATACACATATCTACATTATATCTATATAAACTACATATTTTTGACTTCCTGAGCAGCGACAGGGATGGGCCCAAATTGCTATCTTCATCGGCTTCCTGGAGCTGTTCCCAATGAGGCCCAGATGTCTTCAAGCTTGGAACGAACCTCCTACCAATACCCAAATACATCCTAATACCCGAATACCCTAGCACCCTAAAGCCCTAATTCCCTGATGCCCTATACCCTAACTTTAACGCCAACGCCACGCGACCGCCTCGGCCCGGGCCTGCTCAGCGGCAACCCCAACCGTGGGTGCAAAGGTGCTGTTAGGCTTCAGGGCTTTGAGAGGCTTTGTGCAAGCAGCCCCCTTTGGGGGATCCTGTTGTGAGAGGCGCCCCAGATGTGAGTGGTACAACAAGAAAAACGGGGGTAGGGTTGAAGGTGGGAGGTGGAAGTGCCCCCTGGTCCTCATGCACCGTCGGCTCCCGATCACCCCGTCCAGGGACACCCATCAGAAAGAGCCAAAAGGAGGTGCAATCTGTGCATTGGGCGTTGCGGAGGGGACTACAGGTGGGGTACCAAGACACCTACTGCCCGAGGGCACGGCTGCTCCTTCACCCCATTCCCTGATACCCTCATACCCTCAGACCCTATGCCAGAATACCCTAAGACCATTTACAACCCTACAACCCAAACTTCCAAGCCCAAGCCCGAACGCTTCCCGTCGACGGAGGAACCTCGATGGGGTAGGTTAGGGGTTTAGGGGATAGGGGGCAGGGGGTAGGGTTTAGGGTTTGGTGTTTATAGGGTTAGGGGGTTTAGGGGGGTTGCTCCTGCGTTGCTTGGGAGCCGTTGTTTTCTGGCTGTCGAGGGAAGCCAGACTTGAAACCTGGTTTTCAGTACTAGTACTTGGCCACCAGGGCGGTGGCAGCACTGCCACAAAGTCTCCGAATCAGGCAGGAGAAGGACCGCATGCCGGGCGACTTCCCTGGCTTCTCCAAGCTGGGCTTCGTGGGCGGCTCGGCCCCGGCTGTGCCTTGGCCTGGAATTAGCACGCAGCGAAGATGTTGAGGGATTCAGGGCTTTCGAACTTTAGGGCCGTAGGCTTCGTGTGAGTCGGGCTTTAGGGTCGTTTTAGCAGCTTGAACCGATTGGCAAGCGCCTTTCTCCTGTGAATTCAGTTGGCACAGGGGGCCAAAAACAAGGAGGGAACGTGGAGAAGATGGTTTTTTGAACCCCCAGAACCCTTCACCAACCTCGAAGCCCGGGTCCGAGGACCCTTCGGCCAACCAGCGCGGCTTGGACTCCGAGCTGAACAACGGCCGCCTGGCGCCTCGGCCGGGAGTTCATGCCTCGCTGCAATCTCGCGAATTCTAAAGCTTTTGGAATTTGTCTGAAGCATCTGAAAGGCGATGGTGGCCATCACCGGCATGATTGCTCAGTGCCTGGGCGGGAAGTGGTGAGTTCTCTTTAGACGCAGTCCTTGATGGTGGGTCACAAGAGTCGCTGCGCAAAGCACAAAGGCTCGCCACGAGAAGTCTGTACCTTCTGAAACGCTAGTAGCTAGTAAACGAGCGCCGTCAGAATCAAGAAAACGCGAAAGTTAGCGTGGCTCATGATCTCCATAACTGCTTGCTCGCTTCACAGCTAGGACCTTATAGGAAGGAATGCATCGTCAGCTACCCTGCAGGAATGCCTTCTTCGGCACCACTGGACCTAGCATGTGGCTGCCATGAGTCACCAGGCGGCCCCGCTGTTATGCCCAACCGCCGAAGAGTTGGGTTTCTATCTCTAGAGGCGGAGGGGCCACGGATCCCAGGAACGGAACGGAACTTGATCATTTTCATCTTGCTGGCTGTTGAGTTGCACAGCTGAGTTAATCCATCGGTCTAATCGTGAATCAGGTTTGGGACGTGAGGACCCGTGACAGAGCTGAGTGTAAGGGTAGTAGTTTCCGGCGCAGACTGTCCTGTTTCCCTGCCCCGGGACCCATTTTTGTTGGCCATTTTTTTGGACTCTGTTTTGTCTTAGAAACAGAGGCAAACTTGTATTGTCCTTAGTTTTCTCTTCGTTTTTTGTATCAAAACCTCTATTTTCCGTGTATCTCTATGGAGACAGACCAAGAAAGAAAGGAAGGAAGGAAGAAAGGAAGAAAGGAAGAAAGGAAGAAAGGAAGAAAGGAAGAAAGGAAGAAAGGAAGAAAGGAAGAAAGGAAGAAAGGAAGAAAGGAAGAAAGGAAGAAAGGAAGAAAGGAAGAAAGGAAGAAAGGAAGAACGGAAGAAAGGAAGAAAGGAAGAAATGAAGAAAGGAAGAAGAAGAAAAGAAAGAAGAAAGGAAGAAAGGAAGAAAAGAAGAAGAGGAAGAAAGGAAGAAAGGAAGAAAGGAAGAAAGGAAGAAAGGAAGAAAGGAAGAAAGGAAGAAAGGAAGAAAGGAAGAATAAAGGAAGAATACAGGAAGAAAAGAAAGACAGAAAGAAAGAAAGGACGGAAGCAAGAAAGGAAGGAAGGAAGGAAGAAACAAAGGAAACAAAGGAAGCAAGACAGGAATAAATAAAGAGTTTGGGATCCGAAGTATGGACCCTTCTTATGTATAGTGTAATACTGATTTTTCGAGCTTATATAACAGGGCTCGACATTAAAAGCCCATTCTAGGAATTCTAGAGGAAAACGAAAGAATTTTTTGGGAGTGTTTTGAAAGTTTGGTTTTTCTTAGGGTTTAGGGTTTGCTCTAGATTTTGAAGGAAAAACCTCTATTTTCTCTAGATTTTCATAGGACAACCTTTGTTTTCTGCAAACAAATAAAGCAAACCTATATTTTCTGCAACAGGAAGATTTTGTATTTTCTGCATATCTAAACAGTCTTTTTCATAAGAAATCCTCTATTTCTTTTGATTTTACTTATCAGCTTCGTGTCTTCGTGGAAGCGGCCGTGGGACGGTCACTTTTTCAAGACCGCCGGGTGGTCCACCTGCGACTTCTCCGTTTCGTCATCGCGACCACCCGGCCGTGCCTAGGCTGTTGTCAAGGAATACAAACTCAGTCCGTAATACGCACACCTACTATGTAAAGGGTTTCTGTTATCGTGATAACTGCATTCAAGTTCCTTATCAGCAAGTGAGGAACGAGACGAGTTTCTGCCTGATCGTTATCTTCGACGTCGTGTTGGACCCTAGCCTGATCCCCGACCCGCGGCCGCTGAAGTTTGATGAGACCAGCACCAACTTTTGCTTCTTTCAGCTCAAGCTTTCCACGGATGGCACCTATCGGCTCTTGCACGACAAATACGTGCTCCTGACCATTGGAGTCAATGTTAACAATAACTCCAAGCGATCGAGCTTGGCGATCTTTGCCTTTCGATCTTCTTCTGTTCCAATGGCCTTTGCGCTGGCACGTGAGCAGCGTTTTTTTTCTACAAGCAAGGCCACGTAGAGACGCGAACATTGAAAGTCGGCCGCGTAGCATTTTGCCTGCAGGGCGTAGGTCTGCGTAGGGTCCGCGTAGGCAAGTCTACGCAGTAGGTCCGCGTAGGTCCGCGTAGGTTGTTGGTTTAATTGAGATATATATATATAACTGTAACTATATGGTTTTATCATTATATGTATATATATATATATTGATTCAGAATATTCTCATATTTCTGTTTATATTTATATTTATGACAAAATGTATTTATATGTATATCGAAATATCCCTATGTATAACTGCACATATAAGTAGGAATTCCGCGTAGGCGCGGCGTAGGCTCCGCGTAGCCCGCGCGTAGTCGTAGGTGTCGTTTTCAACGTCGTAGCCCATCCGTCAACATCACAATTCGGGCAGGGTTGAGCAAAAAACCGGGCAGGGTTGGGCAGAAAATCGGGCAGGGTTGGGCAGAAAGTTTGGTTGAGCAATCCGAATGTGCCAGTGGCTACAATATAGCAAGTCAAATAATGCGTTTGCGCTTTGTTCGAGTGCCTGCCGCGTAGGTCCGCGTAGGCACGCGTCAACAACATGCTCCGCGCGTAGGCCGCGCGGCTACTAAACATGAGTTCACGCGTAGGCCCGCGTAGGATGTCAATGCCATGAGAAGAGCCCACACAATGAAAAAAAAATGCTCACGTGTCGAGAGCGGAGACGCCTACAGGCAACTGACCTGCGCCATGATGAATGTCGCCAATCGCCTTGGCCCCCAGACCACATTTTACAGTGGCGTGGCGACCCTCGCAAAGGCATCGAAGCTGCTCGCCTGGCGGTAGCCCCAGGTTCTGCAAGTCTGTCGGATTGGGCCCACGTCACGGGAGCAACTTCCACAGGGCCCGGCAGAATGACGAAACTTCTGCTAGAGCACTTGTCTCCCAGCCGGCGGAAGGATGTGCTTCCACTTGTCTTGCAGCGGTGCCGCGTCGCAAATACCATGCCACGCATTCTCTTTCATGTGGTATGGACCAGCTTGTTTTCTTGGTTGGAGGCGGAGTGCGAGCAGGGCGCTGCTGCTGCATTCAAGGCCGTGGAGGAGGACCACCTTCAGGCTGCGTGGAGGTCGGCGCCGGATCGCGTCATGCCCGGCACAGATGTAGGCTCTGCGCCTCAGGAGTCCTGGCGCAAGAACACCCTGAAGGACGCGCTTAGATACTCCTGGAAGCAACCATACACCCTCGCGCAAGCTCTCAAGCAAGATCGTCTCAAGACAGCTGCGAACAATCCGGGAGATGGCTTCTTCCCAGCAGAAGACCTTCCAAGATTGGCCCAGCATTGGTCACTTCGTTATGCTTCGTTGACCAGCACTCCCTCAAAAATGACACCGCCCTTGCAAAGGAGGGATGTACATAAAGACAAAACCCAGGTTTGCCCTGTTGAAATATACACAAAGTCGAGATTTCCCTTTGTAAATATGACGAAAATATTGGTTTCCTACGAAAAACAGTGAAACTAAGTGTTTCCTACGGAAATATTGAGAAAATGTTGACTTTTCACCCCTTCCCACAGAACCCCCCCCCCCCTCCAAAAGAGAAAAAACAACAAAGAAAACCAAAAAAAACTCCGCCCCCCTTGTACTGTTCTCGCTGTGACCCGAACAGCCTCCTTCATTCATGTGGGCCTTTTCGAGCAGGTGGAGCATTTGCCGGTCAGGTTTGTTCAACCATGCAACAAGCCTTGCATCTCGTGACAAGAGCTCATCCACTTCACGTCGGAACATGACCAGCCCCTTCCTCGCTTGCCAGGTATTGGGCTTGTGAGAATGCGCACTGTGGCCGCCAGCTTTTCGTGTACAATGTGCGCTGAATTATCTCATGGTAAAACCGGATGGCTGTGAAACAATGACTGAGAGGGTTAGCTAGCACAGCCTTGCATGGGAGCCGAAGCTGACCATCAGTAGCACACTATATTGAGATTGCAAGCAGCGAGCGCCTCCCATTTGAGGCGGAGTGTTTATTCCGAGGGCCTGAGGCCTACGCGGTGGCCAGATGTCCACCTTGGCCACTCATGTGCCATAACAAAGAGTCCAATGACGCCTACGGCGCTGCCCGAAATCGTCCACATTAAGCCCCTGCACCCCTAAAATGTATGCAAAAAATAAATAAATAAATAAATATATATATATATATATTATTCATAGTAATCATCAACTAAAAATATAATATATATATATATATATATTTATATGCATATTATAATATATATATATATATATGTATATCTACATCACCCCGACATCTGCTTGGAAAAGGGCCCGACGAAACAGAAGCGCCTCCCATCCAGGAGTCGTGGGAAGGCGCATCAGTGCCAGCATGCCTGGGTCCCCATAGTTCGTCGGGGGAGCCTGGGGCTCCATTGGGATGTTCCCCCCAAAACTTACTAACAGTCCTGAATAGGGATTATAGTACCCCCTACTATAATCCCTTTCAAGGACTGCTAGTATAAGGGGGAACATCCCAACTTTCAGCCAACCATGGACCCGCAACCCGGCTGAACCCCCACGTCCTGAACCCCGCGCAGAAGTCATTTCACTCTTCTTGCCTTCTGTTGCTGAACCCTAAACCCTAAACCCTAAACCCTAAACCCTAAACCCTAAACCCTGAGTACGTGGTACTGAACACTGGACTGGTATAGGGGATGCGGCTTCGGCTTCAGGATTGGGCGTCGTGTGTGCCGATGAGGCATGATGCGAACTCTGCCCCCCAATCCTTATCTGACTATAGAGGATTTAGGGTTAGGGTTTATAGGGTTTAGGGTTTAGGGTTTAGGGTTTAGGGTTTAGGGACCTAGCCCCGTGCTAGAACCGCTGAGAATGAAGGAGGACCCACACAGGTTCAGACATTTTTCCCGATCGATGTTTAGAATTCGAGGGGGCTGGGTGGGGGGAAGGGGAGTTTTATGGTACCAGGGGGAAGCAATGAAGAGGATTCACTCCGCTCTGATTCTTTTTTGTAGGCTTCTTATTATTGTTTCAGGGCTTAGGGCTGCAAGTTACAGGGTATATACGGTTCATGCCGTTTAGAAGAGGGTGCCTGGGCCCCACGTCCCTGGTGGGAGCCCCGAAGTCCAAGACCTAGAGTCCTGAAAGCACTCGTCCGCCGCAGCGGCTCAGATAGGAGCCACGGGGTGGGAAAGCCTCGGCTGCCAATTCCAAAGACGCCATGGCGGCAGCGTGGCCAGAATTGGTACAGGGGTTTCGGGGTTCAGGAGTTGGGTTTAGGGGCTTAGGGTTCAGGACCTGATCTGGAAACGTGCGAGCTGGATGTGTTGAGTACACAGAGTTAGCGCAGGTGAGCCAAGACCGCTTGGTGAAGCCTTGAGTCGTCCAAGCACTCCGCACCAGAGGTGTCAGCGAGCGCGGAACAGGGGATACTAGCTATTCGCCAATCTTTTTGAATTCTTCATGTAGGCTAAACCCCCCGAAACCGTAGGGCCTAAACCCTACACAGCCCAAGCCGCAAATACAGCACCTTGCCGCACATGGCAACAGATTTAGAATCTGCAAAGAGCAGGTTGGCTCCACCTCTGTACTTCCAGACAGGTCAGCGAGAAGAAACCCCTTTTCCAGACGGAACTGCGTGCTCGGTTTTTCGTGCATTGAGCTGTTCTAGATGGCTGGTATGTCGCCTCCGGCACCACCCACTAAACCGAAAACAGACACAGCAACCGACTCCCAAATCGCAGCCAGCGACTCCTACATCATCCCAACAACCGAAACCTTAAACTTACTAGTATCCAGTTGCTCCAACCGAATCACTCCTGGCACATCAGCTCTCAGGCAAACCCCCTAACGGTGGTGGCAGCAGCGGCAGGAGCCGCATGGCTTTGCAGTGAGGCGTTCGTGCCTGGCGTGCAGCTGACCCGAGAGGCTCAGGCACATGGGTTTGCAAAAAAGCAGCAAAGGAGTCCGGCAAGCAAGACAACCAAGTCAGCAATGAGCCAGACGAATTCGCCTGACTTCCTGTGGCCCAGGCGCCAGCATCCCACCTCCGCAGCGGCACGCGTGGCCGGGCCACGGCCTCCTCGGGCCTGGCCAGCACCGCCACCGCTGGTGCCGCGTTGCTCGCGGCCGGCGCCTGCGCCGCCCGCAGCCGCAAGGCCACCACGGCGCCTCGCCCGACAGGTGGGTCCAGAGGCGGACACGTGTGCACATCGCACGGCCGAGGTCTGCAAGGCCTTCGAGAGCGAGCTGGGTGTGACTCTGCCCATGAAGTACTTCGACCCCCTCGGCATGGCCAAGGACGGAACCTTTCATGTTTGTAATCGAGCCGAACCTGCAGGTCTGCAGAGTAATTATGCACCGCCCAGGACGACGATTCCGCTGACTTCCGCCGCCGCCGAATGGCCGAGATCAAGAACGGTGCCTCAGCGGGAAAGCGAGACGGTAATCATCCGGCCGATGCCTTGCGCCCGCTTAGGACGTGTGATGCCTTGCGCCCGCTTAGGACGTGTGGCCATGCTTGCCTGTATGGGCTATATCGCCCCGGAGTACTTCCGACTGCCTGGACTCTGCAGCCCCTCCAAGGGCAAGCTTCCTCAGAGCTTGCAGTTGATAATGCTTCGCCGCATTTCAATCAGTTCGTGCCAGTACATAAGCCGTATGATAGAAGGAGGTCTCATACAGCATAGAAGCCACTCATCAGCCGAGACATGCAGACCTGCCTACTTACGATCAACCCTTGTGAGCCTGTCAGGCGTGGCATTTGCGGACATCCCCAACGGCGTCCAGGCGCTCTACAAGATGCCCGCGGAGGCCAGATGCACACGTGCCTTACTTTTCAGGTCGGGCTTTGTTTGCGTGTACCACTAGCTTCCCAAACTCTGGATGACTACTGAGCAGTGCGGTTTTTTGTCAGAGTCTACGTAGGCACACCCCCACGTAGGTCTGTGAACTATGAATGCGTATTCTGTATAGGACCTCCCTCTATCATTGACTCATGCACTCATGTACTGGCGCGAACTGATCGTCCATTTGTCAATTCTGGCCGTTCGCTCACGTGGATGAACTCTGATAGGGTCACTCCTCGAGGCTGCCAAGTGAATCGGTGAATCTGGCTGCGCAGCTCCGTGCTCCGTAAAGGCAGTCCCCGCTCTGACTAAGGAACCCCCCCAAACTTCTCATGCAAACTGCCCCCAAACCCCTGGCGTCCCCAGACCCTGAACAGCAAGCCTAAGCCCTAAACCCTAAACCCTAAACCGGAAGCTTCTCTTGCAGGGCTGGGCTCAGATTGCTATCTTCATCGGCTTCCTGGAGCTGTTCCCTATGAGGCCTGGAGTTTCTATACCCCCCTTGGGAATTATTTTTCATTTTTTTTGTTTATATGAAACCCTAGAGGATATTAAGCATATTTGTTTTGTTAAGGTTCTAAGGGGAGTATAGGTTTTGGTTGTCCCGACCCGTCTTCGCCTTGTGTAGAATCATTGAAGACTGAAAAGACCAGAAGAGCTCGCAGTTTTGTTTTGTGCCTTATGCTTTAGGTTTAGCCCTAAATCCTGAGCCGTAAAATTGGGGACCCAGGGTCTTTGCAGGCGAACATCGCAGCCCTCACCCTAACTCTCCAACCTATACATAGTTTTGGGGTCAGGGTTTTCAGGGTTTAGGGATACCTATGCCCACCTCAGCCTCTCCACCCTCAACAGTGCACCATCAACGGCTTAGTCCCACCCCTCAATCTGGCGACAGAAGTGTCAGCTAAAATTAGTTGACTCTGCTGCGGCCGAAGCAACCCTCGTATCTACCTCCCCCGCACGATCTTGGGCCTCCATCCGCGCAGCGCATGTACCGATAGATGTTCTCTACTGTCCCAGAGGAGGTAGGCGACCCCGCCCCCCACCCCCAACGAGGTAGGGGGACACCCACGCAGCCCAACCATCCCACCATTTGGCAGGTTTAGGGCTTGCGGAATGCTTGCGGACGTCTAGGGTGCGTGTCCGTGCTTCTGGACGCTTGACGCTAGGGCTGTGGCACCACCCTGGCCCTCAACCGCAAAGCCATCCCTGAACCCAACCCATCCGTTTCATGCGGCCCTAAGCCCTACAGTTGCCTTACGACGAACGATGGCGAGAAAAAATGCCTCCTCTCAAAGCCATCATTTCAAAGCACTGCAGTGTTTTTTCAAGCCGAAGCCTAGAGACAGGCAGGAGAAGGACCGCATGCCGGGCGACTTCCCTGGCTTCTCCAAGCTGGGCTTCGTGGGTGGCTCGGCCCCGGCTGTGCCTGGGCTCGGAACCGGGTGATCAGGGAAAGCGAGTGCAGAAGTTGAGGGTTTCAATTTTCGGTAGCTTTTGGTAGCCCAGTGGCACCCTGTTGCCCTTTTTTGGGGTTCTGGGTTGCAACTTAACCAACCCCTCATTATGACATGGTTTCTGGGGTTCCAAATTAAACTGGTGTGCGTATACCAGGGGCTTGCGTTGTAAGCACCTTTTGTTCTGAGCCTTTCTTTTCTGGATGGGTTTGGACGGTTCGGGGATTGCCGAGCCCTCAATTGGACATTCCGACATTCCAGTATTCTGCAGTGCTTTTCACCACCTCCCCCCCCGTTTTGTTGATGGATGTTGCTGGCGGCTTTGCTGTTCCGGCGATCCGACCTGTGAGGGACGAAAGCCTGAAGCCTTCATTTGTTGCAGAAAACTGACAGCTTCGCACGAGGACCCTTCCGCCAACCAGCGGTCCCTTGAGGCCGAGATCAACAATGGCCGGCTGGCGCCCTGAAGCATCTGAGTTTAGGCTTTCGGGCCTCTAGAGTGCAACGGTGCATGTGTAATCTACACAACCGGGGTCCTCTTCTTGGGAGCCTTGACTGAGAATGCTACGCAGGGTCTGCCAGTAAGGAACCCTGTTTTGGATGCTATGCCTTTAAATGCCTTTAAGCCCCAATCACCGTCTTGGGCACGAAGAAACTTCGCAACCCAACTGTTTCTTTTCCTTGAAGCTGCTTCAGATACTGCAATTTGCTGAACAAGGGCCCCAAATGGAACCAGAACATAGACTAGAATCACTAGAACAGCACTCGCATGGTATGCCGGACTCAGAAATGTGACGCGATACGAAATGCAAAGCATCAGGGAGGATGCCTGAAGCCCCAAGCCCTCTCCTGACCTTTCGGATGAGCCCTGTCATGAGGGCACTCTGGGCGGTTTGCAGAAGTTGGCAGGGTCTATGGGAATCCGGGTCAGGAGGGGCAGCAGGGTTGCAGCTTCAGCGTCACCCCCTTACAAAACTGGGCCATCCGAACCCTGGTTGGCCCAAGCTGCAAAGATCGGTTTTAGACTCCACGCTCAAGGCTTAGCCACTAAGATTAGTTACATGGTCCCTTAATATGGGCCCTTAAACGACCCCATCCAAAACAAATCAAAACAAGGGCCCATACATCAGAACCCTTTAAAGGAGGTAAGGGGCCAGATTAAAGGCCCGGCCAATAACGAAAGTACACTTAGTGCAACGCGGGGTAAAGGGAACTGCACCACCGAGGCGATGGTGGCCATCACTGGCATGGTGGCCCAGCATCTCAGCTCCAAAAAGTGCCAAGCCCACGTGGAGTCTCACCGGATGGTCCAAGTCGGTCCAAGACCGGCCATGCGGGTTTAGGGTTTAGGTTTTAGGGTTTTGGGTGAGTGCGTTTTTTTTTCAGGGAGTCCCAGCAGCATGGAAGTGGTGCCACGAGAGTGTCGCTGTGCCGCTAGCCGAAGCTGTGATATCGCTGTGACGACGCTTGCATTGGTGAGATTTGTTGCTACACCGTAGTCGCCAAGCCCAGGAACGCCTTCTTCGGCACCACTGGGCCAGCAATGTGGCTGCCTTCCTCTGCCTTCGAAGGCCTCAAGGGGGCTTTGATTCATCTACGGAATCTTGAGTTGCGTCCGAATGAAACCCCCTTCAGCCAGCCCATGTCTGGGCCTGACCCACCACTTAACAGAGCACAGTTCTCAGAGAGCGGCCACGCGTTCATGTACGACATGATCGCCCCGGCAGATGCCATGTGCTACGTGTGCTAATATGTGCTACATCTGGGTGTGCTCTTGTGATCGCCAAATATAGTCGCAGCACAAACCGCAGTACCAGCAACACCGGCAACAACAGCATCGGCAGCAGCAGTCGGAAGCCAGCCTGAAATGGAGTTGCTGGCATTACATAGTTGAGGGTGTATGGGCCAATCAGTCGGACCTCAGGACAGATTCAGGTACCCTAACCCTAACCCTAAATCCTAAACCGGTACTTGAACCCTGCCGCCAACAATATTTCTATCATCAACCAATGTTTATCTCACTGATTCTGTTCGTTTATTCTACTATTATTCTAGTATTCTTATTTTCCTATGTTTCGACTAATCTATTCTTCTACGACTATTCCACTGTTCTACTAGCAGCAGTATGACAGGTCATGGTGAAATCCTGAAATTCGATGTTGTTGACATGCCTTGATGTTTCGAGGCAACCTTGGGTGCCTAGGTGAGAAGCAGCGTTGAAGGGCTTTGCGCAAAGCTCCGGGCTGACCCTTCAAGGCCCAAGCAGACTCAAGCAGAGGAACGCAACATTCATTGAGCATGTCTCCTTTCTTTCTGGCGCTCTTGCCCTTGACTGCGGCGCAGTTCCTGGCCCGACAAGATCAAGGTGAGTTGCAGAAGTTGCAAGATGAGGTGCAGCAGTGGAAGGCGCGCTATGGAAATCTTATGCAGCTCTACTCCCAAGTGAGTGACCAGCAGTCCTTGATCGAAGTTCGGCCTTACGGGGAGAAGATCTTCATGCCCGGCAACGTCCAGCATTGTCGCGACGACATTGCCTCGGTGAGCCCCCAGGAGGCCACGAACCCTAAATCGGAACCTAAGATGGACTACTCCAACTACAGCCACTCGGTGGGGCTTTACTACAACCTTATCACATGATGAGTTTTTGGGGTTCCTCTATTTCATTTTCATGGAGCTGAAAGTTGAACTTTTAATAGGGGGGTTATTAAAGAGCAGCCAAGGCTATGTGGTCTACAGTCCTGAGAGCCGTTATGCTTCCCATCTCAAGGCCACCTTGGACTCTGCGGCGTCGAGCCTGACGAAGATGAAGTCATTAGATGTGACGGATGTGTCGTTTCCCGCCATCATGTTCGACATCGACAACACCTTAGCCTACACAGGCTTTAACGACACGGACATCCTAGGCAAGGCGCCTCCCATGACCGAAGCCGTCGACTTCGCGAAGCGCTGGTGCCGGTTCGAGGCGACCTCATCGAATCCTTTCGAGTGCTTCTTCGTGACCGCGCGATACTGCACAAGTCTCAAGGCCAAGGCCACAAAGACCTGGGTGAAGGAGAACTTTCCAGTGGATGAGACATGGATGGCGGAGCATGTCTTCATCACTGGTGGCATTGGCGGTTGCCAATCCAACGGCTGTTCCTTGGCATACAAAGCTGTGCTTCGCAACTGGCTTCACACCAAGAAGAACATCCATTGGGTCATGAGTCTGGGTCGTTGTCGAGAAGCAGTTTACATTTTAATAGAAACTTAAACCCGAGAAGAAATCCGCAACGGTGGTTTAAAAGTAATACCCCAGCGATGGTTTTCAGGAGTGTGGGAGATCAACTCACCGACTCCGCAGGCGTTCACTCCGGCCTACGAGTCAAGGTGCCGAACTTTTGGTTTGACTCCAGCATCTTAGGTGCTGAGTCGGCAACCTTTAACCCTCTTGGGTACTGCAATTCCCCTTAAAACCCAAAGGCTAGTTATCCTTTTTTCCTTTTTTCCCCAATGGAACTGAGCCACTCAGGCATTGTGGCAAACCCTCAGGAGAACGGTGGCAAGATCCACCTCCTACCTGAGCGCACCCTTGCAGGCGAGATGTGTAGCTTGAAATGCGTGGCTGCTCCTGACCCCACCTGCCTCGAAGCCGGAATGAAGGACGATGCCGTTCACAAGTTCAGTCAGCTTGAGTATTGCATGGCACAAGACCAGATGAAGGTGCCAGACCAAATTAGAGGTTGTACAGTGAATCTCTTTACGCACGAGACAACGTGCTAAGATGAGTTGGTACTGGCATAGCTTTTGTGCGACACCGCCTATGGGTGCCACAAATTTCGCACCCCCTGCTTGCTAATGCTAGTTGGGGTTTGCAATCACTCCCATCAAGGGATCGGGAGACACTGTACAGGCCATGCACGGCTAGACCAGAGCGGCACTCCCATCAAGGGATCGGGAGACACTGTACAGGTCATGCACGGCTAGCCTCGAGCGGCGAGAGATGCCTTGGACATGGTTCTCCTGCAGGCAGTGTAATAATAGTGTAAAAATCATGCAATGTCGTAAACATGTTTTGCCAAAGAGTTGTTCCAGATAAGGCTAGAGGCAAGTGGCCAAGATGACACAAGAAACACGCGCCAGCAAACACAAGCCATGAAGCACGCCCGAAACCACATGACAATGTTTTAAGATGCCCCCAGACCAAACCAATCTGCTGGTTCGAAGCTGAATCGAACCGATCGACCCGCAGGTAGGATGCTGGATGAGATCTAAACCTTGCATGGTGATTTTGCGAGTCAAGGGTTTCCAATTGACCCATCTCTACTTCGAAGCTCCACACCCGAAGCAGATTGAGCTTCCAGTTGTGCGCGCTGGCAGGCGAGCTTGGCGTGCAGGCGCCTGTGGGCTTTTGGGACCCCATTGGCCTCTCCGCAGATGGCGACGCAAGGGGCTCAGCAGGGATTGTCATCAGCTTGAACCTGACAACTGACATCACAGGATACTTACCAGTAGCAGTTCTGCCCCCACAATTTCCCATCTTGGACCCAAGGTCGACACCTTCAAGCGCCGCCGCGCTGTCGAGCTGAAGCACGGACGCATCTGCTGCGGCCTCAGAGCTTCGGAGGTTTGTCTTCGGTTGGAGCGGTTGGACTCAGCATCCTGGGGTTTAGGGTCGTGCTGGTCTTTTTTTTTTGAGGTTCAAAGTTCAGGCTTGCGGGGGTCGTGGATTCTATATGAAAGGGGTTTCGAAAAAATTAGGTACCTGTTTGGCGGCTCCTATAGTCAGGATCACATAAGACTTTTTGGATGATTGCAGGTACCCAAAACAGGAAACCCTGTATGTCTCCTGATCAGAGCACCTCCTTATCTTGGCCGAGCCATTCGGGTTATAAGCTAACCTGGCAGGCGCAAACACTCGGCGCATCTGTCTATCCATCCGCCCATCGGTTCATCAATTCTTTCCCTTGAAGACTCAATGCCTCAAAAGGGTGCTCACTGCGTGTGCTGCCTTGGTTGTTAACATGGGGAATGGAGTTGAGATGGAGGTGCTGGAGTTGGGCCGAAAGTTGTTAATTCATGGGGATTGAGGACTCAGTGCTTGGGTTTCGGAACGCACATCTAGGTCTTCCACCAGCTGATAAGAGCGTACTTCTTGCACGGCCTATGTGCCCCAAAAGGATACCCCTATGCTCGGAATCCTCCATGCAGTTTTGTCTGAGTTCAAGACACTGCGACCGTCGCTTCCACGTTTTGTGGTCAGTGCACCTGTGGTCTATTTAGGATAGCTGAAACAGTGTAAATATACCCAGTCATTCTGTAGTAGTTTTACACCTGTGTAATGGTAAAAAGGTTACTCTAGATTGGTCATTGCTTCGATTTTGCTTCTTCATCCTGCGGTTCTTCTCGGTTCCTGGCTTTTGCCAGCAAACTAAACCCTAAACCCTAAACCCTAAACCCTAAACCCTAAACCCTAAACCCTAAACCCTAAACCCTAAACCCTAAACCCTAAACCCTAAACCCTAAACCCTAAACCCTAAACCCTAAACCCACCCCTTCTTACACCTCCCGGCGCAGCGTAGCGTCCGAGGCATGTTGGCCTGCGCTCCTTTGCTGGCACATGGCCCAAGACCACCCAAAAACCGCACAGGATTCCGATTTCTTGGGGGACTGCTTTGCGCGAAATTTTTCGGAGATTGAGGAGGGCGCATAAGTGGAACGGCTGCTCAAAGCCGTTCTCGAGCAAAGGATGCAGCCGACGTGGTAGCTCAAACCCCCTCCGACCGCTTGGGAGGTCGGCTACATCGTCCCGGAGTATTTCCGCTGGCCTGGATACCTCTCGCCGGAGACGTGGCAAGGTCAGGAAGGCCTTAAGACGAACTTGGAGGAGGCCGAAGGCAGCCTGAAGGGGTCTCACCGGCTGTATTGAAAGAGCCCGGCAGACTCAGAATGTTACTCGGTGAACTTTCCCAGAAACTTCAGCCACTTGGGGCTCCTGCATTTCCCCATGCTCCTTCGCTCCCAGTATCCAGCAGCACCGCCTCAAAGCATGGTCGAAGCAGCAGACAGTTTGACCCGACACCCTACACTCCCCACTCATGATGATGCTACGGTCCGCGGCCCGAGACTTCAGAAGCGCAGCCCAGGAGAAGGGTCTCAAGTTTGCTGACATGCCGCACGGCATTGCCGCCATCTCGAAGGCTGACACCGGCGTCTTGTTGCTAGGGTGTAGATGCTCCAGGCAATTCCCTAATTTGGACGTCTGAGATTTGTGTTGACCTCTTCTGCGTGAGTTCGGTGTTGTGAGGTGCCACTTTCTCTACTCTAAGTGTTAGTGTTGTGTTTAACACCGTAAAGTGTTTAAATTGACAAGAAGCAGGCAAACAAATTATATCGGTTTAGGGGCAAGCATTGTGTTAAACCCCGGTTGTGGACTTTCTTTTTGTGCTTTAAGAAAGTGGCATAGGGTCTGAAGCAGGGTCCTTGAGTTCAGCCTCCTGATCCGACGAATCCCTTTGCCGCCTTTCTGCAGACTTCCCCAAACAGAAATCCGAACCCTGAGCCCTAAACCCTAAACCCTAAAACCCATAATAGCCTCGACTCGCCAGGTCCCCCTTGAGGGCTGGCTGCAGATTGTCCTCTTCATCGGCCACTACGAGGGTTACTTCTGGCGCCAGGCCACGTCGGAGCCCTGAGCCCGAAGCCCCAACCCCGACACCTTGGCCGAAACCCCTAAACCTTGGCCAGCCATCCCCACTCTTTGCTCTGGGCTTTTGCATGAGCTGCATAGGGCTGCCCATTTGTGGGGTCGGGGCAAATATACTCTTGTGACTCGTGGGAGGCTGTTGCGGGAGATGGCTCACGAAGCCGGCATGCCGAACTCTGCTCCATGAACACCTTACCTAGAGTAGCCTTTATACACCTTCAAATGTGCCATATTGTTGCCATTCTTATTAGGAATAATATCTATGTCTGTATATATATATATATGTCACGTAGTTGTATGGTGTGTGTGTGTGCGCTTTACTTATAAAACCCTTTTCTAAAGGTACAGTAGAAATCGGTGGGTAAGCCCCGGCCTTGCTGAAGATCCCGATGTTTCTTGGCCGCTGCCAGGACCCCAAGCGGGCCCCGGGTGACTACGAAGGCAGGCGCTGTGTGTCAGCGAAAATTCTGTCGGGTTAACTGAGGCAAATTTTGCTCCGGGGCGGTTCCGAGACAGGCTCCGGGAAGGTTCCAGATGCTTCGCGAGGGTTCCAGGGAGCTTCTGGGCGGTTCCGTCCTGTCGGGAACTTCAAGGTGGCAAAGACCAGCTTGGCCCTAAAATCCTGAAGATTACATCCAGGCTACGGGTTCCTGGGCGTGGGCAAGAACTTCATCATTAACGTCGACCCTATCGAGTTCCAGGACTCAGAGGCACCTATGGGTGCAGCAGGGAGGGGGAGAGGGGGGGGGTTGGGTTTGAGGTTGCAGCTGAAGCAGTTCAACAAGCGCACCCCGCGTCACACCTGCACTCCGATACCCTGAACCCCACACCCCTGCAAATAAAAAAGGTGAAGAAGACCAAGCTGTCGGCCGAGATTGCGAATGGACGACTGGCCGCTCCAACTCAAAAGCGGGATTAATTAGAGCTCATGGGTTCAGGGTTTGGGGGATCCAGGCTACTTGTAGCCTCGATGAAAATCATGTGGTCCCATGTCCGATGCTGCCAGCGCAGAACTGAGCTGTTCTACTACGCTTAGGAATTCTGCACAAACAAACCAACAGGATGCAACTCAGAAGCGTTGCTGCTCCCCTCAAGTCGGTTCTCACGCCATCCAACGAAGGCTGAAGGCTGCCCAAAGCCTGCAGCCGACAACTCTGAAACCTTTAACCCCTTACAACCCGCTCCCAAGACCTGAAGCGGGACCCCCCCCCCCCCCCCTTAAACCCTAAACCCCAAACCCTAAACCCTAAACCCTATACCCTATACCCTATAAACCCTAAAACCCTCCCAGGCCATGGTGGCATTGATGGCCATGCTTTTTCAGAACGGCACGGTCGGCTCGACCGGCCCGGCCACTTGCCTGGCTTAGGGGGGGTTGTTTACGGCGTTGAAGGCAGTTTTAGGGTTCTAAGGGTTTTTAGGGTTTTAAGGGGTTTAAGGGTTTCAAGGGCTTTAAGGGGTTTAAGGGGTTTAGAAGGCTTAAGGGTTTAGTTTAGGGGTTTCAGAGTTTAAGGGTTTCAGGCGTTTTAGGGTGGAAGGGTTTAAGGGTTTTAGGCTTTAGGGTTTCAGGCGCGGCTTTAGGGTCTTACCGGATGAGCGCCTTGCTGCCATCACCTGCGCAGCACTTAATCCGATTGTCCGGTCCTGTCCTGGCAAAAATCCCCACAGAGCTAGGCCATGGTAGGCCTTTGAGCAGCGTTCTCTTGCTCAGAGTAGGATCTTTGGAAGGAGGATGCATAGCCTTTTCGATCCTTTTTTGTACCACGTAACTCAACTACTGTATACATTCCGCTGATAATGGTTTTGGGCACTAGGCCGTTTGGCCATCATGAAGCACGCGTTGCCGGCGCAATTACGCTTGCTGAACTACTAAAATTAATTCGCCTGTAGCCTGCGCAGAACGTCAACAAAAAAGTTACAACGCAAACCACGAAAACCACACAACGCTGATTTTGTTTCAGGAACCTACTCAGACTTGCACGATTGTTTCTGAAGAGCAAATTACCCCAGGCTTAACGGGCGCCCACAGGTCCTGCAAGAGCATGGTGCACTTTGCCGGTACATGTCCTTGCGTCGTTGTCAGTCTCTCTATGCCTTTCCACACACTGCGACATTCAGCGTTGGCGACATTAGACATGAGAAAACGAGGACTTCGCCCATTGCCCACTGCTAGACGTGATTTGAAGTCCTCACAGCACAGGGTCATTTGACCCAGTCGCACCGCAGAACTCCAGACATTGAAACTGTCGACTGAGGCCATGTGGCTGCCGGCAGCATAAGCTGCCTGAGCTTTACCGGTTGAAAGGAGCGGGAAGAGACCGGTTTGGCGCAGCAGAAAAACGCCCACAACTTGCAGGACATGTTGTCATGATAATGTAGCTCAACAAATTATATGGTGTTGTGCTTTCTTTGTTTATAAACTGGGGAGGCGATTGTAATACGGCTGGGAACAAGCTTAATTCTACTAGGTTCATAATCTGGATATGTAAAGATGGTATCGTTTGCTACGTCATTTTTCATGTAGTTAGTAGAAAACAGCTTCAAGAAGTTCAACTATTGTGTGCTCAAAAGGGGCCCGCGCAAAACATATTTAATGGAGCTTGTCTCTTGTGCAAGTAAAAGCTGTATGGACTAACTACATGGACTACATTTGCAGATGTTCCGGGGAGTATCTAAGAAAGCCCGTTTTATTGCTGCAGTTAATCAGATTAGTTCACATGTATTCAAGTTTAGCATCTTTAACGGCCTAAAACTGCTGCACCCTTCCCTCGACTGTGTATGTGTGTGTGTGTGTCAGATATTATACTCACTTCTCCAAAAGATGGCAGGTACACGGGAATGGGTCACACATACATATTATATATATATATACATACTATATTACATATCTTATATTATATACATACACATCTGACAATATATATATATATATATATATATTTATATTCTACATATATATATATATATATACGCACATATTTATTTTTTCAAAACAAACTTACATACATACATACATACATACATACTTACATACATACATACATACATACATACATACGCAGTGCTCCCCGCCTTGGCGACCGCCAAGTAGACCTTAATTGGGTGCCAAGAGGCTCCGAACACCCGCCTGAATGTTCCTAATCCGAGGGTCCTACCCTAAACACTAAACCCTAAACCCTGAACCCTGAACCCTGAACCCTGAACCCTAAACCCTAAACCCTAAACCCTAAACCCTAAACCCTAAACCCTAAACCTTAAACCTTAAACCTTAAACCTTAAACCCAAATCCCTGAACCTGCAGTGGAATGTCCCCTTTAGCCTCTGGCATGAGGCCCACCTCCTCCCATCGACGGCTCAAGCGGAGGTCTTTAGGTTCGCATAGGTTATTTTCTCAAGCTTCCTTTTTGAAAAGCGAACCATGGCCGCCCGGGAGCCCAGGTCACCGGCGGTTGGGGAGTAGGGCTTCGAGAACATTCGAGAACCCCAAGCCCTAAACCCTGCACACCTGGAATCCTAAGGGTTTAGGGTCTAGGGTTTAGGGTTTAGGGTTTTCAAATAAGGGGAATGACCTACTCAGGGGGAGCCCAGGGCCCATCGGAGCCCACTGTGCGTTTGGTTAGGGATCAGGTTCCCCCACAACCCCATGGAATTCTTTCAGCCATGAGCTTTATAGCTGAAGTCTCTCCCCGCTCTGAGGGAGAACTTCCAAGAAGCATGACACTGAGAGTTTATGGTCTAAACGGGCTTTATAAGGTTTGCCCCCAGAAAATGCAAGTGATGGCTCTGACTTCAGCGTTGACATTTTGGAGTCAAAAGACAGATGGGAAAGCTGGACAGAGAGGCTTCCAAACCGAGGCCAAGATTGCCGCCGCTGCTGCGGGAGTGTGGCTGTGCAGCGAGGCATTTGTGCCCGGCGCGCAGGTGACTCGTGAGGTCCAGGCCGGAAGCTTGCGGGGCAATGGGAAGGGTGGTTTCTGTTTCTTGGTTCGGTGACCTCAGAAGTTGAAGGGTTTCAACGCAGAGGATCCAACTGTTTGCCGGCCGCCTCCAGGCACCGTCCCACCTCCGCAGCGGCACGCGGGGCCGTTCCGCGGCCTCCTCGGGCCTCAGCACCGCCACCGCCGGTGCCGCGCTGCTCGCGGCCGGCGCCTGCGCCGCCCGCAGCCGCAAGGCCACCACGGCGCCTCGCCCGACGAGATGGTTCAGTGGCGCCGGGCGGGTACTTGGAGGTTCATGGTACTTATTAACCAATGATAGCTGTACTTATGACTGTACTTATAACCACATTAGGGCACTTAAGGGGCTTATAAGTGCAGTTATAATCATTGGTTAGTAAGTACCATGAACCTCCAAGTAGGCATGGGGACACGCGTGCAAGTCGCGCCGCTGAGGTCTGCAAGTCCTTCGAGAACGAGCTGGGTGTGACCCTGCCCATGAAGTACTTCGACCCCCTCGGCATGGCCAAGGACGGAACCCCAGTCGTCTGTGATGGAGGCAGGCGAGGCGAACCAGGTCTGCAGAGTATATAAGTATGCACGCCCAGGACGACGATTCCGCTGACTTCCGCCGCCGCCGAATGGCCGAGATCAAGAACGGCGCCTCAGCAGGAAAGCGCTATGGTAACACTCCGGCCGATGCCTTGCTCCCGCTTAGGACGTGTGGCCATGCTTGCCTGCATGGGCTATATCGCCCCGGAGTACTTCCGACTGCCTGGACTCTGCAGCCCCTCCAAGGGCAAGCTTCCTCAGAGCTTGCAGTTGATAATGCTTCGCCGCATTTCGCCGCATTCCAATCAGTTCATGTCAGTACATAAGCCGCATGATAGAAGGAGGTCTTATAAATCATACTGCATAAAAGCCACTCATCAGCCGAGACATGAGCCTGTCAGGCGTGGCGTTTGCGGACATCCCCAACGGCGTCCAGGCGCTCTACAAGATGCCCGCAGAGGCCCGGGTTTCGTCCACGCTCTTCAGCATACTCTGCTATATTGTTATCTTAAACATATACGGGCTGGCGCCTATGCCCCCCTACTTTTTTGCACTTTCCCGCACGGCAGCCCCTGACATACATATTGGAATCTATGTACCAACCTGCCCAGAAACCTTCAGGGCACGAATATGTTTTGCTCCCCCCCCCCCCCCCGGCCTCCTTCCCAATTAGAATACAATGCACCGACTTCTAACCCCGTATTTCCTTGAGAAATTTTTCCAGAGTATTTTCACTAGACTTAGGGCTGAATCAGCTACTTTGTCTCAGATATACTATGCTCCCCTGGATGAACCCATATCCTGACTCCTAAACCCTCGATCACAAATTTGGCTGCATGCTCCACGACTCCAAAACGTCTCACCCAAAACCTAAACTCCAAAGAACGTCTCCAAAGCTTGAGCCCCGATACGACTGTCAGCATCATAAAGCTGCAGGGCTGGGCCCAGATTGCCATCTTCATCGGCTTCCTGGAGCTGTTCCCCATGAGGCCCGGATTTTTGTCAAACCTTGGGCTGACCCCAAACCCCAAACCCTGTACCCTAAACCCTAAACCCCGCAAGCACCCCGCTTCCCGCGGCCACAGCGGGATCGTGAGGTATGGCTAGGATGCCCAGTAGTACCCTTATTCCCTTTTTGGGAGGGTTTAGGTTCCCTTATAAACCCCTTCAAGCAAAAAAGGGCACCCTTCTTTAGCCACGGTTACTGGGCAGCCTAGATGGTGGTGGGGGGATTGGAAGTCTGTTGTTTAGGGTTTGGTTTTGGGGTGACATGTCCTTGGCAGGGTGGTGGCGCCGCCTCTCCCCCACTCCCCCTAATTACAGGCCGTCCCTGAACTCAATCCGACCCAGACTCTTATTCCCCTGCTGAAAAAGGACCTTCGAAACGTGTAAAGCCTCCCCTGAAACATACTATGCAAGCCAAAGCCTAGACCCAGGCAGGAGAAGGACCGCATGCCGGGCGACTTCCCTGGCTTCTCCAAGCTGGGCTTCGTGGGCGGCTCGGCCCCGGCCGTGCCTGGGCTCGGAACTGCGTGTGTTGAGTGAAGATCTTGAGGTTTCAGGATTCAGGATTTATGGCATAGCCAAAGAAGACAGAAAGAGCGGTACGACGAAAGAGCTGTCCAGCCCCTATATAGACACCAGTCCACAAAGCCGCCGAAGACAAAAGCCCCGAACCCTGATTCCTGCCCTGCAGGAACCCTCGACCCCCAAAACCTCGGAGACCCTAAACCCTAAACCCGAAATCCTAAACCCCCATTCCAACCAGGATCCTTCGGCCAACCAGCGTGGCCTGGAAGCGGAGCTGAACAACGGCCGTTTGGTGCCTGGGCACCAGGACTTAGAGGTCCTTGGGTAGTTACAAGTATAGGGTTAGAAGTACCGTAAACAGGCTGGTATAGAGTTACCACACTTCTACCCCTACGTTTTGTTACGCGTGAACCGAGTATGAACCGAGTATGAACCCACGATGCGGGGTTCGGGGTTTGGGGTCTTGGGTTGAGGTCGAGTGATCGAGTGATGTCTAGGGCTTTGGGCAGCCTGTGTAACGAGGTTTGCACTGGGCTGCTCCCTCCCGTAGCTCCCCTAGTGCAGGCATGTAGGGACGCGAGGTTCTGATGGATCCTGGGCACATCACACATGGTAGGCTTCCCGTCGTTTTGGTTTTGAACGCTTGAAGCGTCCGACAAAGGCTATGGTGGCCATCACCGGCATGATTGCTCAGTGCCTGGGCTGGAAAAAAGCGTTGACTTCTCTTTAGTCTGTGGGATTCGACCCGGCAGTCCTGGACGGCGCCTTCTACAGCTTGGTGTCGTAAGAAGCTTCATGATAGGGGTCACAAGAGTCGCTGCATCTGTTTGTGCAGTAAAGGGGCCGCATGAGGTCCGCACGGACCGAGGCGCGAGTAACTACTAAGTATATATGTCGTGTCAGAATCAGCAAAGCTTAGTGCATGCCTTGGCATATGCCAAGTCTCAACTAGGAACGCTCGGTAACTGCGTGGCTCATGTTCTCCATATCTGCTTGCTTGCTTCAGCTTCACACCCCGGACGACCCGCAGGAATGCCTTCTTCGGCACCACTGGCCCTTCCATGTGGCTGCCATGAGTCACCAGGCGCCCCAGCTGTTGCGCATCGGTTGTTTAACGGATGTAGGTGTCCCACATGAGATGTATGATGTGCCTGTTGAATTTGACGGCCTGTTCTGATCCCCTTGTTGTACGCACACGCATACAGCTGTTGTAAGCACGAGCAAGAAGTCCTGCCCCTCCCTCGTTCGCCAGGCATTTGGCTTGTGAACCTGTGCATATCTGACTGCAGCCACCATCTTGTCGTGTACAGCGTGAACTGAGTCATCTTATCAGACATGGGATGGCTGTGAAACAAAACCGAGAGGGGCTTGCATTGTGGGAGCCTAAGTGGACCTATATACTGGGCAGAGACTAGGAGTGTCTCCCACTTTAGGTGAGAGTGCTCACCCCAGGGGCCTGAGGCCGACGTGGTTCCCGGGCGGTGGCATTTTTGTTGTCCACGCCATAGCAGAGAGTCTGCCCTGAATCCTCCACACTAAGCCCCTAACCTTCAACCCTAACGTTCGGTGGAAAAAGGCCCGAAGAAAAAGGAACGCAGACGTCGAATGTCCGGGGATTCCGGGGAAGCTGCAACCATGCCCCAGTTGCTCGTTCTGCTTCGGAGCCCCGCATCCTTAGCCTGGAGCTGCTCTCTTGAACTCTTGGACCTCCCAATTTCGTGTGATGGGCGATGCAAACCCCAGCCCAGCCCCTCTCCACATCCTCGTAAGCTCTTTCTCTCGCTGCCAGCGGCTCAGATAGGAGGAGCCGCGAGGTGGGACCAGCCTCAGCTGCATAGTCCGAAGACGCCATGGCGGCAGCATGGCCAGCATCGGTACAGGGAGAATGGGTTGCCGGGATAGGCATTGCAGGTGTGGGGTGTAGCAGTTAAGGGTTTGCTCTAACCGAACCAATCCCCATCCCTAGCAACTGCTCTCAGGCAAACCCCCTGACGGTGGTGGCAGCAGCGGCAGGGGCCGCATGGCTTTGCAGTGAGGCATTCGTGCCTGGCGTGCAGCTGACCCGAGAGGCTCAGGCGCATGGGCTTGCACAGCATGGACTTGTCGACTTGTCTGGACAACGCTGCGCTGGCAAGATGGAGGCGCCAGCGTCCCACCTCCGCAGCGGGGCGCGGGGTAGGGCCACGGCCTCCACGAGCCGGGCCAGCGTCGCCACTGCTGGCGCCGCGCTGCTCGCGGCAGGTGCCTGCGCCGCCCGCAGCCGCAGGGCCACGACGGTGCCTCGCCCGACGAGTGGGTTCAGTGGCGGACACGCGTGCAAGTCGCGCCGCTGAGGTCTGCAAGTCCTTCGAGAACGAGCTGGGTGTGACCCTGCCCATGAAGTACTTCGACCCCCTCGGCATGGCCAAGGACAGAACCGTCGCCTGTGATGGAGGCAGGCCAAATCTGCAGAGTACTTATGCACTGCCAGGACGACGATTCCGCTGACTTTCGCCGCCGCCGAATGGCCGAGATCAAGAACGGCGCCTCAGCGGGAAAGCGATATGGTAATCATTCGGCCGACGCCTTGCACCCACTTAGGACGCGTGGCCATGCTTGCCTGCATGGGCTATATCGCCCCGGAGTACTTCCGACTGCCTGGACTCTGCAGCCCCTCCAAGGGCAAGCTTCCTCAGAGCTTGCAGTTGATAATGCTTCGCCGCATTGCGCCGCAGTCCAATCAGTTCATGTCAGTACATAAGCCGCATGATAGAAGGAGGTCTTATAAATCATACTGCATAAAAGCCACTCATCAGCCGAGACATAGCCTGTCAGGCGTGGCGTTTGCGGACATCCCCAACGGCGTCCAGGCGCTCTACAAGATGCCCGCGGAGGCCGGGGGTCGTCACTTTTCAGCCTGGAGGCTCCATGGACAGCTTACTCTGCCATCGCTCGTGCCCACAGCGATACTGCAGTTACGTATATACGCGTGCCAAAAGCATCACTGTATATTATAGATATACGATGATATACGCATGTACACCCTGTATATATAATGTGCCTTTGCACCCTGTACATGTACATTTGTATGTATATGTATGTGTGCACATCTAGAATCTACTGCAGGCAAAAAGTGCCTGAAGTCGACACACATCACACAGCGCCACCCCTTTCCCCGTAGACTCCTAGCATCTGTTCGCGAAAATTACGTAATCCGCTACGGTGGCCACGTAAAATGGCCATCGGGTCCACCCCGCTTATCTGCGGCACAAGTGTATGCTAGTGGGAAGAGCTTCACTCCGCATGTCGAAACTTTCACACACGCGCACACACACACACACACACACCCGCACATGCATACACATACACATACACATGCACATACCCATACACATGCACATGCACATGCACATGCACATGCCCATACACATGCACATACACACGCACACACAGAGGCCTCTGTGTGTGTGTGTGTGTGTGTGTGTGTGTGTCTGTCTGTTTTTCTGTCTGTCTGTCTGTCTGTCTGTCCGCCTGTCTGTCTGTCTGTCTGTCTGTCTGTCTGTCTGTCTGTCTGTGTCTGTGTGTCTGTGTCTTTGTGTCTCTGTTTCTCTGTTTCTCTGTGTCTGTGTGTCTGTGTGTGTGTGTGTGTTGGTTGTCCATCTGTGTAATCTATGTAATCTAGCCGGTTTAACCGAACTATGTTCATTCTAAGCTAACATAATCTAACATACCATGATATTTACATGTTGCCATCTGTTAACTTTCGTCCATTTGTCCATTCTGAACCCAATATGGCATGCTTTCACATCTCCTGCCGGAACACCGGAGGATGAACATCGATAGCCCAAGAACCTCCCCTAGGCTGGAATACCCTCAACCACAAATTTGGCTGTATGATGCAAGAAGAGGTTCTGACTCGACCGCACAACCCCAAGCTGCTCCCGCGAAGCCCCAATGCCCCCCCCCCCCCCCCCAAAACCCCCCCCCCCCCCAAAAACCCCCCCCCCCCCCCCCAAAACCCCCCCAAACCTCAACCTTCTTACTGCAGGGTTGGGCCCAGATTGCCATCTTCATCGGCTTCCTGGAGCTGTTCCCAATGAGGCCCGCGAGCGAAAGACAGAATCCCAACAACCGCAAGCCCTATGGCGTGCTGCGACAGCGGAATCTTGAGGTATGGTGCTGGGGAATATGGGAATGCTGTTGTTCATGGTTTGGCTTTGGGTCCTTGTTTGGGGTTGGGGTGGGGGACCGTCGTGGCGCCTCCCTCCTCTGCATACAGCCCTGATATGGATGCAGTTTGACTCAGTTTGACATGCACAAAAAGTTAGGCATACAGCTAGAGCCAGGCAGGAGAAGGACCGCATGCCGGGTGACTTCCCTGGCTTCTCCAAGCTGGGCTTCGTGGGCGGCTCGGCCCCGGCCGTGCCTGGGCCTGGATTTGGGTGATCAGCGAGCCCTCGAGTTCATTTGGGGCCTAGGATAAGCCCCATAGTCTTCAATTGGTGGGAGACCATACTACTACAGTTTCCCATCCTTGTGGTAAAACAGTTTTGATAAGGGGGGAACAGCCGAAGCCCGAGCCTTAGACCTGCTTAGGCATATGCAATTATGAGTCGCTTCGCACGAGGACCCTTCCGCCAACCAGCGGTCCCTCGAGGCCGAGATCAACAACGGCCGGCTGGCGCCCTGAAGCATCCGAGTTTAGGGGTTTGACAGTCTTGGGGGGGGGGGGGGGGCGGGGGGGGCGGGGGGGGGGTGGGGGGGGGGGTGGGGGGGGGGGGGGGGGGGGGGGGGGCGGGGGGGGGGGGGAGGTGGAGGGGGAGGCGGAGGCGGGGGGGGGGGGGGGAGGCGGGGGGGGGGGGGCGGGGGGGGGGGGGGGGGGCGGGGGGGCGGGGGGGGGGGGGCGGGGGCAGCCTCGAATTGAAGTCATTAGGGCTGCAGGTTCAGCGCATGTCGTGCAGCATCCTTGCCTGGGGCTTAATGTCGTATCCTGATTAGTCTGGACCCCCTCAATAATGAAAAGTTTTCCAAAAATTATTCAGGAGACAAAAATTCGATTGCCCCCCCACAATAAAGTAAAGTTTTTCAGGCATGGGTTTCGGAAGAGAGAAAAAAAGAGAACAAGCTTTCCTGAGCTTACCTGAGCTTACCTGAGCTGAGCTCATCTGAGCTTACCTGAGCTTAATTATGTAAGAGGAGAGGGAAAGGAAGAGGAGAGGAAGAGGAGAGGGAAGAGGAGCGAAGAGGAAATGAAGAGGAGCCGGTGGGGGGGGGCCCGGAACCGAAAATTAGTTTGGGGGGGGTCCCTTTTTTTTGACACTATTACGGGGGTGATTTAGTTTGGGGGGGGGGGGGGGGCGCCCTCACACTAATCAGGATACCACATTAAGGTTGCGCTTCAGGTTTCGGGGCTTGGTGCTTAGGGCAGGCTTCACCAAGCTGCAAGACGGCGCCCCCAGATTCTGCACTGGATGTGCAAGCTTTGAAGTTTTTGTTGGGGCCATTTGGTTCAAGTAGGTTGGCACGCCACCGAGGCGATGGTGGCCATCACTGGCATGGTGGCCCAGAATCTCAGCCCAAAGAGTGCCAAGCCACCGAGTCGACCGGATGGTCCCAGTCAGACCATGTAATAACCTGTGTCATGGTTGGGTAGCATTTCACGTTTTTAAGGGTTCTTAAACCCAATCAGGAAGAAAACCAATTACATTTTTAATATTATCCCAACCATGAACTAGTAATGTAAGAGGATGAGTTACGCTTTTCTTGAGAGTGCCAGCACGGCATCTGTGAAATATCGCCTTTGACTACCCTTGCAGTGCATGGGTTAGTTGATGTTAGTTGTGTTCCTACGCTTTAGGGTTAGGGTTTAGGGTTTAGGGTTTAGGATCCCTCCCAGATACCATATCCACCTTGCCCAGGAACGCCTTCTTCGGCACGACTGGGCCAGCAATGTGGCTGCCTTCCTCTGCCTTCGAAGGCCTCAAGGGGGCTTTGATCAGGGTTCAGTCGGAAGCTTGTGATTCGAGAAATATGCCACTCCGACCCCTGCCTCCTTCCCCAGTCCTAACTACATCTTCATTTCCACTGGATTCCCCTATCCGAGCTTGCGAAATCTCACACACACACTGACTCCTCACCCTGCAGCCCTTCCCAACGCCAACCAACACGAATCAGCACAGTCTTGCTCATTCTTGGTTTCAAGAACTATGCCCCCGTGACCAATCCTCTGTGAACCTTCCCTCTTATCTCCAAACTTTGGACTCGTAGGATAGACTCACAGAACACCTTGAGGATCATCGCGCCTTGAGGATCGGAAGCCTTGTGTGCCAATCCACGGCCAAGCTCTACACCCTGCATACTGAGTTACTGAACCCATGGGTTTGCGGTTCCATGCCGCGTCTAAACCTCGTAAGATTGAGCTTCCACTTTCGTGCGATGGCAGGCGAGCTTGGCGTGCAGGCGCCCGTGGGCTTTTGGGACCCCATTGGCCTCTCCGCAGATGGCGACGCAAGGGGCTCAGCACTTTCATCAGCTTGAGCCCAAGAACTGACATCACAGGTTCTTAGCATTTCTGGTACCATGGACTCCCCGGAGCCCCCACAATTGCCCATCTTGGACCCAAGGTCGACACCTTCAAGCGCCGCCGCGCTGTCGAGCTGAAGCACGGACGCATCTGCTGCGGCCTCAGAGCTTCGGAGGGAAGTTTGTCTTCGGTAAGGGGTAGGGTTCAGGGCTTAGGGTTGTACGAGCTGTAGGTTTCTTGAGTATGACTTGAACTGCTCTTGCAGGCTGAGCCTTGAGGGGTTGTTTTGGGTTCAGGGATGTTCAGGTTGAACCCTACGCCCTACTACAAAGTGATCTGATAGTCAGTGGTAACCAAGCTCACGAAGGCCATCTACTGGCATGTCCTCATCCGTCTATCTATCCATGAATCCGTCCGTACAGACAGAGGCCTGTGCACGCAGAAGTTGGCCTGACTGCAAGGCAACAGCCATGCAACGCAAATTCTGCCCAGGCCCTCACAATGGTTCGCATGCATATTCACTCTCCAAGAAGCCTGAAGACTTCTCCATCCTGAGCCCTTGATCTACATATACTCCATCCTGAGCCCTAAAAGTCTACGTATTGTGCAAAGAGGCACCCTGCCCCTCCTCGAAAGCCCTCCATGAACTGCGCCTGAGGCATGTTGGCCTGCGTTCCTTGCCTGCAGTCGAAATATCCAGCAGAAGTTAGCTATGCAGGTCATATGTAGGGATTCCATGTAATCTTGGGGGCTTTCTTGCGCTTCTTTCAACAAGTTTTGGAGCTGGTGTGTATGGTGACAGCCATTCAACTTTAATCAACCATGTTTGGTGTTCCAGGGGACAGGTGACTTCTAGCATGGGATGCAGTGGTCGAATTTCCTTCGTGTTATAAGTAGGCAGATCGAGATGCCTCAAGTGACCCTGGCCACTGGCTACGTTGCCCTGTAGCTCAAGCCCTCGACCGCTGGAAGGTCGGCTACATCGTCCCGGAGTACTTTCGCTGGCCTGGATACCTCTCCCCGGACACGCAGGGTCAGTAGGGCTTTCACCTCAGAGGCAGGCAGCGTGCAGAGTTTTAAGGCCTCAATATTTCGCAATACTGTTCCATGCTACAATGTCCTTCCCACTACCAAGCAGGTGCTCCACTAGCAGGTCCAGATGGGAATTAGCTAGTTAATGCAAGATAAGACTGTTATTTGTCCTTTAGTTTTTGAAATTTGGGGTTCAGGAAAGCGGACGGTTTGACCCGACACCCTGCACTCCTCACTCATGATGGTGCTAGTGTACACAGCCCAAGACTTCAAGAAGCACAGCCCACCAGGATGGGCCACAATCCCCTTAATCAAACCTATAAAGGACCTTTTTAAGGGGTTATAGGGCATAGGGCCTTTTTAAGCGGTTATAGGTATAATAAGGCCTTCTTAAAGGCATTGTAGGGTATAATCGCCCATCCTGGCAGGAGAAGGGTCTCAAGTTCGCTGACATGCCCCACGGCATTGCCGCCATCTCCAAGGCGGAGACCTGCGTTTTGGTGCTATAGGGCTAACATAAGGGTCGGAATAATTACGAATAGTATTCCATTAGGGCCCGATATAGTATACTAATTATTGAGGCCCCTGTAGTAGGTGTGCAGTTGGGTTGCTGGGATATTGGGCTTGCGGATGCGATAGGGCCGTTGCGCAGGCTGGACGTCTGAGACGTTGCGAACTCACGATGTTGGTTGAGTTCGGAGTTCATCGCTACAGCTCAGACTCGAAGTGGCTTCCCTCGGCTTCTGTCGCTCACAGGGGCGACTGGAGAGGTCGTCATCACTACAGTACAGGTCTCCCAAATCCTGTTCAATAAGCTAAGCTTTGGGGCGTCTTATCAAGACAAGAGTTTTCAGTCACCAGGAAACTTGGCTTCCAATTTCTAAGGTTTATGTACTTGAGTTTACGAGGCGCCTCTTGGCTGGGGTCTTTGTTCTGTTCGTCTGCCTTTACAGACCATTTCCTCACCGGAATCAGCCTGAACAGGGTCCCTTTTCAGCTTACTCAGCTTTTGCGTGGGGTGCATGGCCAGATCGATAGGTACGCCCTGCACCAGCACTAGTGTCGACCTGCAGGTGCCCCTTGAGGGCTGGCTGCAGATCGTCCTGTTCGTGGGCCACTACGAGGGCTACTTCTGGCGTCAGGCAACCCGCCGCCCCCCCAAGCCCCCAAGCTGCCATCCGCACTCTGTGTGAGGGAGAAGATGCATGAGTTGCACAGGGTATTTGGGGTGCGCGGGTTGCTGCTGTTGATGTTCTGAGGATGCTGCTGCCTGTTCTGTCATCTCAGTTCTGTTCCAAACGGAGACCCTGTGTTTTTCTGACGTTCACGCCGGTCGGGGCTTGGCAAAGCCACGGGAACCTCAAGGTCGCCTTGACTTTATACAGAGCTCGATACCAGGACCCCAAGCGCGCCCCTGGCGACTACGAAGGCGAGTTGCATCGGCGTAGGTTTAGGGTTTAGGCTTTGGGGGTTTCGGATTTAGGGTTTAGGGTTTAATTGGGCGCTGTTCCGTGTGCATTTTGGGCTATTTCTTACAACAAGGATGCCGCTGCTTTGTGTACCCAAAGAACTGCAAAAATACTGCGTATGCCTAAGTTCTGGAAACCCCCGAAACCCGAAACCTCAAGGTAGGAACTCCTACGTCTCGAATATCCCCGGCTGAGGGATGGGCAGGCAAGTTGTTCAAATGCTCCCATGCTCGGGAGCCTCCAGGCTGTTTGTAACAGTTCTTTCCTTACAACGCCCCTGAAGCTTTGATAAGGTTCCTGAGCTTTTATAAGGTTCCTGAGGTTAGGGTTCATGGCAGGGCGTGCCGCGCCCTCGTCAGCATTCCGTAAGAGGCCCTCTGGGACCTCTCGAGCGCTCCTGCTGAACATCTCCACCCACCATGTGGGACTTATATGGGCCATCTTACAGGGCTTATGGGGCAGGGGACCCTAAACCCAAAACACCCTATATACGCTCCAAACCCTGAAACCGAAAACCGTATCGACCCGAAACCCTAAAACCGAAAACCCCGCACCTTGCACCTGGACCATATGGAGGCTACGGCTTCCTGGGCGTGGGCAAGAACTTCATCATCAACGTCGACCCCATCGAGTTTCAGGACTCAGAGGCACATGGGTTTAGCGGTTTCGCCTAAACCCCATAGACATCTACAGATCCCAAGGCCCTAATGCGTGTAGAATGCAGGTGAAGAAGACCAAGTTGTCGGCCGAGATTGCGAATGGACGACTGGCCGCTCCGGCTGAAACCTGCACTCCGCCTTCCCACCCTAAACCCCAAACCCCAAACCCTACTCCCCCCCCCCGCACACCCCACCACCAGTCCCAGGCCATGGTGGCCTTGATGGCCATGCTTTTTCAGAACGGCACGGTCGGCTCGACCGGCCCGGCCACTTGCCTGGCTTAGGGCTCGTTCTGAAGCCGTCCTTAAGGCACAGCGCATCATGCTTGAGGCCCAACTTGCGAGATCCCTTGCGACCATGTCAGCAACAGCCCTGACACTCCCAAGCCTAAATTTGTGAAATCCCCCCAACGGCGTACATTAAGCTATCACCTTAACCTTCTGTCGAGTAAGGCCATGTGGCTGCCAGCAGCATGAGCTGCCTGAGCCCGGCCCGTTGAAAGGAGCGGGAAGACGGCGCAGCACAAAAAGCCCACTTGGAGGTTCAGGGTACTTATAGCCCTAATTATAACTGTACTTATAAGCCCCCTAAGTCCCCTAAGTAGGTTATAACTAGACTTATAGCTGTGGTTATAAGCAGGAATCTGCAAAGCATGCGCGTGGGGGGGGTTGCCCGCAAGGACTGCTGCGCACAGCTCCACGTGTTTCTCGTTCCGTCCCGATTAATAATCGAATCTGCGCAGTTCCGTCAATATGAACGAAGAGGCGAGCTTCGAAACAATCTCGGTTCCGTGTGAGTAAACATGAAGCTGACAGAGCAAAGCGAGTAGGCTTCAACCCATGAGCCAGCAGAAGCTTTTTGGACAGGTTAGGTTGCATGCCTGGCAGCTGCAGGATTGCTACATATCTCAACATATACCGCGATCTTTTCGGCCGAAGCACCATATCATACTCAAACGATCTAGGTTGCCTTAACTCAGGGCCTTGAATACATTCTAATGGACATGCTTGGTTTGAGTTGAGAAGATCAGGAGGGTTCCATCCAGAACCTATGGGGAGTTAGAATGCTGAGAAACTTGTCTTTTGAGAATCGTGTGGCTCTTTCCTCCTCTTTCTATCTACTCAGAACAAGTTGGCATAACTTGTGGAGTTCCCATGGTCAGTTTAGCGTACTCAAATCTGCACATGTTTGTCGTCCACAGACACTGGGAACCAGAAACCTCAGACAATCAGTTTGGGAACGGGACGTTGGTGTGGGTTGGCTGCTCATCGTTCTTTTGGACACTTCGTGTAGGCATCATACGAGACCCCATCCATGCAAGGTGCCCAGACCCACAAAAGGCTTGATTTTATCCAGCAGCCGCAGCTACTTACTTCTCCGCTTGTCTGCAGGGGCTCGCAGCTGGCAACTCCCCTGCTCTGTGTCGGGGGTCCGGGTGTGTGTTCTTCCTGGGGCCAGATGGCCACAGTCGCTCAACGAAGCGAGTCTGCTGCTTCCACCGACCCTGCGGAAGCCGAGGATGCGCAGGTGCAGCAGGAGGCCTCGGCTGCCGCAGGGATTACGATCTCTGCCGGGCTTGAGCGAAAATGGGCATTTCCCAAAAAAGGGGTACCCCTTTCTAATTCTACCCCAAATAGAATGGAAGTAAGAAGGGTACCCCCTATTTTCGGAAACCCCCAAATAGCCCCTGAAGACCTAAAACCCAAACCCGTATGCAAAATGTGCTTTCCTCGGCAGGGTATCCGTGAACGAGCTCGGCGCTCTGAGCTGGAAGAAGAGGCGGGTGATGCAAAGATCTCGCTCTGATACACGTGCGCAAAGTGGGCTACGCCGGAAGCCCTAAGTTGAGTCAGCTGTTTATCATGCGCAACCTTATTCGGTTCCTTTTGCCCTAATCCCTAAACCCTAAAGAGATCGGGATCATCAAAGCAAGCCAACAGGGGTCCTGTCATGCTTCAGATTATTTGCCATTTATTTGGTGCTTCCGAGCAAGCAGTTGTAGTTGTTCTCCATAAGCTCAAAATTTGTGTTTTCTTTTGTACATATCGTGTGGTATGGGACTTGTTGTCAAGGTCGTCAAAGAAGCACCACGCATCATCCCTGGAGTTGCAAAAGCCCCGTTGTTAAATAGCTAGAGCTAAGGGCCCTTCATTTGGGTCATAGGTATTGTTTTTGTTGAAGGTATGCCCCTTAACAAATGTTTGTATAGTTGCAGGGGCCGTCCCTGCAGTCTTGGGAATGTCAACCTACCCCATGCCAAGCGCAGAAGCGAGCAAACCCTGAAAAGTCCCAGCCCCAGCCTATTGGACCTTGCTCATAGTCCTCTTGCATTATGTTTCATTTTGTTCATGTAGAGCTCAAGCAAACTAAACCCTAAACCCTAAACCCTAAACCCTAAACCCTAAACCCTAAACCCTAAACCCTAAACCCTAAACCCTAAACCCGCACTTACGCTTCGGTTCTACGGAGAGAGCAATGCATTGTTCGCAGAGGCATCCTGGACCTTCGTCGAGCTTCCTGATGTGGGCGGCGGCCCCAGGCTTCTGAAAGTTTAAGAAGCCAAATAGTTGGAAACTCAATAGCCTCAAAACCCCTATAAGAGTACAGGGGGGTAGCGGGGGGTGGGGGGGGGGTAGGGGGGGGGGGGTGTATAGGGAATCCCAGCACTATTTGTCCTTAAGGTTTCCAACTTTTTGGGGCTTACTGTAGGTGCCAGGGGTGGAAGGGATTGCTTTCTGTTGGCGATAGTGGTGGTGTAGTAGCAAAAGTAGGAAGGGTCGAACAACGGTATCAACGTGATAATCATGATCGTCATATTGGTATTTCAGTAGTTAGAGCAAAGCAAAAATGAAATCGTAATCATAGTAACTTATTGTTGGGGCACGTTGCAGGAATGCACCTGTCACGTTTGCGGCACGGCTTTGGGCTGCTTGTGATACCCTTGTCGATTGCCAAGACTCTATCACAGAATCACTAAGCCCTAAAACCCCAAAGCCTAAAATGTAACCGTAAGCCACCATAAGCCCTTAAGCCCCCTGCCCTGAACTGGAGCCCAGCTTTCAAGGAACACCAAACCTCCAGGAGTAAGCCCATGTACACCACTTTGGGGCTTGAGGGCTTTGGGTCCTCCAGCCTTTGCTTTTGGGATACCCTTGCAAGCCTGGGTCGGCCTTATATCCCGAGCTGCACGAACCATCCCCTATCCATAGCAACCTATGAAACTCACCAAACCCGAGCCGATGGAAGAAGCACATTTCGTTGTGACATGATCTCGGCATCGGGAGCGCTGGCTCCGGCAGTGGCCTTGGCGGCCACTTCCTTATCGATCTACCTGCTTGGGGCACTTGTGAAATCCTCCTGGCAGCTTGGCGCAGCTTGCCACGAGGGCAAACTCGAGACTCCTCCGGCCTCCACCGTCTCCAGCTCCCTCTCCAGCTCCCTGCAACAAGGGCCGACCGTCGGGCCGACCGTTGCAGGAAGCATCCTGCGCACGACACCTCCTGCCACCGTTTTCGTGGTGAGCTTTCCCAAGACCGGCTCCACGACGATGGTGGTCCGGCTGAGCAAGTGGCTCCATGAGCATGTAGATCCAGATGCGACCGTGGAGAGATGCCACATGTCAGACTGCTCGGAGCTTGAGCACTTGAACTGCACAGCTTCGAGGTGGTGTTTGTTTGTCTCGGGCGTACGACGCAACGGGGAGCAGGTTGTGTCGTGGTACTTCCAGTCAAAGTGCGGCAAAACGGAGATAGAACCGAAATGCAAGGAGGCGGTGAAGATGAGCGAGCAGGACATGTTGAAAGACATGCTGAAGTTTATGAGAACGAAGGAGGCGCCGATGCGGAACTGGTGGATGGACACCCTGCGAGCCTTCCGCAAGATTGGACTAGGGTTTCAGATGGATGAAATGCTCAAAGATGGTGTGTCCGAGCTGCCAGAGGCTTCATGGGTGATCTTGCCCTTCGAATGGAGTGTGCAGGAGCGTGAAGAGAAACTTGGCAAGTGGATGCCAAATGTAAACTTGTCTTGGGATGGAATGAGCCACAAGAAGCGGGTCTACTCCTCTCAGCTGGGGCGCATGGTTCAGATCTTGAACAGCTCGCAAGGACCACGCATAACGGCAGCCAGGGCGAAGCTGCTTCTGCAAGACACCATGCTGTTTTTTTATAAGGATCGAGGGTTGGCAGCCTGAGGCTGTTCCAGGTCGCCATCGGCGCTGCGAAAGAGTCTTACAGCAACCTGCTGACCCCCTAAACCCTAAACCCTAAACCCTAAACACCCTTCCTTCCTTAAAACACAACACGACGAAGATTTTGTGGGCCAAAGATGCCCAGTGAAATGTGCACCTTCCAGGTAGTGGTCCGTCAGCGTGTGACGCCTGTCCTGATATGCAAGACTTCACAAGACCTGAGGAACTGGTGCTCCCTCTAAACAGCCCCCAAATCTCTGTAAACCCTAAACCTCCTCAACCAGGACCTGAAAATGGAGCACTTACTTCGCCAGTCACATTGGTTATCTTGCGTATCTTGCGTTTGCGGGTCTCTTTCTTGAGCTCACTGCCCCTTCTGCGCAGGCAATGTCGAGGCTCATGTGGCAGGCGCTTTCTGCTGGGGTTCAGGGAATCCCTGAACCGCATAAGCCTATAAACCTCGAACCCGGGGTGCAACACGACCGTAGTGAGCGGAGACTGGTTTTCTGGGGCGAAACTTGGGAAAGCCTTGTTGGAGATCAGAGTGGAACGCAAACCCTGAGTACTTTCAAAACTACCTGAACTACCGTAAACCATTCACCCCCCCCCCCCCCCCAAAGAAAAGAAACAGAACAGAACCAAACCAAACCAAACCCGACCAAACCCAACCCCAACTCCCAAATCCCCCCCAAATCCCCCCCAAATCCCCCCCCAAATCCCCCCCCAACTCCCCCCCAAATCCCCCCCAAATCCCCCACCCCCAACCCAAAGCTCCCTTCTCCACCTTGGGGATGCTGCCCTCCCCCCGCTTCCACAAACCCCAAGCCCCAAACGCCCACAAAATATCAAAGGAATATAGTATGTATGTATGCATTATATATGCATATATATATATATATACGTATATACATGTATATACATATTATAGTCATTTCGGCAATTCTACGCTCTGGCTCATCGGCCTTCCTGAAGGCGATCCTTCACGTATTCGGTGGCTGCGGGAGGGCGCACGGAGGCAGGACCCCTCTTTTTTCAAGCTCATGAAGCGGAGTGTCCGAGGATCTCCCATGCCCATGCAAGCTGCACCGAAGAAGAATACCTCAAGCCCACCATCCTGCCCTGAACCCGAAAGACCCAGCCCTCAAGCTCTATGTGGAGCCGAAGGCCTTCGGGTCCTAAACCCAACGCCCTAAGCCGGCCCTAAGCCCCAACCTCAAATCCAACCGCCAGGTTGTTTGCTTGCGGCATTGGCTTACAAGAGGCAAAGTCCCCGACCATGGCAGCCCCGGATGGGGCTCAAGAGGCACTGGTGGGGAAAGGGGTTCAGAGTTCAGGGTTTCGGATGCAGCGTTAAGCGGGGCCATATTGATTCATATTGCGAGCAACAAGACGCGCTGTCGCAAGCGTCTATGCCTATTGCGTGCCTGCCCTGTTGTGTACGTGCCCGTCACCATCAGACAAGTTCGTGCGGATGGAGACGTCCTTGTTGACCTTTCCAGTGGACATGTGCGCCTGGGTAAGCGCAGGCTGGAAGCTTCATGCAGCCAGGTTGTAGGGGCCCAGAACCAACCAAGATTTAGATCAGCTCACGCATGGCAACCGTAAGTCCTGACGAGTCAGGTGCAGGGACATGACTTCGCACCCATGAAGCGCCTTGGCGGAAACTGAGCCTCCGCCCCAGTGGTAATCCCTCTCGGGCGTGGGGGGGCAGGTTTAGTTTCGGGATTCAGGGTGCGGGAATTCAGGGCTTAAATGCTCAGACGCATTTTATCAATGGGGATGAGAGTAGTGCATTTTTTTCGGCCGGGGTTTGGGCCAAAAAGTTTGTTTCATGACCGGCTTCCATTATGCTAGGTTGTCCAGAGCCTTTTTAATAATGAAAGACTACTTCCGGAAAATCCTCAAATTCGGTGTTTAGATATCTTCTTGCCGGCTTTCTTCAATCAAACAGAGACGGTCTGGCAGAGAGTGCTGCACTTCAGCAGCTACTTGATCAGAGGAAATCCCAGAAGAGGCCCAGAAGAGAGGCCCAGAAGACACCTGGAACAAGAGGCCTCTTCGCGAAGGGTCTGGGAAAGGCAGGAGGCCCATCCCCCGCTCCCCACCCTTTCTGACTAGGACCCCGGTCCACAGAACTTTCGCGTTCAAACTCAAAATCCAAACTGCCGTCTCACTTGATGCCTGTGATTTGCAGGGTGTCTTCTTGCCTTGTTGTACGTCTTCTGTGCGATGGCTGCAAAAAAGTCCAAAACTGCAGGAACTTGCTTGCTATGCCAGAGACTCTTAGTGAGTATTCCTTAAACTTTAACCATGCAAGGAGCCCTCTTCTAGTTTAAGAACAATATTCCTGAAATGAGGGGTTTTGGAGTCCCTGGGTAGCCATGATGGGTGCTTGGGGTTAGCCGATCCCTGCCTTCTCTCGGATATCTTATCAGTTCTGAGTAGGGAATCAGGTACCCTGTATCCCCTACAGAACAGAAATTCCGTGTGGTAATGAGGCCCACTCTTGAGACAAAGTTGGGAGTGAGGCTCCTGACCTACTTCCTCTTCTTGCTCCTCGGCGCCACCATTCCCGTGGCGAGCGTGGGCCTAGCCAAGGAGCTGTTCGAGAGCCTCGTGCGGCTGGGTGGAGCTTCGGGGTCTTGAGCTTGTGGGCTTTTGGGAGCTGTTGGGGGGGCCTTTGGAGGGTTTCTGAGGGCCTTTGGGGGGGTTTCAGGGGGCCTTTTGGGGGGTTGAGATTGTGGCGCGCAGGGAAATATTGATCCTGGCTTCCCTAAGTTCCCGCTCCTCCCTCGTTCTCGCACTCTTCATGGGGGGTTCTACCTTGGACCCCTAGGGTTGTACCCGTTGGGTTTGGGCACCCTTCTTCAAGATCCTCTCAGGGAATATAAGGACCATATTCGGAGCGTGCTGCTTCCCGATCGCGCGCTGTGGCAACGTCGCAGCGCTCGAATGCGCAACGTTCAGATCTCGAGTCGCTCGTAATGCTACGAAGCTTCAAAATCTCCGAAGCGTTCAAAGCATCGAACCTTCGAAGGTGGCCGCGAGGAAGCGTCAAGTTCTGAGGTTTTTGTTATCCTTCAAACTGGTGGATGTTCTTTCAGACACTTGACCTGGTAAAACCTTCAACCGGTTGAGCTCTTGCACCTTAATGCTCCGAAACCTTTGAGTTCGAACAGTTTTCCAAACTCGACGCCCTTCAAACTTTCGCACTCGAAGCCCGGACCCGCAGCGTTTGCTGTGATATATATGCACCATGTCGTTTGGAAACTTCAAGTTCCAAATTTCCGGCTCCGAACTTTCAACTTCGAAGGTCTTTTGCTTTCTTCAAGGTTTCAACCTCTCAAACTCGGAAGTCTCGACAGACGTGTGAAGGTTTCGAACTTTCAAGGATCCGATGTTGAAGCGTGCTCGGGCCCGTTTCCGAATCCTACACCTTAATAACGGACTCAACACTCTAGACCCCAAGCCCTGTAGAACGCAGGGCATTGAGTCCCAAACAGCATCAAGACAGGTTTAGGGTTTAGGGTTTAGGGTTTAGGGCTGTCCCTAGAAACCTTGGAAAGCCCAGGCGAGCCGGGGGCTGGCGGGCCGCCGCTGTCATGGCCACCAGCTTGCTCGTGGCGCCATCAGGAAGAAGCAGGCGCAGGGTTGTTTGCATTTTATGGGGGGGTGTCCGAAACCCTAAACCCTAAACCCTAAACACTAAACACTAAACCCTAAACCCTAAACCCTAAACCCTAAACCCCCACAATGGGACCAGGGAGGGCCTTTGCAGGGTTGACCTAACGCTTGAGCTCCGAACCACCAAAGCCCACATCTTCCCCAAAAGCTTCGCACCCCCTGAACTTCCTGTGGGGAATTTGGCGGAAGGCGGAGCCCCTCCTTATTATACGGGAATCCTACTATTTGGGGTCCATATCAGGGTCCCCTATTTTCGTAAACCCCCATTTCAAGGGTCGCTCTTTTTGGTAGTTTAGGGTTGCAAGAAGAACCCTTGCAACAGCTTCTTGATGCTAGCGAAGGAGGTCTCACACCTGGAAAGTGCAAGAAACTGCACAAACAACCCTACGCCTTTTGAGCCACAAGCATCCCTGAGCCAGAACCCCCAAAACCTATAGAACCCCAAATTGCCAAAGCCCTCATATCGTGAACCACAAGAGTTCGAATGCTGAGAGTTAAAACCCATGAGCCTTAGCCCGAACACCTATACCCAAACCATCAGCGGTGGTTGGGAGATGCCCCCTAAACCCCTAAACCCCTAAACCCCTAAACCCCTAAACCCCTAAACCCCTAAACCCCTAAACCCCTAAACCCCTAAACCCCTAAACCCCTAAACCCCTAAACCCTAAACCCCAAAACCCCTAAACCCTAAACCCTAAGGCCCTAAGGATACCTGTGGTGGGATGGCCCAGCTCCTACTGGCCAACCCTTGCACCTCAACCCCTTTTTGAACTGTCACCTTCTGAGTTCCATGGCTGTGGGCTATCGCCTGGCTGCTTGGCATTTCAGGGCCGGTTTTTGGGAAAAAAGAACCTCCTTAGACCCAAATAAATATGTTCAGGCACATTCATTGAGGGTCGCAGGGCCTGGAGAAGGAAGGGTTTGCGGTTGTTTTGTCAGCTTCGGGGGTTCCGTATGCAGCAGTCAGCATTCGGGCCTTAGAGACAGGGCTTCCACCCGCCATTAGGTGGTTAAGCTGAACTGTGGGCCCTTATTGTTTTTGCGCGTGCCTTTGTATACCTGCAAGGAGGATAAAGCCACAAAGAAGTGGCCCAATCTAGACCAACTTCCATGTGCTGGAGGCTTCAGGCTTTCGGATCCAGGATCGGATTTAGGATTTCGGCTGTCGGGTTTCGGCGTTCTGGACTGTTTTGGACTACCACTGATGGGCCTTTGGTCCCGGTACTTTGGCTCTCTTTTTTTGTTTTTTCCTTTTTAGCGGGGTCTTCGAGAGAGCAGTGGGGCCATGAAATTGGGGTACCTTATTGGGGTCCTTCTTACAAAGGAATCTTACTATTTGGGGGTCTATAATTCAGAGGAAGAAATCGAAAAGTGCGAGGCTGCCTTCTGTGGGTGGCTGGCAGCTTTCGTGGTCAGCTGGTCGCCACACGCGCCCATCGCGCTCATCATGCCCATTGGCCTCGCTTACCTCAACCAGGTGTTCGCAGACGAAGAGTCCTCCCGGTGGTACACTTGTTCCTCGGGGCTCCTGGTGCCCTTTTGCCTTTGGTGCTTTATGTTCACAAACTAATAATAACAATAATGGTAATAATAGCAACAACAATAACAGCTTATAAGTCGTAGCTACTAGCTAATATAATATTCTAGGCCTAAAGTGCAGAAACCGCGGAAGCTTGGAGTCTTGGAGCAAGCTGTCGTCGTCAGGTGAAGATGTCATCAGGTACCTATCAGACAATTCGGGGAAGATCAGCGACTTGCTGAAGAAGGTGGCACCGCTGAACATTCTGGGAACAACCGTGACTTCCTTGACGAGATCATTCGCGCAGATGTGGATGGTTGGGCAGGTGCCCGTGCTGCACGGCTTCCGAATCTTGCGGCCACCCACCTATTTTGATATGTTTCTTGCGGCTAGATGTAGGGTGAACATCAAAAAAGGTCAAAGCGCCGGCCCACCGCACTCTGAATTGAGGACTTAAGCCATATGCCTTCCTCACGGTCAAGGGATAGTTTCTGGTCTCCTGAGACCCTAAACCCTAAACCCGAAACCCTAAACCATACCAGGTGCTGAACTTTCTTCGGGAAGTGCTGAAGGGTGGTGCGGCGCGGGTTCTTTGCGCCTTCAGTGCGCTGTCAGGCGGGTGGTTGTTTGAAGCAGGTGGCAACACCCTGTGCGAAGGCAACCTTCCCCCAAAACCTGCACAACACCCCCCCCCCCCCAACTGAGATAGAGGGCGTCTTCAGCTGGATGTAGGTCTCAGACGACCTACATCCAACTTGCGTCTCTATACTGCTTGAGCCCTTAACCAGGACAGGAGTGAGATTCAACTCCTCAAGCCTCGTTCACTTCCCGAAGCCTGCACCCCAGACGTAAACTCTGCAAGCTCCGTCCAAACCCTCCTCTGAAAGGCTGCCTCCTGGCCTGCTCCCTCCATTCGTGCCTCGAAAGTTTGGGCGTTTACTGTTTGACCCTAAACCCTAAACCCTAAACCCCAAACCCTAAACCCTAAACCCTTTGAGGGCAGTTTACGGCGTAGTGAGTTGCCAGGAGTTGATGCTTCACGGTGCAGGACTTGATTAAGGGTGGCCCGAAACCCCCGAGCACTGAAGCCCATGCCCCAAACTCCAAAATTGTAAACCCCAACAGGCTCTGGCACACAGAGAACCCTGTAAGCCCCCCCAGATTGGGGCTTGTAGGTCAGGATGCCAGGAATTGAGTTTCAGGGCGTTGGGTGGTGTAAGAGTTGCGCTTGCGGGCGAAGCTCATGCAGCCTCATCCTGGGGGGTTCATGGAAGCTTATTAACTAATTATAACTGTACTTGTAAGCCGCTTAGGAGCCCCTTAAGTGCCCCAATACGATGAACCTCCAAGCACCTGATGTAGTAGCGTTGGCGCAGCCTCGTGTGGCTCAGGACTGTTGTCATTCTGCAAAGGATATATCCCCCACGGCCCCCACAGGGCCTCAAGGAGCCTGCCACCAAAACTCCACATTCAACACACGCAAACCCTAGACCCCCCGGAGCCTGAAAAGTCCTTTAAAACCGGAGGTGGTGGCTCAACCTCCCTGGCCTGGTGACCACTGTTGACTTGCCGACAGCCATCGCCATCTCGCTCGCCACGGGCTCGGCCTTGGGATTTAAGGGCTTGGGGGAACTCAGGAAAAGAGCATAGACTCCTGGGTGTTCGGGGCGTTTTGGGTAGAATCCTGGGGTTTGGGGCGTTTTGGGTGTTTAGAGATGTGCGTTCTTGGGGTTTCGGCCTCACACCACAGTGACGCCAAACCAGGAGAACCCCCGAAGGCCCCCAAGCCCTGCTCCGAAAGGTCATCTTCCACCTGCTGGTGGGCAAGTTCATCGGCAGAGGCGGCAGCAGGACATAGCCTAACGCCCCAACACCTGAAAACGAAAACGGGCGATTGCGAGCCTCAAAGCCCCAACGACTTCCTTGTTTTGGAGCCTCGGGTACGGCGGGTAACGGTCGAATCTTCGAGAGGACTCAGATGGGCAAGGCAGTCCTCACCGTGCACGTCATGGCGATGACCCATCTGTTCTTCGACGCTTTCTTTCAGGCCCGTTGGAGGTGGTGATATCTCCATGAGGTATCTAGATGCTGCAGTGGCCAGCAAATATATACATGGGCAGGTCATCACAGACCATCCGCGAACCAGCTGCTGTTGTCAAATGCCAGACGAAGTCTTAGACACACTTCGTGTTATCAACCTCAGCATGTTAAGGCGGTTAAGGGCTGCAATTCCGCCTGCACGTGGACCCCACGCCATCGCTTCCACAGGGGCAGATGTGTGGCACCACGCTGTTCTCGCCCATATTCTTCTTCTCCATCCTCGCCTCTTCGGCTGGAAGTGCGGGGGAGTTGTCCTCGTGTGTTTGGTACTGCTGCTTCAGCCTTTCGGACGTTCGGGCTACTGTACTCGCTTATAGAGTCCAGGCAGGCAGATTGCGAAGAATGGAGGCTAGGCTTTTTCTGGTTTCTTTGGCCGTCCACCGCTTCTGTGGAGCAGCTTCTGCTGTGGTGTTGGGGGGGGGGGGGGGGGGGAGAGGGAGGATACGCTAAACCCTGAAGGGGTCAAAGCCCGGAACCATGAGCCCTGTATAAGGCTCATCTTGGAAGCCCAGGTGGTGTGTAAGATCGCACCCGTTCTTCGTGGATGGATGGCAGGACAGCTCCTTTGCTCAATGGCTCAGATGTAGACTCTTGCAGACTGTTGCGGAAGCAGTTCTCCTACACGTCGCTTTGTGAGCATGGGGCAGAATGCACCACAACGCACCCTAAACCCTAAACCCTAAACCCTAAACCCTAAACCCTAAACCCTATACCCTATACCCTAAACCCTAAACCCTAAACCCGGTCTCCCAGGCGCTGGTCGATCTGCTAGTCTAGCCATAGCGCCTTGGTCAGCATGCTTCTCGGGTCTTAAGGACAGCTTGGGATGTTCCCCCCTTTTGCTAACAGGGTCTAGGGTCTAGGGTTTAGGTGTTCCCCTTGTACTAACAGTCCTTAATAGAGGTTATAGTACCCCCCTTATAATCCCCTGTGAGTTTAAGGGGGAACATCACAAAGGACAGCTGTCTACTGTTTGCTGTAGGGTCCATGGAGCATCTGGGGTTTCAGGCTCAAGAGCCTTGTTCAAAGAGAGCAACCCCGAGCGCATCGTTCTTTCTAACCATGTCATCCCACCCACGAAGTCTAAATCGGCCCACTCCCCAAACCAGCACCTTTTCAAGCTTTCATGTTATAGAGGAATTCCAACCCGAATGGTCCGAATGCCTCCGCCACAGAACTCTGCTCATCCACTGGGTGGGCACGTTGAAAGATTGGCCAAAGCCCTAGATACCAAACCTAAACCTAGGTTCTTTGTATAGAACGTGGGAATTTGGAACCCCTGCAATGACTTTGAGGGTTTATACAGTACCTACATCCCTCATTCCCCAGCAAGAACTAAGAGAATTGTAGTAGTAGTAGTAGTAGTAGTAGTAGTAGTAGTAGTAGTAGTAGTAGTAGTAGTAGTAGTAGTAGTAGTAGTAGTAGTAGTAGTAGTAGTAGTAGTAGTAGTAGTAGTAGTAGTAGTAGTAGTAGTAGTGTAGTAGTGTAGTAGTGTAGTAGTGTAGTAGTGTAGTAGTGTAGTAGTAGTAGTAGTAGTAGTAGTAGTAGTAGTAGTAGCAGTAGTAGTAGTAGTAGTAGTAGTAGTAGTAGTAGTAGTAGTAGTAGTAGTAGAAGTAGTAGCAGTAGCAGTAGTAGTAGTAGTAGAGTAGGCAGCCTTTAACCGTTTGAGGGGTCTTATATTCCCTTTGTAATCCCAAAAGGCGAGCCTTTAGTAGGATACTGGACAGCCTCTAAGACATGTACCCAAGCCGACCCACACCTCTTGTGCTTTTCTCAGGCCTCCTTGTGATCAGAGCAAAGTTTGCTTTGGTTGGGGGCTTCCAGATGGGAGCTCCGTTCTCTGGGGCCTAGGGATTAGGGTTTGGGGCCTTTCGTGTATGGACTGCCCAGAGACCCGAGCACCCGCCCTAGGAACCATTGTGTGCGGTCTACTTTGGGGTGCAGGCTGTAGGGTTGTCAGCAAAGCCACCAGAAAGGATGCCTACAAAGGGCATATGTACATAGCTGCACGGTGACGCAGGACATGGATCCACGCATGGGGTGTGAACTCCTCCGGAGAAGCCACAGGGATCAAGGCCCTGGGCCAGAATCATTCACACTTCTACTGGAGCCATGCCGGTCAAGCGATTTGAACGAGCCCGGAAGCATCAAAGCCAGCAAGCCTGCAGGTTTTGTTTGGGGTGCCGATGTGCAGAGGCTTCTCGAGTCAAAAACGCCATCGTTGACGACCACGCACTCTTAAGCTTGAATCATGAAGTGCGAATGTAGAGTCTAGGACGGAGTGACTAGATTGGCAATCTGGCATTGATGTGAGGCTCATCAATGCACCAAGCAAATGCAACCTTTGCCCGGGACCTGAAGAGCTCAATACGTCCCATGGACGAAGGTATATCCTCCTACATTAAAGTCATTTAAAGGGCACTGAGCTTTTTGGGCAAGGCTGCATCCGTTTCGGGTGCCCTTTGCCTTGCAATTAGCTGCAAAAGGAGTCACCTTCCTCTTGTTCAGGGAACTAGGGACCTAGGTACCCTGTGATTCCTTTAGAGGGTTAAGTGGGGGTACAAACGGCACCTGGTTCCCTGAATCGCTTCTGAAGAACTAACCCTAAACCCCTAACCCTGAGCCCTGAGCCCTATAAGCCCTAAACCCTAAACCCTAAGTAGTGGGAAGGGCCATGCAGTGACCCGTTATCACTTTGCTCCGGCTGAGGCGCGGCTGCCCGTGCCAAGTAGGCGCCGTTCCGTTCCAGAGGGAGCTCCCCACAGGGTTTAGGGTTTAGGGTTTAGGGTTTAGGGTTTAGGGTTTAGGGTTTAGGGTTTAGGGTTTAGGGTTTAGGGTTTAGGAGTCTAGGAGGGAGTTCCCCTGCAATGGAGCGTCAGCAGTGCTTCATTGAGCCTCTTTGGAAAGAGGCCTTCTACCACGCCCGAAACCCACGCATCCTGAAGTTTGAAGCACCCCGTGATCGAATCCCTTGCCTTCTCACTCAACCCTAAGTGGATGCCGAAGCTTCCCAATTCCTGAACCACCACCCCAGACCCTAAGCCCAACCCAGATCCCGAAAACTTGCGCAGAAACCACCCTAAACCCTAACCCCTAGACCCGACCGCCATCCTGTAGGGCCTTATTAGCGTGTAGGGCCCCCGCTCATGCCATCACCGAAACATGCCGGGCTGCTTTCCGGGGCTGCAGGCTTTAGAGTTCCGAGGGTTTAGGGAGGCTTGGAGCTATAGGTGGCAGGGGGTGTGGGCAGTTTAGGGTTCAGGGTCATAGGGCTTGTCGAATGGAAAGCGACCTGGCACCTTACATCCTAAATTTAAGATATCGGGTTCGTGGAAGGCCTCCATGCTTAAGGACTAGAGTTTGATCGACAAGAAAGCAGGCGAGGCCGGAAACAAAAGCAGACAGATCGGAGTTGGTGCATGTAGAGTCCAGTTCCTGTAGTGAAGCCCTATAAGCCCAAACGGTTCTGATATGGGTAGCCGAAGGATTCCTGTCAGGCTTCTCACATTCGGGGCTGTGTTCGGGATCCAAGGCGCCAGCACTGAAGAGTTGGGACAGAGGTCGTGGAACAGTGAATCGATGTTTTGTTTGATATCTGGGGTGCCTCGGCATACTCCTCAGGAAATGCGTGCTCTGGACGTGAGGGCTCAAAACGGCTAGTTTCAGCTAATGCGGTGTCAGATAACTGATGAGGCTGCCGCTTTCAGTGCTAGCCCTAAACCCGAAACCCTAAATCCTAGGCTGAGGCCGCCGGTTTCTGCAGCTGCTTTTGCTCGCCACGTGGGATACGAAGGCACCTCCCCACCCCAAAAAAAAAACAATAAGAAGCTCAATACCCCTGATTTGCAAGGGAAACACCCTATGAGCCCTTGTTCTTTCTGCTCTCACCCACGGCTCCCTGAACCCCCCCCACGACGCGTTTTTCCTTTCCAAAGGACCCTATAACAGGGACCCGAATTTAGAGAACTGCCCTTCTGAAGTGCTTGGATTTGGATTTCGACCCTGCAGTGCCCCATCCGCCTTGTAGCAGCGAGCCATGGAGACTCCCTCGTTGGTGAGATGCTTGTTGGCACCGCCATTGATGCGAGCAGCCCTCAGAACATGCCGTAGGGTTTGGGGTTTAATTTGGGCTTGGGCTACAACAGCAATGAGGACCTTGTGAGTTTACATGTTCCTTCATTGGGTTGCAGAGGGTGGTGTTTTGTGAGGAATAGTTTTCAGAGGGTTTTTCCGGGCCGGCCTAACCCACGCTCAAGCCCTAGAGCCCCCCCAATCCTACTGTGCGCCCAGGGATTTTGGAGGCCGCCACGGAGACGGGAGCTGATGCAGCACAGGTGGGCCTCTTATGCCAGCGACTCAGGCACTCGGGTTTTCTGGAGGTTTAGGATTTAAGTTTTTATTGCACGGGAATGAGCACTTGGCTACATCTATACCCCTAAAGACATGACTAGGATCTTGTCATTTAGAGCATATGGTGACCAAACTTGCATCACGAGTATTCTTATTTCTACGTGTGCTAAAAACTTTTCTGGTTGCTGTGGCTATGAATTTGATGACGGTGGTTTGGGACCGCACGGCTTTGAGAAATTTGGGGCACCCTAAGGCGACAAAGCAGGGAATGGTAGTGGGTTGGGCAGGGGACGTGCTGGGTCGCAGTGAAGCCCCCCCCCCCCAAACCCAACGCCCAAAGAATAAAACCCAAAAGAACCGCAGTTGCCAAAAACACACCCCGGAAAACCCTGAAGCCCCCAAAGCAAATCCTTATCGCCCTTCCGATTCCTGAACCCCAACCCTGGCATCCCTACAGCTTAGGGATACTTCGGGGTAGTTGCTAATCTTGGGGTACCACAATTCCCAAGAAACAGCTCAGCTTGCAGTTAATTTTCGCTAGGGTTCCAAGTTCGGTTTAGAGAGCCTGGGGGGGGGAAGCCCACAGGTCGGGCCGTGTGCAGACGGCTGTGGATCTACTCGGAGGAGTGGATGGAAGACAAGGAGGCATGAATCAAGTGAATAAAGGGGGTGGCTGCCCGGGGTCTTGGGGTTGAAAGATGGAGGCTTTTAGGATATGGGCACTTGTTGGGGTCTTTTGGGGTGGTTCGGGTGTTGGGACGGGGCCGCGTTGCCCGGCGCGAGGGGAGCGCTCGTCAGGGTTTGTCTGGCCCGCGACAACTGACCACGACGCACCTGGGCGCAAGCTCGCTCACGGGTGCGCTCGGGCTGCGCGGTGGAGGTGTGCGGCGGTTGCCTGGTTGTGTGGCACGCGGCGCGCAGCAAAGAAGGCCAGCGACCGGACTGGCCCACCCTCCTGGAAGGCGTGGCGCTCCCAGCGCCCGCGCCCGACGAGCCGGCAGAGACCGGGGATTGGATTCGTGGCTGGCAGAGACCGGCAGCTCGCGCACTCAACACGTCCTACCGCGAGCGCCTCCTCCTCAGTGAGGTGCCCACGCTGGCGAATGGCTCCGCGCCATCCCAGCACCCCCGAAATGCTCATCGCTCTGCGCCAGTTCTGCGCCGACGCTTGCGCCTCCCCCTCCCCTTGGCAGCAGCATGCAGCAGTTCGGTGTGGTGGCGGTGGCGAACCCGGTTCTGGCGCCCGCGTCGACGACCGTGCTGCATGCGCGGCGAGGCGTTGTTGCCGCAGCCGGGAAGTCGCGATCGTGACGGCGCGGCCATCGAAGTCGCGCGGCGCGCACGGTGCCCTGAGCTTGCTCGGCCCGGACAGCAAAGGCTCGTGGTGCTGGCATCTGAGGTCGGCGGGCGTTGGGAGGCCCACGATCTCCTGCGCCTCGTTCGCGTGCGGTCCCTGGGGACTGAGGGTGAGCTTCGGGATTTGGGAGCAACACAAAGGGCCCTAAGAAGCTTCGAACCACAAACCTGAAATCCCCGTTGGCCGGCACGCCCGGAGTCTCAACGTTGAAAAAAATGGGCTTCAGAGGATCTCGCTGCTCCCGGTGCCCCAAGCACTGAGCCAAGTCCCCGTGAGTGTGCTAGGGGCTTTAGGGCTTTGGGGTCCTTAGGGGGTTTAGGCGTGTAGGGAGCCCCATGATGCACTCCACCCAGTAAGAATAAGATCAGAGCTCGTCGTCTTCAGAGTCTCGAGCCCCAGGCAGACATAGAGATACGGATATAGATATAGACTCAGATACATCCCGCATGCTAGATTGCTCCCTTTGCCAGGCGCCCGCCAAGAAGCTGTGAGGGCCCTGGCAGGTTTTACCTTGGGAGGTGTCTGCTACAATCCAGGGTCCAAACCCAAACCTGCAGACTCCTAAAAGTTAAAAGCTCCAGCTCCCTGCACTTTCCGCCACCCAAAAAAGAAACGACCTAAAGCCTAACAGCCGCACGCCCTCAACCTGAAAACCCTCGCCCTAGCCCTAAACCCTAAACCCTTACCCTGATCCTAAACCCTACAACCCCCTACACATCCTCCAATCCACCACCAGCCAAAGGCTCCTCGCCCCTAGCCTCCGCCTGGGGCCGAAGACCTCCCCGGCGTGTCTCCAGCGGTTCAGCGCCTCGGCTATGTGGGTTGTGAAGTATCTTTTGGGTCCCTATAGAGTTTTTTGGGGGTTTAGGGTCTAGGGTTCAGGCTGGGTTCAGGGTTTAGGGTTTAGGGTTTGGCTTTGGGGGGCTTGGGTCTTAGGTTGAGGCGGATGGCTCAGGCTCTGGCCTGGGAGTGCTTCAAGGAGTTTCTGTGAGTTGTCACGCTCATTTAGTCTAGTGACAGACACAAGCTACTTGGAGGTTCCATGGGTAGTTATATCAGCAGGGGCAGGTAACTTAGGACCCTCTGTAGACTACAGAGCACTTATAACCGACTGCCCATGAACCTTTCAAAGGTAAGGCCCTTGGGTTGTGTTCATATCTGTTTGTTGAGTTTGGGAGGAGCCTAGGATGGCGTTAGGAGGTCTCAGCTTTTCGCCCCCCCCCCCCCCCTCCCCCCCCCCCCTCCCGGTGTGCTACCCCTGCCAATAGTATCAATGGTGGTGGAGCCCGCGTTGGGTGGTTCAGTCATGCTAAGACTAACCCTAAATCCTAAACCCTATAAGCCCTAAACCTCAAATCCAAATCCCCAACTCGAAGGCCCGAAGCCCTGACCTAGGTTGGGTTGGTGTTCAGGAGGTCAAGTATAGTTGGTGCGATTCAAGGGTCTTCATTCTGAATTGGGTTTAGGGTTTAGGGTTTAGGGTTTTGGGTTTAGGGTTTAGGGTTTTCGGGTTTTCGGGTTGAGGATTTTAGGGTCTAGGGTTGAGTTTTCAGCACCCTCTTCCCCGCCCGCCTCCCTTTCGTGCGTGTAGGCCCGGCCTCCCTGCGGCGCCTTAGGGTCGTGGATGCTCCCGCGGCCTTCCTTTCGGGTTGCCTGGCACTTCTGCTAAGCTTTCCCCCTTCGCAGTCACCCGAAACCCCAAACCCTAAACCCTAAACCCTGGGTTCCTGTCTAAGCCCCATCAAGAAAGGGGGGGGGGGGCCTGTTCGTCTCAGGGTATCGGGGGAGGCTAAAGTCTGGTTCCTTCAATGATGGTCATGTGGCTGTTGTTGTCGCTGCTGCCGCATGAGAATGCTGACAGCTAGTGTTACACCATTGGCTAAAAGCGTTGCAGGCTTTGCCACTGTGGGGCAGGATAAGGGGGACCCTTAAAAGGGAACCCCTTCTTAACCCTCTCTGAATAAGAGGGTCTATATCCTCAAGGGTGCCCCTAATCCTATCCCTAGTTTTGTAAGTACTACGCTTTCCTTGCGATGATTATTGCCGCCGTTACAGCTGTCACTGTTGTTCGGTTCTGACTTCCTGGCCCTAAACCCTAAAACCCTAAAACCCTTAAACCCTAAACCCCTCGATGTGATGCCCCTGCAACCTTGCTTCAATGGCTTAGGGTTGAAGCAGCTAAGACTAAGCTCCAGCACGCCATGGTGGCACGAGCCCCTGTCCCCTTGAATCCCTAAACCCCGAATCTTCAGCCCTAAATATCAGGGGCCCAAACTCCATTAAGGTTTTGGAAAGAGTTCTGTCTTTACTTTTGGAGAGAGTTGAGAGCTTAGGCTCTAGATTTCCGCAGTCTTTGGGGAGGGCTTGGGATCTTTGGGTTTAGGGTGGTCTGTGGTTTAGGGTGGTCTATGGGTTAGGGATGTATGGGTATTTCCCAAAATAGGGGTCCCCCCCTTGTATACCCCAAATTTAAGAGAATCCCCTTAAAAGGGGCCACCAAAAAGGGTACCCCCCCTTTTTCCGAAAACCCCCATTAGGGCTTCGGGTTCAGGGTTTAGGGTTCCCTAGAGATCCCTAGGGGTTTGACACGAGGCAGCGCATGGCTGCCTCTGCTGTGCCCGGCAGCGCCGACTCTGGAGCAGCTGTCCATCGTTCTTCTCCGCGCGGATGTCCAGGTCCGGGTTGAAAGCCCTTGAGGTTAAAACTTGAGGGTTGGTTGTTTAGGGTTTAGGGTTTAGGGTTTAGGGTTTAGGGTTTAGGGTTTAGGGTTTAGGGTTTAGGGTTTAGGGTTTAGGGTTTAGGGTTTAGGGTTTAGGATTGTTCATGTTGAGGGTTTAGTCTCGGGGCTTGGAGAACCCGATGCCGAACGACCTCAAAAGTGAGAACTCCGAACCCCAAAAACCCAAAACCCAAAACCCCGTGCACTCTCCACCCCAAGCTTGCCAGGCGCGGTGGCCTGACATCCTGACGGCGGTGGCCGATGCGCTGGAAGCCAAGGCGTCAGAGAGGCCCTCGGGCCGTTTGGGCTTGAGGTCTTCTAGCGTTTAAGGATGTGTGAGGGCACTTAGTTTGTTTTTAGGCTTGAGGGTGTTTTTTGGGCTTCATGGTTTGTAGGGTCAGGGCATTTAAGGACTTCAAGTGCTATGGAAGATGTTGAAAGATGTGTTTGTGGGTTGGGGCTTGCGGCTCGGAATGAAAGCTTGATGTTAGGAAAGTGTCATGTTTAGTTGCTAGCGTCGAGGTGTTTAGGTGGTTTCGTTCTATGGGGTCTGCGAGGTTTCATTCTTGATGTAGGGGTAATCGTGTTGATTTTGGGGGTCGTGGGCGAACTTATAAGTGCTTAGGGGCACGTACATTTTAGGATTTTTGGCTTGAGGGCTTAGTTTTGTAGGTTTGTGTTAGGGGTTAGGGCGGGTGAGTTCAGAGTTTCAGTGTTTAGGCCGTTTAGACTCGTTCGCTGTTGCGCTAGATCGAGAGGGAGGCATCTTGGCCTGAATGGCTTGTTTGAAGAAGCATTTAGAGAGGCATCTGGTAGCATCAGAAGCGTTAAATGAGGCCGGTTGCCCGAGCGGTCTGCCGCCGCTGCGGCCAAAATGTTGGCCTTCTGGGGTTGACAGGCCTTGGCCTGTCCTTGCGCAGGCACGAACGGCTCTGCGCCACCCGCTGCGCGATCAGCCAGCCCATTTCTGTGAACCAGGTGACACGCCACAGGCTGTGCCACAGGCTGTTGCACCATGTGACGAGTTGATTATGGATACAAAGATCCCGCTTTTACCACAAGTCGACTTAGCCGCGGAGGTGAGCAACTTGTCAATCAAAGATATGGCCCGAATGCTAGCAACGACTCGCAGCGACCTTTGCCGTCTGCAGGAGGCAGATTTAGAGATCGCAAGAGACATTTAATGACCTGTGTGGTAATCGGATGGAGGCCTGGAGCAACTGCGGCAGCTCCCCTTCGTCCAGCCACGGCAGCTGGGCCAGGGTGTGACGGCGAGTCTATCATGGTCTTAAGGCATATGTGCCAGCATTGAGGACGTTCACAGAGCAACGCGTTCCCGTTGAATGTCTGGACGTCGAACTCCACCTGAACAAACATTGGCCTGAGCTAGTGTCTGAAATCGAAGATTTTGACGACACGGCGGCAGAGCGCTGCACCAGGCTGCAACAGGCAGCTCGAAAACTCGCAACTTATCACCCCCCCCCCCCCCCCCCCCCCCACCTCCCCGCCCCCCCCCCCCCGCCCCCCCCCCCCCCCCCACTCCCCCGCCCCCGCCCCGCCCCCCCCCCCCCCCACCCCCCCCCCCCCCCCCCCCCCCCCCCCAAAGAATTACTTAGTAGGGGCCCAGACACCCAGAAAGGGTACCATCAGCTGCAAGCTTTCAGGAAAGTTTATGTCTGTCGCCAACGCCGCTCGTCTGTCTTAGACAGCGCCTCACTGTTTCACGCCATCCGTCACAGAAGCTGCGCCTCAAAAAAGATGGGAGCCTTGCTCTACTGCAAAAGGCGCAGACGTCAGACACATGGCAAAAGCTGGGTCGAAGCGCGTAACACGCTTTTTTCGGTTGAGCATATGCCCCCCAACTTATAAGGGCTTAGGGGCATGCGCATCTTAGGATTCTTGGCTTGAGGGCTTTGTAGGTTTGTGTTAAGGGCTAGGGCGGGTGAGTTTTCAGTGTTTAGGCCCTTTAGACTCGTTCGCTGTTGCGCTAGATCGAGAGGGAGGTGTCTTGGCCCGAACTGGCTTGTTTGAAGAAGCATTTAGAGAGGCATCTGGTAGCATCAGAAGCGTTAAATGAGGCCGGTTGCCCGAGCGGTCTGCCGCCGCTGTGGCCAAAATGTTGGCCTTCTGGGGTTGACAGGCCTTGGCCTGTCCTTGCGCAGGCACGAACGGCTCTGCGCCACCCGCTGCGCGATCAGCCAGCCCATTTCTGTGAACCAGGTGACACGCCACAGGCTGTGCCACAGGCTGTTGCACCATGTGACGAGTTGATTATGGATACGAAGATCCCGCTTTTACCACAAGTCGACTTAGCCGCGGAGGTGAGCAACTTGTCAATCAAAGATATGGCCCGAATGCTAGCAACGACTCGCAGCGACTCGCGACCTTTGCCGTCTGCAGGAGGCAGATTTAGAGATCGCAAGAGACATTTAATGACCTGTGTGGTAATCGGATGGAGGCCTGGAGCAACTGCGGCAGCTCCCCTTCGTCCAGCCACGGCAGCTGGGCCAGGGTGTGACGGCGAGTCTATCATGGTCTTAATTAAGGCATATGTGCCAGCATTGAGGACGTTCCCGATGCATGTCTGGACGACGAACTCCACCTGAACAAACATTGGCCTGAGCTCGTGTCTGAAATCGAAGATGTTGACGACGCGGCGGCAGAGCGCTGCGCCAGGCTGCAACAGGCAGCTCGAAAACTCGCAACTTATGCGGCCGGCTGCGGTGGTGGCTGACTTGTTAGTGTTGGCCACTGTAAGGCCTGTAATGGGCATTTCCAAAATAGGGGTCCCCTTCACACACACGCCCCCCCCCCCCCCCCCCCCCCCCAAAGAATTACTTAGTAGGGGCCCAGACACCCAGAGAGGGTACCGTCAGCTGTCGCCAATGCCGCTCGTCTGCCTCACTGTTTCACGCCGTCCGTCAAAGAAGCTGCACCTTCACGGCTTCGGTCAAGAAAGATGGGAGCCTTGCTCTACTGCAAAAGGCGCAGACATCAGACACATGGCAAAAAAAGCTGGGTCGAAGCGCGTAACACGTTTTTTTCGGTTGAGCATATGCGCCCCCCTTTGGCCAAGTTCAACTTCTGAGATTGGTGTAGAAAGCTTTGCTGGGTGAATACCGTAATGGTTGAACTTGCTGAGACATCAAAACATAAACTCTAAGCCTTCATGGGCCAAAAGGAAAAGGAGGCAGTGCTTTTTTTGATCCCGTTGCGCTTCTAGGGTTTTAGGACTTCTGGTTGTCAAGGTTGAGGGTTAGGGTTGTGGGCGTGTGGCGTGTTGTGTTGACGGAGGGCTTCAGGTCTATCTTTTTCTGTGTTCGTTGCTGCTTTCTTAGTGTGCGCAGTGATAGGGCTTGTCGAATCAAAAATAGCGGGCCACTGTTTGTAAGGTTTTCGGTGATCAGATGTGATGACAACGATGCATGCTTAGTTGGGAGTCGTTTCTTCACGAGGCGGTCCGAGAGTTTTTGTTGTTCTCTCACTCTCTGTCTTTCTCTTGAGTTCTCTTTCTCTCTCTCTCTCTCTCTCTCTCTCTCTCTCTCTCCCTCTCTTTCTCTCTCTCTCTCTCTCTCTCTCTCTCTCTCTCTCTCTCTCTCTCTCTCTCTTTCTCTCTCTCTCTCTCTCCCACTCTCTCTCCCTCTCTCTCCCTCTTACTCTTTGTTTCTCTCTCTCTCTCTCTCTCTCTCTCTGTCTCTCTCATTCTTTCTTTCTTTCTGTCTTTCTGCCATTCTTTCTTTATTTCTTTCTTTCTGTCTTTCTTTCGGTCTTTCTTTCGGTCTGTCTCTCTTTCTGTCTTTCTGTCTTTCTGTCTTTCTGTCTTTCTGTCTTTCTGTCTTTCTGTCTTTCTGTCTTTCTGTCTTTCTGTCTTTCTGTCTTTCTGTCTTTCTGTCTTTCCGCCTTTCTGTCTTTCTGTCTCTCGCCCTCCCTCTCTCCCTCTCTCGCTCTCTCGCTCTCTCGCTCTCTCGCTCTCTCGCTCGCTCTCTCCTCTCTCTCTCTCTCTCTCTCTCTCTCTCTCTCTCTCTGTGTACATCCCAAGATCCGTCGTAGTCAAATGAGACAGGTAGATCGCGCGGGAGAGGGGAGATGAAGCAGTAGGGTTGGAGGGGGGGTAACCGAAGCGTCTATATTCAAAATCCTAAGATGCCCAGACTCCCTGAAACCCACCCAACCCCCAAAAACCTCTTGGCTCACCTTTCGAAACACTGAATCACCCTAAACCCTAAACTCTAAACCCTGAACCCTAAAGACCCCAAACTCTAAACCCTCAACGTCATGTCAGGCTGATGCGCTTTGAGGCTGGGCTCCCACGCTCAGTGAAGGGTCGTCGGGCTTCAGGGCTTTTCAAGTTCAGGGTCTTATTAACTTTTATTTTTGTTGATATAAAACCCAAGATGATATTTAAAAAGGTTCTAATGGGAGTATGGATAGGTTTCTGGTTGTAGGCTGTCGGTCTTGGTGTGAGCTGTTAGGTCGCAGAGGGCTTAGGGTTTGGGGGTTGGGGTAAGGCTGCTTCGTCGCCGATCTCTTTACTCTTCGTCTTCGTCCGGCCTGGTTTTCGGAGATTGGGGGCCTTGGTTGAGAAATCAGTGTTTTTTGGAGCTACTTCAGCGTACACGGTTACACAGGGCTCTGGATTTCGGATTTATGGCTCTGGTGCGGAGGACAAAGGGGCGGGGCTGTCCCCAAACCCATTCCCCAAACCCTATAAGCCCTAAACGCTAAACCCGCTAGATCCTAGGTTTCTTGAAAGGGGTCCTTGGCTTCATGTGGTCACAGGGTGGCAAGTAAGCTATAGGGCTTTTGAGCTTATGCGTCCAAAGCTGCCAACAAGGCGTTTCACCACAGGAAGTCCTACTCAACCGTTCCGAGTCTTGAGTGAGAGGGCTCTCTTCGTGCCTCACCAAGTGGGCATGTTTCTGAAGTGTTGGTTCTTTCGGTTGCCCTTTGAAATCCGCCCTTATGGTTAGGGAACCCCGGGACGGGAATCTGATTTAGAGCGGCTCAACAGACAGACGCAAGTGCGATCGAAGTCTTGCCCCCAGCCCGCAACCTCAGTCCATCATGCCAGTGGCCAACTACCCCTAGAAACCGCATAATATGAAACTGTATAGGCCGGGGTCTCTTCAGGATCCGTACACCACTGCCTTGTACCTCTAAACCTAAACCCTAAACCCTAAACCCAACACCCAACAGAAACAAAATCCCGGAAGGCCCGTGGCCTTCACCTGCCCAGCGCCGCCTCGCCTGCCTTAGCTCGGGTGGCGCGCAGCTCCGCAAGGCCCGTGCGTCTTGGGGTTTAAGGGCTTAAGGGCTTCAGGGTTTTGGGGCTTAGGGGGTTTAAGGGTTGAAGTGCTTAAGGGGTTTTGGGGTTTAAGGGTTTAGGGTTTAAAGGGCTTCAGGGGTTTTGGGGCTTCGGGGGTTTAAGGGCTTAAGGGCTTAAGGGGTTTTGGGGCTTAGGGGGTTTAAGGGTTTAAGGAGTTTTGCTTAAGGGTTTAAGGAGTTTTGGGGCTTAGGGAGTTTAGGGGTTTTGGGGGGGGCCAGGCGGGCTTAGGGTTTTCAGAGTTCAGGGCTGTTGCTGAGGGATACGGGCTTACAGCAAGTGGGCGGCTGGATCGAGCCTTGAGTTTGGGGTTTTTGGTTGCTATAGGGTGCAGGCCCTCCTCGTTGCTGTGTTTTTTTGGAGCAGCGAGTTTGTAGCTTAATGTGTATATACATATACATATCTATATATACATATATATATATACATATATATATATATACATACATACATATGTACATGCTTGTACTTCAAGGTTGCATGTTTTGGCCCTTTCATCCAGGACCTTGCTGTGTGTTACTTTTAGTCCTCAAGGTATCTCAAAGTGTACACCCCTGGTTTCATTGAGGTTGGGCCTTCCAACCATGTCAGCTGCGGGCTCACATTAAACCTTAAACCTTAAACCCTAAACCCTAAACCCTAAGCCCCCTCACCTCCCAAGCTTGTCGTCCCCGAGGACATTGCGCGAGTTCGTGGCCGACTTTGCTGATGCACCGGAGGACAGCGCCAGCGCCGCTGAGCTGCCTTAGTTGCAGTTCCTGGTTTAGGGTTTAGGGTTTAGGGTTTTAGGGTTTTAGGGTTTTAGGGTTTTAGGGTTTAGCCCCAAAGAAACCATCGAAACACTGTGTGACTTCTAGCAAGCCACCTGAATGAACGGTCAACAAAAAGGGGGGGAACAAGTGGCCCCAACATGCTTGAAGTCAAAAGGATTTGGAGAACGCGGTTTTGGACTAAGGGCCAGAAGTTGCGCGCGAAACTTCGCTCACAACATCCGTGATTGCAAATGGTAAAGACTGCGTGGCAAGCAGCAGGGAGAGGGGCATTCGGCTTTCGCCCGCAGCTTTCCTGAATCCTCCTGCGTCCGAACGCCCAAAGGCCGCGCTCGAAGATTCTGAGCTCTGGGACGCCCTCTCCAAGGCCTTTACCAGCCATGGATGGCATAGAAATAAGCCTAAACCCTAAACCCTAAACTCTGTGGACCCTGATTTCCTTAGAAGAGGGATCAGGGATGGAGCTCATCCCCAAACCCGAAGCCCTCTCAGACCCAAACGCCAGGCTTCGAACCTCGAGGTCCTCCGCCTGGGCGGGCTCTGTGGCCTGGGCCGTCTTACGGTGGGAATAGGCTGAGGGGTCCGGTTTTAGGGTTGTACGGCTTGGGGATACTTAGGGTTTAGGGCGCTTGGCCAACAGTGTTGAGATTCCAGGAGATAGCAGGGTTTGGGATTGCAGGGTTTGGGCTTCAGCTGCTTAGTGCTTACCGCTTCCTAGAAGGCTCCATCATCACACTCGGCCGCCTGACCCCGAACTCCCGAAATCCTTCACCCTAAACCCTGAACAAGCTTAAATACCAACCTCCACTATAGGGCCCTTGACGAATTCGATAGGTACTATAGTATAATTCTATAGAACCATAAGCGAATACCTATTTCAAATGATTCCGACCCCTATATTCTATAACTTACAGCCCGACCCCTGTTTCAATCAACCGGTTACTATCGCACAAATTCCCCTAAATTATATTATTCCCCTATGTTATATAACTCACAGCCCGACCCTAACCCCAAACCCCAAACCCCAAACCCCAAACCCCAAACCCCAAACCCCAAACCCTAAACCCTAAACCCTAAACTCCTGGCTTCAATCAACTCGCACACAAGGCCTGAGCGCCGAGAGCTGCGCCGGCCTCTCCCGCACGGTGCGCTGCTGCGGCGGGCGGCTGAAGCCCAGGGCTTACTTCATGGGTTCCCCTACTTAGGGTTTAGGGTTTGGGGTTTAGGGTTTAGGGTTTAGGGCTACTACCCCACCCCCCCCCTAAAGGTTCCCCCCATAATTAAGGCTATTTAGGGATAATTCGGGGGAACCTGTTGGGGGGGGGGGGGGGTAAGTATAGAAACCCATGATTGCTTCAAGGTTCATGGGTAGTTCTGGGTAGTAGGGTACCCCAAGATATCTACCCATGAACCTCCAAGTAGGCATCATAAGGCTTGCAGGGTTTAGGCCGGATTTTAGGGTTCGGGGTATAGCGGCATTAGGGTTTGGGGTATACGGGGTTTCGGAAAGTTTTAGGGGTTTAGGGCCGTGCAACTCACTACAGTGGCAGGCCTAGGGCCCACCTTGGGCCTGTAGGATATGGCTTCATTCGGCCCCTGTCGCACCGGATCTGGAATTCCGTAATTGGTGGGATACACACCAGAGACCTGGCTTCTGACTTGCTGATTATCACGCGCTGCTTGAAGAGTTCTGGATGGTCAATTATCCCTCACAATCCCAGGCCCCAGCGTTTAGGGGCGTGAGACGCTCTAGCTGTTGTCGATTCGTGGCCTGCCACATCCTCCGGAGTTTTGGGTTGGTTGAGGAGCCGGGGGAGGCTGTGGGTGACGCGCCAAAAAACCTTGGGGCGTGAGAGGGAGAAGGGCTGGTCAGGCAGGGGGGGGGGGGTTGTGGGGTTGCTGTGCGAGGCAAGTGGAACAAGCTTGCTGTTCGGCGTATGTTTTTGGAGAGTTTGGGTTTTGCATCGATGGGCCGTGCAGCCGCCCCAGCCCTCTCCTGTCTCCACTTCGTCCTATTTCAAAGAAGACAAAAAACCTAAAACCCTAAGCCCGAAACCCTGCCCTGAACCCTGTAAACCCCCCCCCCCACCAAAAAAGAAAAAGGGGGCCTACCAGGAACCTCGGGCTTAGCGGCCTAGCAGCCTCGGCACTGCTTCGGCCGAGCTCCGCCACGGAGCAGGCCATTTGGGGAGGTTCCCAACAGTTTTTTGCTTGGCGGTTGTTAGGGTTTTGAAGGGGCTTTTATAAGGGGTTGACAGTTAGTTTTTTTTTGCTGGGGGGGGGGGGGGGGGGCGCTAAAGGGTTTAGGGTTTGTAGGGCTACAGTGCAGCATATTTGTACATTATATATATATATATATATATATATATTTATAGATATATATATATATATAGGTGGAGACAGAGAGCGAGAGAGAGAGAGAGAGAGAGAGAGAGAGAGAGAGAGAGAGAGCCTGAGCTGAACTCAGGGTGGATGTTCGTGTATGTTTTGAGGACTTGTTGTTATGTGGGGGCGTCTCCACAGCTGGTGCCTCAGTTCTTTCTCACACTGCACACAAGTCGAAAGGGGGGACAGTTAGGGGTCTAAGAACGGGGGAGAATATTGGTGACTGGCATCTTAATACGGGGAGGAGGGTAAGAACGGGAGGACCCCTCTGTCCTCACAACTGTTTCAGACGCTCCAAACAACTGGGGCGCGCGAATCGCGCGGGGGTCTTCGGGCCCTCATGCCCCCAAGAAGGAAAGAAAGAGAAAGGCAGAGAGGGAGAGAGGAGAGAGAGAGAGAGAGAGAGAGCGAGAAAGAAAAAAACAAACAAAAACAATTGAAGGCCATCAAACTAGAGGCTGTAGTGCGTTTGCTCCTATGTATTCGAATCCAAACAGAGCCAGACCGTCCACAAACATGTCGGTTCGGAATCGATCGTCGAACCGTGCGGCATCCCTTAGCGAGACCTGCCCACACACTGCAAAACCGAAGGTCGAACACCAAAACGCCAATTCACTCAAAAAAAACCGTGGCCTCACCTGAACTCTACAAAGCAAACCCCAAAACAGAGCCTGAACCCTCAAAACCTTAAACTTTAAGCCCGACCGCAAGCATTCAGATTCAACCTGGCGTGGAGGCCCCCTAACCCCCCCCCCCCAAACCCCCTAACCCCCCCTAACCTCCCACCCGAAAAAACACAAATAAACCGAATGATAGTCATGACGCTCCAAAACGTGTGGCTCTCGACACGAGGGCGTCTCACTGCGCTCAGAGCTCAGCCCCGAGATGGCCACACTCGTCGCCGAAGGCCCCCCCCCCCCCCTCCCCCCTGTGCAGTTTAGGGCTTAGGGCTTAGGGCTTAGGGCTTAGGGCTTAGGGCTTAGGGCTTAGGGCTTAGGGCTTAGGGCTTAGGGCTCAGGGCTCAGGGCTTAGGGCTTAGGGCTTAGGTTTTAGGGTTTAGGGTTTAGGGTTCATTGTCAAAGGCTTGCTGCTTCAGGGCTTAGGGTGTTTTAGGGTTTAGGGTTGTTGGTCTGGAGGAGGAGTCTTTGAGGGAGGTGAGAGCTGTGGAGTTGGACTTGGGGTTTGAAGCGTGCTGATGAAAGGGGACTAGTGGCGTTGCAAACCCTCAAACACCCAACTCCACTCGCCAAAAGGACAAACCACTAGAGCAAGTAACCCTCGGGTGTGTTATGATGTGGACACAGCTGCACGCAGAACCAGCCGCCAAGACCGAATTGAAAACATCGGACGTTCTTCAAGTCGCCATGAGACCCCAAAGCCAAAACGGCGCTGTGATAGAACCCTGAGTCTTGTCGCCGCAGTTCATGAGAACCGGATGCCATAAGTTCTGGGCACCGTAACACCTGCCCCCATTGGGCGCTGGCATGTGCGCCAGGCAAGCAGCAGTCATTGAGGCTTACGAGCCTATCGCTATCTGGTTGCTCGGCCAAGCTACTCACCCTAAACCCTAAACCCCTGACCTCTACAGCTCTGGCGCTCTTAGGCTCTTATCCTCTTAAGGCTGATGATGTCCGGGTGAACCCAAGCTTGACGAAGTAAACTCAGGGGGCTGGAGGACGTGGGGCGCTGCTCATGTTTACAGTTGAGAGCTTCATGGCTATTTAGGGTCCGGAGTTCATGTCCTTTGCCCCCACCCGTCAGGTTACAGTCTCTAGCTCTGGCTTTCGTTTGCGCACGTTGCCGGACCTGCTCCTCATCAGTCCTCCTCATACTGGGCCTCTTGCCAGTCTCTGCACACCCCGCCCCGGACCCGCACCTTAGAAGTAATGTTTGCAGAACCTCCATGACTCAGAGCTTGTCCTTGCAGGATTTGGCACTGATCAGATCGGGGCAAACCGCAATCCCCCCCAGCCTGAAGCTCCTGGACTACGGCTTGAACCCAAAACCCTCAACCCTAGGGCCCTTGACTTCCTCAACTTCCGAAACCCCAAACCCCAAACCCTAAACCCCAAACCCTAAACCCTAGACCCGAAACCCTAAACCCTAAACCCTCAACTATTTTAGACCCTTCAGCCTGGCGAGCCCCGAGGCTTGCAGCCGCCCCAGGGCTTGCACAGCTCCGCGGCAATGGGAAGCAGCCCTTGAAGGGGCTGACACTGCCTTCCCTTCCCCCCCCCCTCCCTCCTCATGCTTAGGGTTTAGGGTTTAGGGCTTAGGGTTTAGGGCTTAATTAGGGTTCAGGGGTCGATGGGTGTAGGGATGTAGGGGTTAGGGTTCAGGGTGTATGCAAGCAGTTTAAGGGTTTAGGGTTTTGTGGTTAGTTAGGGCTGGTATGGGGGGAGGGGGTTAGGGTTACGTAGGTTAAGTACGTTGGAAGATCCTTTACCGCTTCATCCCCACCTAAGGCCAACATCTGGGCCCCACATCTGTGACTTGCGACTGAAACCGCAGAACCCTAAACCCCGCACCAGACTCTGAGATGTGTGAGGTGAAAATCAGGGCTTAAGGTGTTCAAGCCCGCACATCAAGCACGTCATAATGGTCCCTGAACCAAAGCCGAAGAACAGCACCCCGGCACCCACACCCAACACCCTACACCCTAAACCCTAAATCCTAAACCCTGAGGTTTTGTCGCTGTGGCGCCGAACCTGCGAGCCCTTCTGGGGGCCATCGAGGACGTGCTTCTGGGGATTAGGGCGGGCGTGAGGGGTTTGGGGCCTTTTTAATGAAAGGAGTTGCCCTTCTGGGGTTTTGCGGTTTCCTGGTATGGGGTGTAGAATTCCCATGTGAGTAGGCTTTAGGGTCCGAGGTTTTGGGGCTTTGCTTGTCAAGTTTTTTTGTTTTGGGTTGAGGGTGCAGGCTTGGGGGCCCTCCGGGCTCGGGGGATTGAAGGTTGAACGTGGCGCCCTCGAGGCTTTCTTGGTTTGTGTACGGCGTGGAATTTAGGGTTCGATTCAAGGCCGTGGCTCGGGGCGAAGGGTTGGGCTTGGGAGGTTAAGGTGTCTGCTTGGAGGTTGATTTGGGTAGCTGTAAATAGGGCTATAAGCTAAAAGTATGGCAACTATACTATACTTATAACTTATAACCTTATTTAGGTTTCTTATAACCCTACTTCTACCTACCCATGAGCCTCCAAATAGGGTTTACAAAGATGCATGGTGGTCGGCCACATGACGTCAGGTGCCTAATCATACGAGTGCTGTAGGTCGCGTTTTGTTTTATGTTCGATCAGAGTTTGTCAGTCCTTCCTTCCCGTAAACCCTAAAGCTCTAAATATCAAGAACAACAAACGACCCCATACTCAAAAGCCTAAGGCCTGAACACCCAAAACTCTAGACCCGAAGCGTTTAAGGTTTCCAGAAGTTTTAGGGTTTAGGGCTTAGGGTTTAGGGTAAGTAAGGCAGCAAGAAGCCGTGTTTTGGCTGAAACAGGAGCTGGCTCCGTGCCTGACCGAGCTGGATCTATCCAACAACGCAGCGGTCACGCAAGAGGTCGATGCCTTAGCCTTCTTGGGGCTTATAGGGTTTTAGCGAACTTCAAGGGGAGTTGTACCGTGGACACCGTGGACCCTCAGCTGCCTCCAGCGGCCTCGAACTTTTCAGGGAACCCACACACCCTCAGGTCACTCCCCCCCCTCTCCCCCCCAAAAAAAATGGCAGAGAGATGAAACACAGACCCTGAAAGCCCAGGATCCCCAAGCCCAAGCAATTTCAACCCCCCGAGCCCCAAAGCCCTAAGCACCCTTATATTCATTGATTCTTCCATGTGCTTCATATTCATATAGTGCTATATTGCATGTTACTCTGCTATATTCATAAACTAGCAACTAGTATTTGATATGAATGTACCGACGCGAGGGCTTTATGCCAGAGCTGCTGGCCATCCTCGACAACTGTGGGCCCCTGAAGAAGCTGGACCTTTCTGGCAGCATGGCCCAAGAGATCATCGCTGTTAGGGCTTAGGGTTTAGGGTTTAGGGTTTGGGGTTTAGGGTTTAGGGTTTAGGGTTGGGCTTAGTGGTTTTTTGGGGACCTTGACCTTGTTATTAAACCCCGAGACCTTGAGGCCCTGAGTTCCTGAACTCCAAAGCCAACCTAAACACTAAACCCTAAACCAAGGATTCACAGGTTTAGGTGTTTTTTTTTTTGCGAGCTGCAAGTTTGAGGGGGCCTTGGGCGGGGAGGCCCTGGTGGCCCTAGTGGTACTTGGGGAGAGCTTTGAGGTTTCGGGGTTTGGGGGCTCGAGCTGAGGGTTCATAGAGTTAGACCTGGGGACCCGAAAGGATTTAGAAGCCTAGAGTCCCACCAGAAGTCCCCAAATCCGGAAGACCCTTCCGACCTAAGCCCTGCAACTCCCCGCAAAGAACCCGAAACTCTGAGCCCCAAAACGACACCCGGCAACAAATAATTGCCCTAAACCCAGTATCCTGAACCCTTGGAACGACAATTCCGAAGGCAGTGAGCTATGCCTGTCCTCCGCAGCTGCTGCCCTGCACCTCTGGATTAATATGTGCAGTTGAAGAAATATAGGGGTCGGAATAAATACGAAAAATGTTCCCTCATGATCCCCATATAATTATGAAGAATCTTCTTTCATGATCCATTAAAACTTAACAACTCTACTGTTATAATGTCTCCCAAAACCCCATTCAAATTCTCATTGTCAGAGCCCCTATATAAGTACCGGGAGACCACTCGCTGCCACCTCCTACGTCACTGGTGCTTCATAGCTTTCAAGTTATAGATGCAGCAATTTCGGCGTGAGAGAAACAGCTCGCGACTTCGTGTCCGGCTCTGTACCTTGTTGCCAGAAGAACGAAAGCGACCAACGAAACACGTAGCATGAGCCGCTTCACCTTGTGTCAACAAGGGACCATCGTGACTTGCGTGGTACGCAGCCTTGCCGAGGCACAGATCTTCGCTCACGTGGCTCGGCTGAATTTGCGTCTTTGGCCAGAGGTCCGGCGGACCAACGCTCATGGGTTAGAGAGTCTTTTGGAGGTTCATGGGTAATTATAAGAATGCTTATCACTCTATTTAGGGTACTTATGGCCCAACTTATAACTACCCGCGACCCTCCAAGTAGAGGGTTGAGGGGACCTTGGGCCCTAAAATCCCTCAACATCCCCAAGGCCCTGAACATCATCGTGGGGTTCAGGGCTGCTGGGCCCTAGGCCGTGGGAGCCACAGGGCTCAGCGAGTCAGGGCCTCCCTTCGGGTTCAGGGGCGGGATGAGGCGTCCTCCCCAAATATGAAGATTCAGGGACCCTAAACCCTAAACCCTAAACCCTAAACCCTAAACCCTAAACCCTCAGGGTTTGAGAAGCCTAGGCTTGACTAGTCGAAGCCCTGGGTTGGATGGGCAGAATATCGGGGTCGGAAGAATTACTAAGAGTATTCGCCTATGGTCCCTATATATACTTATATACTTCTACTATAGTAACCCCCCAAAACCCCATTCTCCCTCTATATACTTATATACTTATACTATAGTAACCCCCCAAACCCCATTCTAAATATTAAGGCCCCTATATGAGTCAGAATAGATGGCCCGCTGCCAGGCTGACGTCCCTTGCGCTGAGCGGGTGTGCGGAGCCAATGCCAGGGCCCACAGGCTGGTGGCCCAGCACAGGAGCCCAAAGAATCGCCGACATCACTCCATCAGACTGCGACACCATGGACCGAAACCCAAAACCCATCAACCCATCAACCCTAGACCCAAAACCCTAAACCCTAAACCCTGAACCATCCCAGAACCGGGGCATCTTAAGGGGCCCAGCTGCAAGCGCTGGAATGCTAGTGAGCCGAAGCCATTAACCCCCAGGGCAACACTGCGATCCTCAGCCCGAGCTGCCACGAGCACGCAACGATAACACGTAAGTCGCCAAGCCACGAAGTCATATATGAACCTCCTGTGCCCCAAATTTTTGTTTTCGAAACGCCCCTCGCACACAGCAGATGGATATCCCCAGGCACCTCAGGGCCTGAAAGCCTGAAGCCCTCGACCTAGGCGAAACGGTCGTCGCTTTTGGACGTCCGGGTGCGCCAAATGCGATACTGTCGTCGCCTTTGAACTTTTGGGCATCTTTGCATGTATGGCGCTCCCGCCTAGGCGCTCTGCGCCGATGTCCCCATCCTCGTAACCGTCGTCGCTTTTGGACATCGGCATACGGTCGTTCTCCAGGTGCGAGACTGTCGCCGCTTCTGGTGTTTTTGGAGGACACCCGGAGCTCTTGGTGGCTCCAAAGCCGAGTGGTGTAGTACAAACGTAGTACGCCGAGGACGTCCGGAGCTTTGGTGGCTCGAAAGTGACGACTTTTGTCTTGCTGAAAGGCAGTACGCGGAGGACGTCTGGAGCTCCGGTGACATCGATGCTGTTCTGTCGTGACCCATGAAGCTCTCCATGTTCCCAAGTGGTCCTTCGCTGTTTGGGGTATTCGCTCGTACAGTAGAGACCCTAGGATGGGCTGTTATCCCCTACTCAACCCCCTTAAAAAGGCCATCGTGTAGTTTCAGGGGGAACGGGCCCGAGGTTCGGGTGGCGATTGAGGGGCTCGGAGCGTCGAACTCTTGCCGGATCTCCCCAATCACGCAAGCGGAGGGGGGAGATGGCGGGAGGGAACGTTTCCGTTGGCCGGAGTACACCCCAGGCCGTCCACTCACTCACTGACTCACTCACTCACTCACTCCTTTAAAGGGTTCTGATGATGTATGGGCCCTGTTATTTTGTAATAGGGTATATAAGGGGTATATATATATATATATATATATATCATATACATATATATATATATATTGAGTTTGTATAGGGTATATAAAGGGTATATATATATATATACATAGGGTTCCCAAGGGCCGAAAAGAGTGCAGGTGGATCTCCCCTGGGCTTGGCGCTTCAGAGCTTGGATGCGCTGGAGGAGCTGGATCTGGGCGACCTCGGGGCCGGACCCGGGGGGTTTAGGGTTGAGGGTTGAGGGTTGAGGGTTTAGGGTTTGGTGTTTAGGGTTTAGGGTTGAGGGTTTAGGGTTTAGGGTTGAGGCTTTTGAGTGTTACGGTGTTAAGGCTTTGCAGGGTGTTGCAGACCCCTACTTGCAAAGCCCTTCAAACCCTGTAAACCCTGTACCCCCCCCCCCCCCCCAAAAAAAAAAAAAAAACATTAAAATCCCAAAGCAGAAGCCCCCTAAACCCTAAACCCTCTCAAAAGGCCCATAAAATCCCAACAAAGTCCTTAAACAAAGAAAACACCCGAAGCGCTTCTCAGCCCTGGGACAGGCCCGGCCCTGGCTCCGCAAGCCCATCCTCACGGTGGGGCGGGCGGCAATTTTTTAAAAAGTACTTCTGAGGATTTGGTCTAGATCATGGTATACTATCCCGCTAGGTTCCCCCCTTTAATAATTCGGCTTACCCCGAAAAAGCCTTAACTAAGGGGGGAACATAAGGAGGGTAGCATAGAGGGGGGTAGTGGGGGAACCCATGACAAGAAGAGGGCGATTCCTGGGGTTGCTGTGCGCTGCAAAGCTGCGGAAGGCCCTGCAGCAAGTGGCACCCACCCTGCGGCGACTGCGGGGGCAGCTCCCGGCGGCGATTCTGAAGGTGAGCATTTAAGGGTTTAGGGTTTATAAGGGTTTAGGGTTTAGGTTTTAGGGCTTCCGGCTTTTTGGCTTCGAGGTTTTGGGGGATTTGCCCGTTCAGGGTCTCCCGGCTTCAGGCCTCAACTATCATCAGGGTTTCCTAGACCCTAAACGCCCTAAGCACATTTGGGGCCTAAACCCTAAGCCCTAAACCCCAAACCCTAAACCCTCAAGAGTCAGGATTCCTGGGTTTTGAGCTTTGGGCGTGCGGATTTGGGCACGCAGGCCCTGCTCGCCCTGAACCCTACACTTCCTGAACCCCTAACCCTAAACCCTGTAAACTGTAAACCCTATAAAGCCTGTCAACCCTAAACACCCTAGTTATAAACCCTTTTAAACCCTTTAAACCCCCGTAAACACTACCCAAACCCTATAAACCCTAAACCCTAAACAAACCCTATGATGCCTTGTCACAGGCTGGCCTACAAACCCTAAACCCTAAAACCCCACACCCGAAACCTTGTGAACCCCAATCAAACCCAGGAATTCCTTAACACAGGCTGGCCAACAAGCGTTATATCCCCTAAACCCTAAACCCCACACCCCATAAGCCCCAAACAAACCCTAGAATGCCTTGTCACAGGCTGGGCTCTCGAGCCTCTTTGCCACGGGCACTTTCCTGGAGGAGCCTCGAGGGCGGCAGCGGTGAGGGCTTGGGGCAACTTGCGGATTTGTGTTCGCGGCTCATGAAGTAAAGATAACCTTCAACCCGTTTTGGTTATATATATATATATTAGTTCTAGGTAACCTTTATCCTTTTTAGTTCTATAGAATTCTAGGTAACCTTTAAACTTTTTGGCTAGTATATATAAACGGCTAACCTTTGTTGGAGCCTAGGGTATGCAGCGCCTTAGAAGTAGGGGTGCTCTTTTTCTTGGTAGTGCCCTTTTCCACTTGTTGTTTCAAGCTTCCCTGATAAACGTAACCAACCCCCAAACAGTGTCCCCTTATTATAAACCAAGTTTTGGGGAGGTTCCTAAGAGTAGAATATTATGCGGTTATCTGGGGAAATGCCCATTTGGAGGTCATAGTGCCTCTTGGTGTGACTTGCCGGGCAGGCATCTAGCCAAAAACTCGGTTCTCCCTGACTGTTCGTGCAGTTTTTGCATCCAAACCTTCCAAGACTTAAACCGAAAATCTCCACGTTGCCCAACTTGCGCTGTGTATAGTAGGTTTGATCAATCCAACCTCTTGACAGGGTGGGGCACGGCGGCTGGAGGACGTGGAGCTGAGCGTAGGCCCGGACGGTGGGCCGCCGTGAATCCGAAACCCCTTTGTGCTGACCGTCCTGAGCTTCTCGCCTAGGCGTGACATTAGCGGTTGATTCTGAGGAAAGAGCTACACCCTAGAAACCCTGAACCCTTACAGCCCCTTTCTGCACTATAGACCGGATAAACCCTATAAACCCTAGAAATCCCGTAGACCCTATCAACCGTATCAACCCTGTAAGAACCCCTAGACTAACCCTATAATAAGCCCTTCTCGAGGTGGCCCCTGCGACTCTTTGGTCCCCATCTTTGCGGCCGGGCCCCTGAGGCTGGGGTAAAGAAGGGCCTTTGGCCCAAAGAGCCCAATTCCCCTTGGGATTCCTTAAGTCATACCAAGGATCCCGATATTCATCATCTTAAGGTAAAACTCCTTACTTAAGGGGTGTTGGGCTCTCTGGGTGGGGTTGAGGGTATCCAGGGTCTTCTAGTACTTTCTGTTGCTCGTTTTTGTCTTTTGGTGCCCAAGAGAAGGCAGGGTTTAGGGTTTCGGTTTTAGGTTTAGGGTTTAGGGTCCGGGAATCCGAAAGTTCTGGAGCCCCTCAACCCCTGCCCCTGATCAACCCTAGAAACCCCACACCGTCGTACACGTCTTCCCCACAAAAATAGCCAACCCCCCACCCCACCCCACAATACCGGTAGCACATAGTGGTTGTGTGGGGAATCTAATCTTTTGGGGGGATTACACCTGGTGGTTTACCATATTCAGGGACCCCCTAGTTTTGACGCCCAAGTCGTAGGATCCCCTGTTAATAAGGACCCCCAAGAAGGTACCCCCAAATACCGTAAACCCCCCAAAACCCTAAACCCTAAACCCCCAATAAGGGTACCCCCTAGTATCGTAAACCCCCCACATCAAGGCGCCTGAAGCTGTGTGGCGAGCTGGGCGACGGAGCCGGAGCGAAGCTGGCCGTGGCACTCCGAGGCTAAGGGGTTAGGGTTTAGGGTTTAGGGTTTAGGGTTTAGGGTTTAGGGCTTAGGGGCCTTTAGGGTTCAGAGTTTGGTGTCGAAGCCGCAGGTCCGGGGTCAACGTTATGAAGTGAGCTGTTCTCGAACAGCCCCCCCCTCCAATTAAGATTTCCTTTGTTGGGCCCCAGCCAGGGAAACCTCTTGAAGAGCTCTCACTGCAGAGCTGTGGTCTGGGTTCAAACACAGCCAGCCGCTCGGAGTAACCCGCCCTAAATCTAAGGGTAGTTATATGGGCTCTTAATGTGGTCCCTTACCTCCTTTAAAGGGTTCTGAAGTATGGGCCCTTCGGTTGTATAGGGTAAAATACGGGGCCCCCTTTTCAAGGCCCATATTGAGGGACTATGTAACTACCCCAAAACTTGGGGTTTGGGCCTTTGGGGTTGAGGATTTACTTGCTGTCTCTTCTCAGAGAGTTTTGACCAACCTTAAACCCTTCACCCTAAACTCTAAACTCTAAGCCGGTCAACCTCGGTTTGAGAAGCCCAGGATACCTTGGTGCCATGCAGAGCTCGCAACCCTGGCCGCTCGCGGTGCTGGACTTGTCTGGTAACCGCCGCGCAGCAGCAGTTCAAGCGCCCTGAACACAGCTCTAAGCCCACTGTAGATTCGTGGTGCCCAGTGGTACCGTCCACTTTTTTTGGTTCTAGGTCTCCCTCGTGATGAACGAAAAACCTAAGCCCTAAACCCCAAACCGCACCAACAAAGGCCTCGGAGCGGAGGGTACGGCGCTCGTCACGGCCTTCGCCTCCTCCGGGGTGTTGCGGGCGTTGAGGCGCTTTGGGGGGGTTAGAATTGGGGGGTTTAGGGGGGTTAGGGGTTTAGGGTTGGGGGTTTAGGGGAACCTTGATCCCATTCTAGCACCTGCAGCCTAGACCCAAAGCCTAGACCCAAAGTACCCCCAAACCCTAAACCCTCACTCCTAAACACCTGGACCCTATAGGTTTTGGGGGGGATTCTAGAACTCAGGGGTTCTGGGTCTGAGGGTTTGGGGGGAGAGAAGATCGGATGTGGTGTTCAGGCTTCGAAGTTACGAGTTCGGCTAAATGGAATTTTTGTGCACAAGCAACCTCCTTTGCCACCTTAAAACCTTAACCCCTTACCCTTACAGCCAAGAAACCTCAAACCCCAAAAAACTCAAAGCCTTACCCCTCAAAACCAACTCTCAAACCCATCGAAATCCCAATCCCGAGACCCCCAACGCCCCTTCCCAAACCCCCAATCCCTCCATCAACCCCAAAATACCCCTGAACCCCCAAACCTAAACTCCCTAAACCGCCTAAACCCCGTAAACCCCCTAAACCCCCGAAACCCCTAAATCATGGCGTTTTTTGGTGGCATAGGGATTCCGAACCCTAGCTCTACGCGCATGCCTTCAGTATGGCCGCTTGTGGGCAACTTCATATTTCATTAATCTGTTTTTCTTGGGTGCGCTTGCCTTAGGAATGCTGAAACAGAAATTGTTCTTTTAGACCTGGCTGCGTTGTCCCCTCACCTCTGCTAGGACACGGGGCCCGGAGCGGGCCAAGATTCCCTTTCTGGTAGGCTGAGGTTCCCTGATAAACCCCTTCAGCCCAACAAATCCTTGCTTCATCTGGGACCTAAAAACCCTTTGGCCTTAGGCCCTTGGGAAACGTGCAATCTCCCTATCGTGGGGTTTCAGGAGGATCCTAGGGACATTTTCTCAGAGGGTTTTGGCCCAGTATTCTTCAGATCACAAGCCTTGCACCCGACGTGTCGTGGAGGCTCCGAGCTTGTGGGCTGGAGGAGGATGCCATGGCTTCCTGGCTTCTAGAGGGAGGAGAGTGAGCAAGTAACGAAGGGCGAGAGACAGTGCAAGAGAAAGAGAAACAGCAAGAGAAAGAGCCAGAGCGAGTGCAAGAGCAAGAGCAAGAGAGAACGAGCCTGAACCCCTAGAGCCCACAGGCCTCAACCCTAGATCCCGAAAGGTACCCTTTTTGCTTTTTTCGGTTGTCGGTTCCCCTAGCCCCAAATTTCCCCGAGGCGTTGTTGGGGGGGGGGGGGGGCACCCAAGACTAGCTAGGCCCTCGAGGAAATCTTACGTTCTCCCTTCTTAAGTTTTTTCGGAATGTTTTCAGAGGCTTTCAGGGGCATCCTAGGTACCCTAAATCCTTAACCCTAAACCCTAAACCCTCAACCCTAAACCCTAAACCCTAAACCCTCAACCCTCAACCCTAAACCCTCAACCCTCAACCCTCAACCCTCAACCCTAGAAGAAGTGCCGCCACCCTGAAGTCCCCCGCATCTTCGACACCTCGAGGCACCGCTGGGCACCATGGTGGTACGTCCGCGCCTGAAGGGGGTCCTGTTGCGGGCTTTATCTGGGCTTAGGGTTTAGGGAAAGTTTAGGGTTTAGGGTTTAGGGTTTAGGGTTTAGGGTTTAGGGGAGGTTCATGAGTAGGGTTATAGGTACGTACTCTAAGTAGGGTTATAAGTATAGTTAGCATACTTATAACCCTACTTATCACTACCCATGAACCTCCAAGTGGGGGCCTTAGGGTTTTAGGCTTTAGGGGTTTAGGGGCCTAAGAGTTTTCAAAGGCTGTTCAAGGCGTACGGGGCTTCAATATAAGGCTTTAGGGGCTTGACAGTTTACAAAGGCTTTTAAAGGCTAAGGGGCTTCAATATTAGGGTTTTAGGGGCTTAAGGGTTTTCAAGGCTGTTAAAGGCTCAAGGGGCTTCAATATAAGGGTTTTGAAGGGCTTACGAGTTTTAAGGGCTTGGGGGTTGTGTGTTCAGTGATTCAGAGGGGTTTAGGGGTTTTGAGGCGGATGGCCTGAGGAGTAAGACAGATGTCCCACTGAACAAACCAGGGCTGCAAAAGGTCTATCTTGCAAGCATCGTGCTAGTTTGCTGGGGCTGCTAGGGCGAACCATAGACTCAATCAAGATCCTAAGCCCAGAAGCCCGAATATGCTGTACGCTGAAGACTAAGCCCTGCATGGCCTTAAGAATCGTAGTCAGTCCCACCCCCATCGTGCCACCAAGAGCATCAAGGCCCGAGTTTCCCTCTACCGTGACCCAAAGCCCTGAAGCCGAAGCCCATTCCGCCGCCGGCAACCCTGAGCTCTGACCCCTCAACCTCAAACCATACACACTGAGCCGTCTCTGAACCCTAAAATCCTTAACCCTAAACCCGAATCCGAAGGCGCCACCCAGTTGGAGCTGGTCGATGTGCGGGGCAATCCCAGGCCGCCTGAGTTGAGACGCAGGTTCAGGCTCAATGAGGCCTTTATGCAGGCCTTATGGGGTGGGTAGGATTCAATAGGATTCAATATGCAGGTCCGAAAAGGGTATAGGATCCTGAGGTTCTCTTCCCCATGCCTGCGACGGTCTCTTTGGTCCCTACAGCCCCACACCTAAAGCCCCTGCAAAGATGCCCAAAAACCAGAACAACAAAGTCCCCCCAAAAAAACCAAAAAAATCCCACCAAAATCACCCCAAAATCGCCCGAAATGAAATTCGTCGAAAGCCCAGAACCCTAAACCTAAACCCTAAACCCTAAACCCTAAACCGTGTTTTGACTCCAGGCTCCGTGCGGCCGACGCGACCCGTCAGTTCCTTCGGGCTTCAGAGGAAGCCCTGAGCCATCAAGGTGGGTCCCGAGTCTTAGGGAGGAGTTAGGGTTTAGGGTTTGGGGTTCAGAGTTCGGGTGAAGGGCTACAATATCTCATCGTATTAGCATAATAATTATGACTATAATTCTGACATGAGTATTACTTTTATGTGTTTTACTATTTTTGTTTTTACGCGTCTTGTGGCGGGGCGGAGGGTTCGGGCTAAAGGTTATCATATCCTATCGTATTGTCTTATTCTTGTGACTAGGTTTTTTCCATTCAGTATCCATTGTTTTTAGACTCATTAGCATATCGCTTTGTATTTGTTCGTAGTAAAATTAGCTATAGTTACGATTTGTAATGTACATTCTGCTTTTATAGCACGATGCACATGTGTCAGTGAAGGGCTTAAGGGCTAAGACTCCAAAGTTCGAGCCAGGAACGCTCGGAGAGCTTTGGTGTTCCATTGATGGCTTACTGGGGCTTGGGGCTTAGGGTTCAGGGTTTAGGGTTGCGGGCTTAGGGTTCAAGGGGATCTTGCTTGTGAATGTTTTCAGAGGGGTGTCCAGGGGCCAACTTGAGAGAGGTTTATGGGTTGAGAGGTTGTAAGGGTGTTTGTGGAGTTGATGGTTTCGGGCTCGAGTTAAGCCTTGAGGGGTGGGAAAAACTAGCTTTTTGGGCTAAGCCTGTTTGGAAGAACCCTTGCCAGGGAGCAGTTGCCCCGCTTGTAGCTCTTCAGCTGTAAGCACTCTTGATCCTCCGAAGCACACGAGATCTTGCATTGGAAATTCCGAGCCTTTCAAAAGCTCACAGAGTAGGTTGGCCTTGCGCGCCGTTTCCTCGTGCAAATATCCCATGCTGGTGAAGGTTTTAGTTGGGGATTTGGACACAGCAGAATCCTTACGATTCTCCTTTCATTCCCTCATCCTGAACCCAAAGCCCGAAACCGAGAGCCCAAATATGATCACTATCAGCAGACTTACTACCCAGTCGGTCATATTTATTCAGACTCACCCTAAACCCTAAACCCCAAAAACGTCGCAAGACTCTGCGGACCTCCACGGGCTTGCCTGGGGGCCGCCAGAGGCCGCGCTTCCTGGTCGTTCCGTGGCTACACACAAAGGGTAAGAGAAGGGGTTCGGCGCCTTAACAAAGCCTTTTAAACCTGCCCCCCCCTTAAAAAAACCATTTTGAGCCCTGTAAAACCCCCCCTTAAAGAGCCGTTTTCGACCCTTTGAAACCCCTTAAAAGGCGCCCCCTGAAAAGGCCAGCCCCCCCAAACTTCATCTCCAAGGCTTGGACCTGCGTGGCAACCCGGGGCCGGGAGCTCCCGCCTCACCTGCGCGTTTGTGCCAAGGGTAGGGGGTTCATGGTTTTTGGGATTGCTTGAAAGTGTTGTTTTTTGAAGGATGAGGTTGCTTCGCTTCATTTTTGAAAGGTTTTTTTAGAATCGCATGTTTGTGGTTTAGTGCGGTTGTTGTCTTGTAGGGTTCAGGGTGTGGGTTGAGGGTTCAGAAGGATTGGGCTGGAGGGTTGTTGCTCAGGGCACAATGTTTCGTTGCGTGTTGCGGTGTTGGACTTAAAGCCCTAAACCCCAAACCCTTGTGACAAAACAAGGTGCGCAGGGTTAGGACTTTGTTGTCCTCATCGACATCACAGCCACGTCGACCAGATGTCAGGTTTGATATAAGGTTTGATCGAATTGAGAAGGCTTGGGCATGCAGTTTGAGGTTTCGAGGTTTCGGGGTTTGGGGGTTCAAAGGTGCAGGCCACTTTGGGTCTTAGGCTCCCCTAAGCCCTAAGCCCTAAACCCTAAACCCTAAACCCTAAATCCTAAACCCTAAACCTAAACCCTAATCCCTAACCTTCATGAGTTGTGCCTCGAATTCGACGAAGCCCTCAACACAGGCCGGCGAAGACGCTTCCCAGCCACTGCCAAGGACTGGATTCAAAGACTGGGTTCAGGGAAAGCCCCTCCCCCCTCCCCTTTGGGGTTTAGGGTTTACGGTTTAGGGTTCCGCAAAGTCGCTAGACCCCCATCGAGGGTCTAGAGACTTGGTTTAGGGTTTAGGGTTCAGGGTTTAGGGTTTAGGGCCCCCCCCCGTTGGAACCCCCAGAGAGCCCCATTTCCCTTGCAGTACTGGGGGTGGCGACTGAGAATGTCGAATGTCCGGGTACAACTCTATATCTATCTTTCTGTCGATACCAAAAATCACTTGTGCATGCAAAAGCCCAAAAGATTATATGCGCAAGGGAAAAACACATCTTCAGGCCTTCCCGTTTAGCTAGGGGGGTTCTCGGCCCAAGGAGGATAGGACGCTTCGAGATCTTGCCGGGGGCCCAGCAACTCCAAAAAGGGGTTTAGGGTTTAGGGTTTAGGGTTTAGGGTTTCGGGCGGCAGTGGACTCAGTAGACAGTCCAAGCAGAGACTTCTTCAGTGCTCTTGAAATTCACCAGAGGGAAGCATTGAGTTGAACAGTTTGTTCTGTGAGTGTTGGCCAATAGCAGGGGTGCATCCGCATCCAGCCGCCCAGCCTTCTCTTGAGAGTCAGTACCAGGGCAGCTCCTTCTCCCTTCTCCCCTACACCCGGAATACCCTAAACCCTAAATTCTAAACCCTAAGCCCTAAGCCCTAAACCCTAAACCCTAAACCCTAAACCCTAAACCCTAAACCCTAAACCGCACCCCGACAGTAGCGACCCCCGGCCCCCTCCGCCATAAAAAAGCTTCGACGCGGCCACTGCGCCAAGGCTCGGCGACCCTGGCGCTGCGAATGGTTGATTCCTGCGCGCAGACAAAAGGCTTGCAGCTTCTACCGTCAAGCCCCACAGTGTGCCCTCAACCTGAGAGGGCTATCCAAGTTTTATAATATCTCCAATATATAGAACATTATAGAACCATATATTGGAGATATCATAAAAATTGGGGCTTATGACTCTTCCATCAAGCCCCACGGTGCGCCCTCAGCCTGAGAGGCCTATGACTGGTTCTGGGTGTCGGATACGGCTTGGATGCTTCAGGTTTTCATGTTGAGTTTTGGTCTTTGTTTGAGAATTCGAACAATCAAGGCAAAGCAGCCTCGGGGTGTCTCCGCGAAAAGTGCTCCAACCTTGAGAAACTAACCCTCAAGCCCGAATCCGAACTCAGTTGACTTAGGGTTCGGCGTTTGGGCTAGATCTTCAATTCAAGATCAGTTTCTCCTAGATGTTCAGGCTCCTTCGGCAATGTGCTTGGAGGTTTGAGAACCTGTGTTCTCTAGGCTTCCACGCAGCCAGAAGGTCCTGGACCCTCAGTCGTTGAACCAGGGAGATCACAAAAACTTGATCCAAGGGTGCAGGTTACCTTGGGGCATTCGCAACGATGGCTGATTGCATTCATGTGGCCCTCATGAGCGGAAAGCGCGTGAAAATCGCAGCAAGCACCGAGACCTCGCTTGAGGAGGTGAAGTTGCGTGCACAAGATGCACTTGAAACCGGGAGGGGTGTCTTGGTCAACTCTCAGGGCAGGTTACTTGCGCTGAATCAAACTGTTGGTGAGGCTGGCGTGAAACCAGGAGATTTCTTGACGTTGAATATACGGCCGAGTGCGGTCGAGGCGATCGCCTCAACTGGTGTGAGAGGGGAAGCACTCGCTGCCATCATGAGCAATGAGTCCGTGGTGACCTGGGGTGACCCAATGCGCGGCGGCAGCAGCTCTCCCGTCCAGGAGCAACTCAAGAATGTGTGGCAGGTCCAGGCCAACATGCATGCCTTTGCTGCCATCCTGACCGACGGATCAGTAGTGACTTGGGGCAGGGGCGTTTTTGGTGGCGACAGCAATGAAGTCAAGGAGCGACTCAAGCACGTGCGACAGATTCATGCTACGGAGCGGGCCTTTGCTGCCATTCTGGATGACGGGTCCGTGGTGACCTGGGGTGCTGCTGATGGTGGGGACTCCAGCCACGTCCAGGATCAGCTCAAGAACGTGCAGCACATCCAGGCTGCTGAGGCGGCGTTCGCCGCGATCCGGGACGATGGATCGGTGGTTTCTTGGGGTGAAGGTGGCGACTGCAGTAGTTCTATCCAAGACCAGCTCAGGAATGTACGTGCAATCCAGGCGGCCCCCTACGCGTTCGCTGCCATCAGGGAGAATGGATCGGTGGTGACCTGGGGAAATCAACGACAAGGCGGTGATAGCAGCAGTGTGCAGCAGCATCTCAGGAATGTACAAAAGATTCAGGCAAACAGCCATGGCTTTGCCGCAATCCTGGACACTGGATCGGTGGTGACTTGGGGCGACCCGGAAAAAGGCGGCGACAGCAGTGCCGTCCAGCAGCAACTCAAGCATGTGCAACATATTCAAGCTACAGAGTGTGCATTTGCCGCTATCCTGGGCGACGGGTCGGTGGTGACGTGGGGTTCCTCCGATTTCGGCGGTGATAGCAGAGCTGTGCAGGAGCAGCTGAAGAATGTCAAGCAGATACAAGCCACCAGCAGCGCTTTTGCTGCTCTCCTTGCAGATGGAACTGTCGTTGCTTGGGGTGATCCTGAAACTGGCGGCGACAGCGGCACCGCCGCAGAGCAGTTGAGAAACGTGCAGCAGATGCAGTCGAACTGCCTTGCATTCGCCGCCATTCTGGACAACGGGAGTGTGGCTACCTGGGGCAGTGCAGACGATGGCGGCGACTGCAGCGCTGTCCTGGAGCAACTGAGGAACGTGCAACACATCCAGTCTTCGAGGGGTGCCTTTGCTGCAATCCTGGCCGATGGTTCGGTGGTGACTTGGGGCGATTCCCTCACTGGTGGCGACTGCAGCCACGTCGCAGAGCGGCTCAAGGGCAATTTTGCGGGTTAGGCTTCGTTTGCCCCTACCTGCAGTTTGCAGGCTCTCACAGAGAGCCCTTGAATACCCCGCCAGTAAAGAAACGCAGTTCTGCTCCTTAAGGGCTATTGGGCTGCGCACGGCGGTTGACAGTCGTAGTTTGGCTGGCTTTCACGAGGTTTCCAGCCCTTTTTATTGCGGTTTCCGCTGCTTTCGGAATGGAGTGGAGTCTACTTGGAGGTTCATTTGTAGTTATAAGGATTATCAGGGTTGTCAGCACCCTGCCCTAACTAGGGATGTAAGTATAGTTACCACACTTAAAACACTCACAACTACCCGAAGGAACCACCCCAAAACCCTAGTGACCCTAGTTCATCGGGCTCAGAGCTGCGCTTCGGGCAGTTGCCTGCTTGCTGCTCGCCCCGAGCCCCTGAGAATCTCAACTTCAACTCTGATGAAACCCTAGGGTTTAGGGTTTAGGGTTTAGGGTAAACCCTAAATACCCAAAGCATAAACTCTGAACCCTGAACCAACCCCCACGCACCCTCATCATGCCCTCTAAGCCTCTAAGCCCGAACCCCGAAGCCTTAAACACCTACAGCTCTAAATCCCTAGATGTCCGAAACGCGAATAGTTCAACCTTCATCGGCATTCATCGGCAACAAGCAGCCCTAAACCCTAAACCCTAAAGCCAAAAGCCTAAAGCCTAAAGCCTGAACCCTAACCCTTGCAAGACCTGGTGAAGTCCTGCTGCAGCCGTCGGATCCAACCCCAAGCGGCCCCCCCAAGTGCCATAAACTATACTGTGGTTGCTTCTGATGCGTCTTATTTCGTTCGATTTTGCTTCATGACCTTACATGTACATACACATCCTTAACATTATGATATCTATCTATATATATATATATAGTATATGTATGTATATATACACATTTTTTGTAGATATACATATATGTATAAACCCTATAGCCTATTCCCAAAACCCTCAACCAGTTTATTTGCCGATCCCGTATTACGGGTTGTTGGCATTGGCGGCTGGGTTCCAATTGTCCGAGACCAAGCTGTTTACGGTTTAGGGTTTAGGGTTTAGGGTCCGCAAAGCCCTGAACCCCAAAACCCTCTTGCCGCCTAACACCCTTCGTAAACCCTAGAACCCTAAGACCCTATAGGTTGGGATGTTCCCCTTATACTAACAGCCCTTCATAGGGATAGCAGTACCCCCCCCCCCCACCCCGGTATGAATCGCTATTAAGGACTGTTAGTCTAAGGGGGAACCTCCCAACCCTAAACCCCAAACCCTAAACCACAAACCCTACACCCTGAACCCTGAACCCTAAAACCCCAAGCCGCTGACGCCATGTCCTCGTTGCTGGATCCTCTGGCGCAGTGGCTGGAAGCATCGGGGCGGTACTTGGGATATGCCCAGAGACTCCCATACACCCGAATTGAGGAAGACTCCTTAAACCATGATATAAGGAACCTTAGCACATTTTAAGGAATATTCCTTAACGAATATTCCTTAAGCCAAAAAAGGAACCTTCGTATATTTTAAGAAATATTCCTGAAGTATATAAGGGGTATTGGAGTCTCTAGGTGTTGCCTGGCTGGGTTTAAGGTTTGGGGGCTGGGATGTTCCCCCTTATACTAACAGTCCATAATCGGGATTATATTAGGGGGTACTATAATCCCTATTAAGGACTGTTTATGTAAGGGGGGACATCCCAAGTTTGGGATTTTGGGACTTAGGCTTAGGCGTTTTTTTGGTCGTGTTTTAACCCGAAACCCTAAACCCTAAACCCTAAGCCCTACACCTAAACCCCAAGCCATGGTTCTGGGTGTTCGGGGAGGGCTTTGGCCTCTCCACTCGGCTGATGGCTTGCAGGAGCCTTCGGGAGCCATCGTCGTACTGGCGCTTGAGACTTTACTACCCGTAAAAACCCCAGGCTCTCAACCCGGGTTAGGGTTTAGGGTTAGGTTTTTGGGTTTTGGGTTTTGGGTTTAGGGTTTAGGGTTTAGGGTTTAGGGTTTAGGGTTTAGGGTTTAGGGAAGCAGCCCGCTCCATCGCAGCTATCCATCTCGTCTTGCAGGGGGCAAAGTCAGCGCCGTGTTCTTGCCCAAACACGGTGTCAACTTGGGATGTTCTCCCTTATACTACGAACAGTCCTTAGCAGGGATTATAATAGGGGGGTACTGTAATCTCTATGAAGGACTCTTAGTAGGGGGGAACATCCCAACTGTCAACGTTACAGGGTTCCAACCTGAAGGGTAAGCGGGGCTGGGTCTAGGTCCGTCTGGGCGCGCGGAATTCGAAACTGTCCTCGCTTTTAGAAGTCTGCGTTGGCGAAATGCGAAACTTTCGCATTTGTACCTCTGGGCTCGCAGAATGCGAAGCTTTCTTGGCTTTCAGGCTCTCTCGCTGTTTGGGATCTATGCTGGCGTAAGTTGGGAAGACTCAAGACCCGAGCCCCTAACCCTGCACGTTGTAAACCCTCAACTCTCAACCTTACAAACCCTACGCCAACCTTGAACCCTAAACGCCCAAACCCCCCTCCAGCAAGGCAAATGCCATCCAGGGTGAGCTGGAGGCCTACGTGAGGCGCGCGTTTTTTTGGGGGGACTGGGGCTGCGCCCTGGCGTAGCGAAGCTTCGGGTCTAGGATTTTCGAAGTCCAGGCGGGCTTGGGGCTTTTAGGGGCTAAGAGGGTCTGCGAGAAAATGTGTCCAGGTTTCTCAATCCTGTCAGGCTTCAGGTTTAGGGAATTTTTCAGTTTTGGGGTTTAGGGTTGGTGGTGGGGGGGGGGGGGGGGGGGTCCTCTCCCTGCCCTTACCCTGGGTTACCCTACCTGGGGTTAGGGTTGGGGTTAACCCTATAACCCTAACCCCAACTCCTTTGCCTTCCCTTACCCTCACTCCTTTCTTCAGCTTTTCCATTCTATACAGGGAGAGGGGTGGGCTGGCAACAACAGGCAAATTGGGGGGGGGGGGGGGGGGCTGTGATTGCCCGGCATCCAATGCAGGAAGCACGCAGCAGCTTTCGCTGAGCGCGACGAGCTCCTTGCCCTGAATCGTAGGTCGTCGTAGATAAAATTCATCTTGACGTTCAGCGCTTAGTCTCTCCGGGATTCGGGTCACAACTAAGTCCGGGCACTCAACCCGAAACCCAAACGACCACAGCACCCTGTGGCACACACAGCATTTTCAGGTCATTCTTTGTGTTGTGATAAAAAAACAAACCGTCAGTAAAGAAGCCCCAGCCATCGCATGGCTTGGGGCCACCCTCCTCTTCCCCCGCTCCTCCCTGCTGAGCCATACTTGGAGGCTCATTTGGGGAAGTACAAGTATAGGGTTATAAGTACCCTGAAATAGGGTTATAGAATTGGAGTTACCATACTTATTATGCTTGTAAGTTTAGGGTTTAGGGTTTAGGGTTTAGGGTTTAGGGAACTACCCCCGGAACCTCCAAGCAGCTCAGGTATGACCATGCCTGCTTCGACATCTACAGAGGCCGCTGTCCTTCGTGACCGGATACGGATGCTCAGTGAACCAGGGTTTAGGGTTTAGGGTTTAGGGTTTAGGGCTTGAATCCCCTTGAACTTAAAGCTTACCCTTAAGCCCTAAGCTTCCCCCCAGAGGCTACGATGCCTTGGTGCGGAGGATCCTGACAGAGTTTCTGGAGGCGCAGCCTGATGGGTCTAGGCTTGAGGGGCAAAGTTCAGAGTAACCAAACCCCTATACTCTGAACACTCCCAGTTGCGGTTCTTGTATCAAGCGGTCGGGGCTCCTGTCTCAACACGTCTCCCTCCTAAGGAATTCAGAGTTCTTTCCTTTTTGGGGGATTCGGTTCTCCTTTAAGACCTTAGGAAGACAAGAAGAGGGGGCACCCTCCTTGCAGTCTTAGCTCACCGTGGAGCCTAGACATGGATCCAGGAGATTCGCAGCGACGCGCACCTCTGCGCAGTGGGCAGCGGGGGTCTCACTCCCTCCGTTCTGTGATGCCGTTGGCTTTGTCTTGCGTGTGTACGTCTAGAAGGCTGCAAAAGCTCTTGGGTCTCTTAGAAGTACAAGAGCGGAATCTCTAGCGGTAAACCCTAAGCCTACATTCTGAGAAGGAAGACTGCATCTCCAGTAGCCTCTAACTGCCTTGGGTGTATATGGAACGTTTAGGGTTCATGCGCGCCATCTCAAGCTTGCACGTCCAAGTCGCCAAACCTTCAAAAGTCGGCGCCTTTGTTCCAAGAAATTCAGTTTCTTGTGCTGCTTTCGGTGACCCGGAAGTCTAGGTCATCCAAAGCACAGCAGTAGCCAGTAGGGAGATCAAGCGCCATCGCCCCTAGAGTGCTCCACGGTCCCACCTCCCAAGCCCAAGAAGTTCATGAGCCAACAAGTTCATGACCTACAGAGCCTTTAGGGCCAGTGGTTGGCCAAAGATCTTCATTCCTCAGGGCCTCATCCCATCATACCATCGAGCCCTGAAGCTGCAGCTCCCTTCACTGGCAAGTCCTTAGTTGGGGAAGCCTTGGCTTGGAGGTCTAGAGGGCCTACATTCCAGGGCTTATGATTAAGACTCGCACCCTTAAACGCTAAACCCTAAACCCTAAACCAAGGAACCTCAAGGATCTTAAAAAAAGCGTCCCCCAAAACCCTGAGGCTCCAAGGTAAACCCTGTGGATAGAAGGGGAAACCCTGTTTCCCTGCAAAGGGTCACGAAGTGTAGGGTTTAGGGTTCAGGGTTCAGGGTTCAGGGTTCTCTTCCGGCCTCCCAAAGAACTCCACAGGCTCAATGTTTGAGCCAACTCCTTCCGAATCCCTGAAACTCTTGAAAAGGCCCTTGCAGAACACGGGTTTAGGTTTAGGGTAGGTATCAATAGGGTTACAAGGGAACTATACTTTCTAACCTTATTTAGGGTACTTGTGGCCCTGCTTATTGTTACCCATGCACCTCCAAGTAGCAGAGACCTCAATCCCGCAACCCACCATGGGCCAGGCCAGGCGACGCCGGAACGGTTGTTGAGCGAGCTGCGCCAGGTGCCGTGCTGCCTTCACTGGGTTCAGCGTTTATGCTTTCAGGGTAATCTAGGGGTCCGAATGATTACCAGTAGGATTCCTTGAAGGTCCCTTTATAGTTATACTAACCCGCGAAACCCTATTTTTTCAGGCCCCTATATGATGAAGTTCAGGGTGTGCGGTTTTGGGGTTTTCTTGACGGCTGCGAGGTTTGTAATGGGGGCCAAGTAGCTTTAGTCTCTGTCTTGGGCGGTGCAGCGTAAGGGAGAGGAATTGTGAAGTGCCGGTCCCAGGCTTGAGGGCGGTCCCGAGATTGTTACTTGCGAATATTGAGTTTCCAGGTTGTAAGGTTTCGCCAAAACGACCCTAGTCACTGAAGCCTAAACCTAAAACCCTAAACCTTGAAGCCCCAACCTTCACCCCCAAACTCTTGGCGCCAAACCCATCACCCCAAAGGCCGGCTTGCTCAAAGCGGTCCAGGGTTCAGGGTTTAGCGTCCTTCATTATTGTTTGAGTAGGACGGGGCCAACTTGGCGCCAAGGGCTCTGGAGAATGGGTGGGACTTCCCGGTATGCTTGCAGCTGTGGCCCTTCCTGAGCCCTCAACCTTTCCAAACACTACGCAACCTACCGCGCGCGGGCATCTCGTGAGGGAGGGAGCAGGAAGTACTTGTCGCGAGAGAGTGAAGAGCTTCGGGCTTGAGCGTTTACGGTTTTAGGGTATGGCCCCGCGTCATTAATTGGGCAGTTGGTGCAGCCCGAACCCGATTGAGAAGCAGACCACGAATTTGGAAGAAAACCCTAAACCCTAAATCCTAAACCCTGGACTGAGATCCGAAAGAGCTGTGAAGACTTTTGGACGGGCCTCCCGATTTCGACAATCAACGGCTCTGCCAAAACGCAGGGCCCCTTCTGTAAAGTTGAAAGAAAAACTCCCACAACCCATCCAGTCGAATCCGCCCTTTCGTTAGAGCCAGACAGCCACCCCAACTCCCTCCTAAACCCTAAACCCTAAACCCTAAACCCTAAACCCTAAACCCTAAACCCTTCAACTAAGAGTCATGTCATGAAGGAGGGAGCGGCACTCCGGCGCGATGCAGCAGGAAAGCGCCTCCAGGATACCTGCAGCCCCAACCAACTTATATTCATCAGTCCAGGGACTCCAAGACTCCCCTCAATGAAGGAATAGGGTTTAGGGTTTGGGGTTTAGGGTTTAGGGTTCAGGGTTCAGGGTTTAGGGTTTAGGGTTTAGGGTTTAGGGTTCAGGGTTTAGGGTTTTAGGAATATTCCTCAAAAATGTAACCGGGCTCCTCGTATGGTTTAAGGAATATTCCTCAACGAAGGAGTCTCTGGGAAGGCTGTAGGAGTGGAAGAACCTGGGGCTTTTGGGGGCTTCTGGCAGGGGTCTGGGGGGTTCTTTGCCAGGAACTGCTGGAAATCACCAGCTTTGAGGACCGAACGCAACCTAGAGTTGAGGGTTTAGGTGTCGATTTATAGGGAATCCTACGATTGCGGGATCGGCATAAGGGCCCCGTATGATCGCAAGCCCTCATATGGCCTCAAACCCTAAACCCTAAACCCTAAACTCATGGTGTCGTGATATGTCATGGCTAGGGTTTGGGCTTTCGGAGCTGGGACTCAGGGCTTGCGGTTTGGAGGCTCAGCTTTGGAGGCCTTATGATGCGGTTCAGGGTTTAGGGTTTAGGGGGTTTAGGGTTTAGGGTTTTAGGGGGTTTAGGGTTTTGGGTTTAGGGTTTAGGGTTTATGTGTCTTGTGGAGTTGGAGAGGCCATGCACTACTGGAGTATATTGCTGTACTATAGCCGCATGCCTGTATGACGATATTTGGGTTATGCTTTCTTGTTAATACTGGTGAAGTCTGCGCGACCAGAGTGCAAGGGCTCCAATGTCCCAGATGTCAGACCAGCTAGACCTTGCATCTTCCATGGGACAAACCTCGACCATGACGGGCTGTTCAACCAAGATGCGTCACAGCACTCATCTGCTTGGCTCCAAGTTCGTAGATATGTGACGACAATGTTTTCAAGGCAGTGTCGACTTTGGATCATAACTGCTACTTGCCGTTCAACGTCTAGAAGTACTCTCTGCATAGGGTGATTTGGAGCCCTTTTTGGTTGTGTAACCTTAGCTTGGTCAGGAAAACATGCTGCTTGCTGCTGGGACTTTGCATTGAGGGCATCGGTTGAAGGCTTGCTGCCTAGTCAAGCGAGGCGTTCGGGCTGAGGGCCCGGCATTGAAACAAATGGCTTAAGGTTTAGGGTTTTACCCTACAGTAGTGCCGGACTTGTCCCTACAGACTGCCTTGCTTGCTAGACAAGGCCCTGGTGTTCAGGGTTAATCAAGAGTTCAGGATTTAGGGGTTGTGCGGTAGGGTTGGTGGCTTGGACAGAAGACGCCGAAAGGCTTTTGCTGGCTGTGGCAGTTATCAGCCTTTGACACAGGAGCTTTGGGCACATCCTCTCGGAACCCTTCTGCAACATCCACCATCATCCACTATTCTACGCAACTGTTTCTACGTGTCTGGCGGAGTATCTTCGAGCCATCCCCCCCTCTCCGTCGGTACTAATGTCGTATCCTGATTAGTGTGGACCCCTCCAATAATGAAAAGTTTTCAAAAAACAATTCAGGGGACAAAAATTTGGTTGCCCCCCTACAATAATGAAAAGTTTTTTCGGGCATGGGTTTCGGAAGAGAGAAAAAAAGAGAACGAGCTCATCTGAGCTTACCTGAGCTTAATTACCTAAGAGGAGAGGGAGAGGAAGAGGAGAGGGAAGAGGAGCGAAGAGGAAGTTAAGAGGAGCCGGTGGGGGGGGCCCGGGGCCGAAAATTAGTTTGGGGGGGTCCATTTTTTTTTTTGTGACACTGTTGCGGGGGTGGATTTAGTTTGGGGGGGGGGGGGGGGGGGGGGGGGATCAGGAGACCACATTAAAACCCTAACGTATCTTGTGAGAGATCCTCATGCCCAGGAGTTCGCCGCTGCCGCAGGGCGGCTGCGCCGGCAAGCGGAGACAGAGGCGGCGTGCCTTTTGGCAGGTGCGCTGGGCTTCGGCGGGGCTTGGAAGGCTTCAGGGTCCGGGAATAAAGTTTAGGGCTCAGGGTTTTGGGGTTCGAGGACTTTTGCGTTCGAAAGTTCAGGCGTGTAGGCTTCAGGGCTGTGATTGATTAGGGATTTTAGGGCTTGCCAAACAACGAGCTACGCTCAACTGCAGCCACCTCACAGAGCCATTGGTGCTGTTTCCTACAGTAATGTTGCAAGGTGCTTGGGCAGCTTAGCCGCCTTCAGGGTTGAAAGTAAGAGCAGTACCCACTCATTTCTGAAGCAGCTTCTTCGCCGCAGTACGATCCTATGCAGCTTGAACGCTCGTCTGCACTGTCAGGTTCCGAACAGAATCTGCAAGAAGAGTCGGAGCACCAAAGAATTCAGAGCCTCCTTGTGCTGCTTTGTGGCCTAGTGCAACTCTGCCAAGAAGCAGTGCAGCTCTGACGGGTAAACTGAGTACCCCATGTCTTGTTTGTTTCAGCTTCAACTCCAGAATCCGGCTTCTAGGCGGAAGCAGATCCCAGTGCATCCGGTAAACAAGGTGAGCAGTTGTGTGGCCCATTGTTGGTGAGCTGTTTGGCTAATGGCAAGCACATCGCGAGAGAGAGCGAGAGAGAGAGAGAGAGTTGACTTGTGGATTAGCGTATCTTTCTCAGCAAAATGGCATCTGAAGGCATGGCGGTGCGAGTGGCTGGAGGCCCCTGCTTGGCATGAGACCGCGCCAAGCGTGGCGGGGCCCCGCTTGGGGTTTGCTTGGGCGATCTGCGTGCAAGATGTGCTCAAATCTTGTCACGGGCAACATAACTCATAGCGGCAATGCCAGGCACTGGAGCTGGAAATTGAAGGGTGCCACGTGTCAGGGGCAGCAATAAGGCTGACTAGTCACAACCAAGATTTCCAACTTCTCCCTGAATCCTAAATCCTATACTCGCAGCTTGACCCCTGGCAGCAGATGCTCTGTGGGAACGGTAGGCTGCCTCATGTGCCGGAATGAGTGCCTCCACCCCCTCTCACCAATCCAGATTTCTTGCTGCAAAACCAACCCATCGAGCCCAATACCCCTTTCTTAGTGCATAGTGATCTGGCCAGTATGTATCTTATAGCTCCAAACCCCAAACCCCAAACCCCAAACCCCAAACCCCAAACCCCAAACCCCAAACCCCAAACCCCAAACCCTAAACCCTAAACCCTAAACCCTAACTTAAAGGGGTGTGGGGGGGGGGGGGGGGGGGCAGCCTGGGGGCTCGGTACTGCAGGCGCCTCCAGAGCCTCTCCAGACGCCCGGCTAGAAGCCCTTGAGCTTCCCGGCTGGGTTTAGGGTTTAGGGTTTAGGGTTTAGGGTTTAAGGTTTAGGGTTAGGGGCTTGCGGTTTAGGGTTGTAGTGGGTTGGGGGTTTAGGGTTGTAGGGGGTTTAGGGTTGTAGGGGGTTTGGGTTTTAGGGTTGTAGGGGGTTTTGGTTTTGGGGTTTGGGGTTAGGGTTGTAGGGGGTTTAGTGTTTAGGGTTTGGGGTTTAGGGTTGTACGGGGTTTTGGGCTTGGGGTTTAGGGTTTAAGGGTTGTAGGGGGTTTTGGGATTAGGTTTTAGGGCTGTCGGGGGTTTAGGGTTTGGGGTTTAGGGTTGTAGGGGGTTTAGGGTTTGGTGCTTGGGGTTTAGGGTTCAGGGTTCCGGCGGTTTAGGAGTGTATATAGGGGGTTTAGGGTTAGGTCGAGGATTCTAGGGTTTCGGGTTTTGGGGCTTCGGCTACACGATTTTTGGCTTTGGGGTTTGTGTCTGGGGTGCAGGATTCATGTAGGGTTCCTTTCCCCCCGTTCAGGAACGGAGTTAGATGGCTCAGATAGATCCAGGGGGTCTGAAACGCTTTCAAAGTCTATTCCCTAAAACCCGCAACCCTTAACCCTAAACCCCCAACCTTAAACCCTCACCCCCCCCCCCCCCCCCCCCCCCCCACCTAGACCCTCAACCCGCCGAGCCTGTGCACCCCGAGGCCTGACGCCTTGCGCGCCTTCGGCCCGCCACGTCGATGATGGAAGGTGTCGTGGGCGGGTTCCAGAATCGTTTGTGTTTTGGTCTTCTTCCTCTTCTTCTTCATTTCATGTAATCTCGATATGTTTTGTACTGGTCGTTTTTTGGTGTTGGTTTATTTGTTGCATAAGAATCAGGAGAGGCTGTTTTGTTTAACAAGGTTACTTTTGTTTTATGGAGAAGCCTACTGGGGACGCCTTTCAGGGTCGAGGTGTTCTGGGCGGTTTCAGAGTTTGTGGTGTGTTTTTCTCAGACTTCTTTACTAATTTACTTTTCGGCGTTGAAAGACGTTGGAAGCGTCTTCTTGTTTTGCTTACGTATGGTAGCAGCTCGCGCCTGAAACTGAAAGCCCAGACCCTAAGCCTCCGACGCTACGCCGCTGCATAATCGTAAGCCCTAGGGACCCTATAAGGTCTACATAGACCCTAACACCATAATCGTAAGCCCTAGGGACCCTATAAGGTCTACATAGACCCTCACACCCCCAAAAAGCCCCAAAAGCCCTGTGAAGGCCTGAACCGAAGCACTCGTCGAGCGCGCCCGTGGGGGTGCTCTGCCAGGTCGACTCAGGGCAGACATAGAGAATCATAGAGACTTGAGTACTTCCCAAAGTAGGGGTACCCCCCCCCCCCACCCCCAAATAGAATAGAATCCCCTTTCAAAGGGACTCCCCCCCAAAAACAAAACGTACCTCTGTTTTCGGAAACCTCCATACGCGTACGTAGGACCTGCATGCGCTATCTGAAACCCGTCTGATCCCTGAATGTCTTGCTGTAGAGGCCCAACAGTCGCGAAAAGGGCACCACAAAGCTCCAACCTTCCGGGATGTTAAGCTTTAGGGTTTAGGAGCTTCTCTGGGTTTCAAGGGCTTGGAGGTTTCAGGGGGTTACTGGGGTAAGCCGGTAGCCAGGCTCAGAAGCATCCGCTGTTTCGTGTTCTGTCTGCAGAGCTTGCTGACATTTCAATAGGTGAGTGTCTGTTAAAGTTATCTAAGGGTAGTTTCATGGGCCCTGAATATGGTCCCTTACCCTCTTTGAAGGGTTCTGATGTAGGGGCCCTTGGGTTGTACAGCAGAATACATAAGGGGTATATAAGGGGTCCCCTTTTTAAGGGCCCATACGTTGGGACCCTGAAACTACCCTGTAAGAAGCAAAAGCGCAGGAGGAAGGCGCACGTCTGGCTGGAGATTCACAGGGCCTGCGACGCCGATGCGAGGCGGGTGGCTGTGTGGCGATCGGAGTTTGGGGTGCAGGGGCTTTCAGTTCTCAGGCCCCTTAAAGCTCTAGACCCTATACCCAGAGACTCTAAAAGTGCCTTATCAATTAAGGAATACACCTTAAGTCATATTCGGGTTCCTATTAGAATTTAAGGGATATTCCTTAATTGAGAGGTCTTGGAGTCTCTGGGTAAACTCTATAAGCCATGACTTCTGATCGAACAATAGGATCTTGCACGCCAAGCCCCGCTTCGTGTGCAGGCCAAGGACCACCGACGTGCTCGGAAAGTTGAGAGCGCTGTTGATACTTGGAGGTTCATGGTACTTATAAACCAATTTTATCTGCCTCTGTACGTAGTACTTATAACCACATTAGGGCACTTAAGGGGCTTATACGTGGGTTATAAGTACACTTACAATTGGTTAATAAGTAGCCATGAACCTCCAAGTACGGGCTTCGAGTACTCAGCCAACCCAACAGCCGCTGAACTTGTGTGGCGTAGGACGGAGGTTGCTGTACCCGGGCGCGAAAATGTTCATTCCGTGGGTTTGATGTAGGGTTCGGGACTAGAGGGTTGAGCCCTAAACCCTAAACCCTAAACCCTAAACCCTAAACTGCCTAATTGCCCGAAAGTGAAGCTTTTGGGGCACAAGGGGGCTTCGACTCGGGGTCGACTTGTGCTTCTGCTTGTGGGGGTCTCCGATATTCGGGATACCTTATTGTGGTCCTTTCTATAAGGGAATCCGACTATTAGGGGGCTTGTTGTGGGTTAGGGGTAAGCTTTATTGGGGTCCTTACTATAAGGGAATCCGACTATTAGGGGGCCGATTTTGGCTTAGGGGTAAGCCTTATTGGGGTCCTTATTATAAGGGAATCCTACTATTAGGGGCCCTACTTTGGGGGGCCCCCTATTTTCGTACACCCCCCTTCTACCCTCTTGAACATTGAGCCACCTGAGCGCGCTCAGCTCCCCCAACCTCCGACCGGCCCCCCAGCCCTCCCCTCCCACTTATCCTGCAATCCCGATTTTGGGGGGTTTACGAAAATCACGGGCCCCGAAAATGTAATCCCCAAATAGGATTCCCTTTTCAGAAGCACCCCGGTAGGGTACCCGTAATTTCGGAAACCCCCATTTAGGCTCAGGGGTACCCTAAACCCTGAATGGCCAGGTATGGCTCCATCCACCTAACACTTACATGGGGGGTTTCCGAACAGGGTACATTTTGGGGGGTTCCGTTAAGGGGATTCTATTCTATTTTGAGTATAAATGGGACGTAAATGATAAACTCCATCCAGTCCCACATCATTATTATTGAGACAAGCGAACACGCGATTCAAATGATTACAAGCGTGACAAAGAAAAGATAAAACAAAATAACAGTAAAAAGTCCTTTGAGGAGCGTCTGATATTAATGCTAAAAGAGGCTAATTGATGCACCAGTAATACGAACAATGAAAATAAGAAAACTTTATAGATGCTCGTTTGCCATCGCTCGTGCTTTCTGCTCCAAAAACCCCGCAGGACATGGTATACAACATTATACAACCAATACATCCAACTCTCATCCACTCGCCCCAAGGGTTAGCCTAGACTTAAACCTGGAGCCCTCTGAATGCTCAGTCCAAACACTGAAACCCCCCATATGAGTGCTCACGCCCGTGGAGCCTTTGGGCCTGGATGTTTAGGGTTTAGGGTATAGGGTTTGTTAGAAATCCTCAGTTTGGCAGGTTAATTAAAGGATGTGCTGTGCAAACATGGGCATGACTCGACGTGCCTGACCTGCTGGTCGGCCATGCCGAACCCACTTGACGTGCAGGAGGGTGCTTAGTTTGTGCATGAAGTGTTGCAGTTCAAGCAAGCATGAGGCCAGTAGCAGTCCTTGAACAAAAGCTTTCCTCGAACTCCCACTGAAGAAGAACTTCGAAGTGGCACTGCTGTCGTATCCATGACTGGTCCGAGATTGTCCGGAAGCTGCTTTACCTCTTGCTGCCGTTGAAGCTGGTAGAAGCTGGCTCTAGCACAATGCAGCGCATGCGTTTCTGTCGAGTACTGGCGCCAAAAGTGATCTGCTGCCTGGGTGTCTGTAAGTTGGGATGGACGGCTTAAGCCCTTTTGTCAGGAGCGCGCTGCACGAACCTTGGCATCTTCGTCGGCATCCAGCACAGACCGCTATGTCGGAGAGGGTCAAGGCGAAGTGTTGGGGAGAGATTTTGGGTGAGCGAGAGTCTTCGAGCAATCTGCGAATTGAAGCAATTCTTGGCAACCTGACAAGCTTGGGGTTTAGGGTCTTTTGGCTGTGGGTTGTCCCTGGTATACAAAAATGGGAAGACTGCATTCGTCGGCAACTCCATATCCTGAACTCTCACCGTGCGCAGGCCTGTCGGAGGGGGCCAAGGGCCCCGGCCAGGAGGGGCCAGAGGACGGGGCTCCTAAAAGGTAGGGTTTGTACTAGCTACCAGTATGGGATTTTGGGGGCTTGCTTCTGTGTTTCTCTTTTTGAATGTCCGGTCATACCGAAAAGTTTCATGGCAGGTCGTGTGAATGTTGCAATTGACTAGGACCCAGAGTACGCCCTTATTTCCCTTTTTTGTTTGTTTAGGATGTAGGTTCCCTTACAGTATGAGCCTCTTTAAACAATAAAGTGTACCTTCTTATTCCTAGGTTCCTCTTGGGTCGAGTCTGGTTGATGTTATGTGTAGACACTAAAATGTGACGATTCCTGCATGGGCTTAGGCTTCTACTCAGAGAGCCCAGTCCTGCTTAGCCAAGGGTTTTGCCTCTCTTCATTCATTGGAAGAGTCCAACACCGGCTTACATGAATCCTCCTCACCTAAGGGTGTTGCCTCTGTTCATCCGGTGAACTCAAAGGTGTACACCTTCATTTGAGCAGGTGTTGGACTCTCTGGGCAGGCTTTGCTTAGTTTGTGAGTGCGGCATGACTTGCCGCTCTTAAATTCACCAAGGCAGGTCAGTAGGGTGTAGGATTTAGGGTTGAGGGCTGCACACTCCGCTGCCGCACAATACCAGAGGCTTGAAAGAGTTTTGTACCCCACGTCCACGAGGCAGATACGCGTCACCTTCCGCGAACATGGCCCAGCAATAGTTGTAGATTGGGTCCATCAAGTCCTCTTGCAGGTACGTAAGAAATATGCATTGAGCCTTATAAACTCTATAATCCCTAGTCCCAAGCAATAGTTGTAGACAAGTCCTCTTGCAGGTACGTAAGAAATATGGGTTGAGCCCTATAAACCTTATAATCCCTATTCCCAAGCAACCCTCATGTGAGGAGCCGATCCCCGATCGGGAGCTGTGGGAATCGGTCGTGGAGAAGGCCCATGTTTCGTTTTGGATTGGGATCTCGGGATTAGGGTTTCAGGGTTCAGGGACTAGGGTTTGTAGGACTTGGGAGGCTTGTGGGCTTTTTTCTTTGACTTTGGATGGACATTGTTGGGGTTCAGGGCTTGGGGTTTAGGATTTTGGAAGTCTGGTGTTTAGCGTTTTATGATTCGAGCCAGAACGCCGTGATGCGCGGAATGTCCTGACAGCGAGAAGATCTAGCGAGTCTTTGCGCTTGTGTGGCCCTTAAGAATGCAGGCTCTGAACACAAAGCCCCGAAGTCTGAACTCTGGCCGTAAGCCTCCACCCTAAGTTCTAATTGACTCCTTAAATTCTGTTCATATATAAGAAATCCTTAAATCCTGTTAGTATATGGCATATGACTCAATCATGGAAGCCCTAAACCCTAATCCCGAAACCTATACCCTAAACCAACCCTGAGTCCACAAAGTAAGGACTGGCAACTCCTGGGCCACGCGCCCACAGCCCTGCGCCGCGACCGGAGGCCATCTCCGGGCCCGTGCTAGGTTTCAGGGTTTAGGGTCTAGGGGGTTTAGGGTTTAGGGTTTAGGGTTTAGGGTTTAGGGTTTAGGGTTTAGGGGTTTAGGGGTTTAGGGTTTAGGGATATTACGGGTTTAGGGTTTAGGGGTTTAGGGTTTAGGGGTTTGTGGTTTAGGGATATTCGGGGTTTAGGGTTTAGGGGTTTGGGGGTTAGGGGTTTAGGGGTTTAGGGGTTTAGGGGTTTAGGGGTTTAGGGGTTTAGGGGTTTAGGGGTTTAGGGGTTTAGGGGTTTAGGGTTTAGGGTTTAGGGATATTAGGGGTTATATAAGGGGTTTAGGGTTTAGGGTTTAGGATTTTGGGTTTTAGGGTTTTAGGATTTTGGTGTTTTTGGGGTTTAGGGGTTTAGGGGTTTAGGGTTTTCTGTTCTGTTAGAGGGGGGTACAGGTGTTTTAGCTTGTTTGCTGGGTTGGAAGATTTTTCGGCGCCGAGATGTTGACACTTTCCATGTATTTTCGTAGCGTGAACATTGGTTATGGATTATCTGTCGCATGTTTGACGACTTACGTAGGGCTTTGGCCACCAACATCGGGCACTTTTGCAGGTTTCTCTCATCACTCCTCTCCCGGCACGGCTTGGCGCTGATGCACGCAGCGCCAGACCTCCGAAACGACAGGCGCGCAAGGAAGTTGAAAGAGGACGAGAGAGAGAGAGAGAGAGAGAGAGAGAGAGAGAGAGAGAGAGAGAGAGAGAGAGAAGAGAGAGAGAAAGAGAGAGGGGGAGAGAGAGAGAGGAAGAGAGAGACAGGGAGATAGAGAGAGACGGAGAGAGGAGAGAGGAGAGAGGAGAGGGGAGAGAGGGAGAGAGAGAGAGAGAGAGAGAGGAGAGAGGGATGAGAGGGAGAGAGGGAGAGGAGAGAGGGAGAGAGGGAGGGAGAGGAGAGGAGAGAGGAGAAGGAGAGGGGAGAGGGAGAGAGGGAGAGAGGGAGAGAGGGAGAGAGGGAGGGAGGGAGGGAGGGAGGGAGGGAGGGAGGGAGAGAGGGAGAGGGCACGTCTTGGGACGCCCGGGGCTCCGGCCTCAAGCCCAGCGAAAGAAAGAAAGAAAGGGCACGCCTTGGCGTGGGGACTTCCCCTTGCCCAAATAACTGAAGAAAGAACATAATGAAGAAAGAGAGAGAGAGGGGGGGGGGGGGGGGGGGGGGGATTCTGTAAAACATGTTTCTTGCCCAAACTCTTACTAAGCCAACTCCCGGAGCTCGTAGAAGCCTTCGACCTTACCCCCCCTAAACCCTGAGGCCCCTCAAGCTGCAGATCAGACTCACTTCCACCTAAGCTGCAAGAGGCCAGAAAATGATCGTTCATAGCGTTGTTCTTAGGACAGTATGGGTATTCGGGGAGGAAGTTTAATCCCCCCCCCCCCCCCCCAAATCCAAGCCCTAAACCCTCAACCTCAAACCCAACCCCAAACCCTAGACCCCAAACCCTAAACCCTATACCCTACACCTTGAACCCTAAACCCTTAACCCTAAAACCTAACCCCCCCAACTGCAGCCAGGGCTGTGACTTTGATCGCCCTGCAAAACCATGGCGGGGCCCTGGCCTTTGTCAGCGAGGGACTTCGGGCAGACCGAGGCCGGGGTGGAGGGCTGGTAGAAGGTTTGCCCTAAACGGTAAACCCTAAACCCTACGCCCGAAACCCTAAACCCTAAACACCCGGGTTTTGGGGGTTTTGGGTTTAGAGTTTGCTGGGTTTGAGGGTGTGATGGAGCTTTGTGGAGGCTGGGGTCTAAATTTCAGTGGGGCGCAGTTCGTGGCTTAAGCTTGCCCGGAGAGTCCTTCCTTAGACATCATGTCTCAGTTTCAGAATGAAGGCCATATCCTCTATAGTTCTGTGTGCCCCTTTTTAAAAGGTTTTCGGACGCACCTCGTCCTTACTTGCGGGGTATCGGGATCCCTGGGTGCGCCCAAAGCCCCTTCGGCCGCCCGAGACCTCGTGCTGGAAGCGGTTCGCCGCAGTGGTCTTGCTCTGCAGCACGCGCCCCAGACCTTCATTCAGTGATGGTTCGTAGGGATGGTTGGCGAGATGTGGTCTGATTTTTCGAGGCAGGCCCTTAGGGTTCAGGGTTTAGGGTTTAGGGTTTAGGGTTTAGGGTTTAGGGTTTAGGGTTTAGGGAGGCCTTTACGTAGGTGGGGAGGGAAATGGATGACAGATTGGCTTTTCGCGAATATCCCAGTTGTTGCGGTGGGAAGCTTCCGATGTTGATTGCCGCCAGGTGTCTTGTGCTTCCTCTGACAGCTGCTTTGAAGCAGAGAATCTGAAGAGATCAGAACCCGATGTCCTCCTAGATCACAAGAAACCCCAACAGCTTCAAGGAAGCTCAGCCAGATTCAATATCCAATCTTTGCAACTCATGTTTTGACAGCCCTGCCGGCCAGACCTTGTTTGCATTGACTTACGATTGCTCAGCTCATGGCCGACTTCTTGGGTATCTGGTGGCTGAACATAGGACCGCGGCCTTTGCTTGCAGTGCTGTGTGATAAACCAAAGGATCCCGAGTTTGTAGCAGCTAAAGAATATTACCAGAAGCACTTGAAGGGCACGATGGCCACCGATCTGTCCACCGGCAGCGGTGCTGCTGGATGGACGGACCAAATAACCGCTTGCAAATCCTGCCTGCCTCAAGCGCTGGCTGAAAAAAAGCGTTTTCCTGGTGGAAGCCCATGGGGTTCGCGCAGTTGGACTAGGTACCAACAAAGAGTGCTACGAGAGAGGTGCGTATTTGGCCCATGGTCTTACAGCTGGCCATGAGAAGCTTCTCCACCTTCGCGCGCTACCATGTGACACGTTACAACCCGACATGTCACGCTATGACTTTCAGTCGCAGCAGCTGCCAACCAGAAGGAACTGCAAGTCCCGGCTGCGCGCTGCCGTGTGGTGCATCGAGAAGGGTTTGCAGTATCGAGGGTATTTCGATGAAGATGAGGAAAAGGTACTGCAAAGATTCAGGCAAGTGAAGGGCGGCCCATACTACGCAGCAGTGCTGGATTCTCAGAGTCATTTTCAAAAGTTCGTGGACCTCTACAGCAAAGACAAATCTGTCAAGTGGATGAAAGAAAACTACTTGGACCTCTACAGCAAAGACAAATCTGTCAAGTGGATGAAAGAAAACTACTTGAAGGGCATGATAGAATGGTGCCATGGCCAAGTGCAAGACCCAAGGGAGCCCCGAGTCCAAGAGGAGACCGCTGTCAGAAGTGTAGCAGAACCATGGTGCGCTGAAGATGACAGGCAGGCTGTGACTTAGTAGTAGATTAAGTAACCTTTAGCCTTTTGGTGGTCTTATGTTCCCGTTCATAATCCCAAAGGTTGACCTTTACTGGACATCTAAGGTGACGCAAGAGGAAGCCGAAGAGTTGGCCCAGATAGCTTGGGAGGCGTATGAGAAGTTTAGCGAAGCGGGCGATGGAAGATCTGAAGCTGGGGAAGAAGCTAGGAGCGAGGAAGCTGAGGGATATCCGGCAAGCTTTTTGCGAGGAATGCCGCTGAACATTGCGCTTCTGCGAGAGCTCATTGAAACAGAGGACTTCCGACGGTTGATCAAACAGTTTGATCCTTCTCGCAGTTCTTCCGCACTGGCCAGGTGGCAACACCTGATGCGTTGGTGCAGTATCACAGATCCTCGGCTACGCTTCGCACATGACAGGGTCTCCAGTAAATTTCGGCAGCCACCTCACACGGGGTTGCTGGTCGAAAATCTGGCGGAGGGTTTTTTAGCGGGTAAAGCGAGGCCAGAAGACTTGACCCCCATGGTTGCAATGGTGTGGCATGATGCTTGGTATGTCGTGATGGGCAACCGGCGCAGGAAAGCCCTGCAACTCTTTGTGCAAGGACACGGACCGTGGCCTTCTCCAAGTCAGGTGCCGCAGGTTCGTATCATTCTGCACGTCTTTCCCTTCCACCACATCGAGAACGATGACGCGAGAACAGCTTTGAGGTTGAAGGCGTTGGAGGCTATGGATTCATGCGACAGCGGTCTTTCCGCCGCGATGCGGCGGAGAAGGTATTGAGAATATATTGGCCTGACAAGAACTGGTGGAGAAAAAAGTGGGGGCTGTCGGAGGGTTTTCTAGCATCGTCTGCTTGGGCTTTCAAAGTACGTCCAATAAACTGGAGCTTAACCCATCATTGCTTACATATGTATATACACATAGAAATAGAGTGTAATGTTATGCAATACAAGATAGTATAATTTATTAGAACATACTATGATGTAATATACAATTATTGCAAAGGGTACCTACACAGACTTGCCTTGAGGTTTGCGAGCGCCGAGCTGCTGCGAGACCGCGCCCTGGTCCTAGAGGCCAGGATGTCCTTGCTGCGTCTCTTCGGGCTGAAGTTGGGATGTCTAGGGTTTAGGGTTTAGGGTTTAGGGTTTAGGGTTTAGGGTTTAGGGTTGTTCCCCTTTGTACTAACAGCTCCTTAGTAGGGATTCTAGTATACCCCCCCCCCCCCCCCCCGATTATAATCCCGATTAAGGAGCTGTTAGTATAAGAGGGAACATCCCAAGGCTGATCAAGGCTGAAGCTTCTCGGGTTGAATTCGGGCTGTGGGGTTCTTTGGGGCTTAGGGAGTCTTAGAAAACCCTATAGACCCCCCAAAATCCCAGAACCCTACAGTTTACGAAAGCCTGTAGACCCCCAAGAATCCCAGAACCCTAAGCCCTAACCGGTCGAGCTCGTTCCCCTAACGTCTTCCTAAGGTTTCTTTCAAGGGGTCCAATACTAGCGATCAAGGACTCGGTTCCTGAGAAAACCCCTGAGGAAACAAAGGGACCCTTGTCATGCCTAGGTTACTCTGTGCTCTAGTCTCAACTCCAAGCACAAAGTGTCTCTTTGATTTGAGGGACTTCTTGACAAAGGAGGGGGCCCGGCCAGGGGGGGGGGGGGCCCTGCGGGCAGCCACGGCATAGATGCTTATCGAGTTCTTGGTTCAGGGCTCTTCCAAAACGGCTCCTGTGTAGTACCTTTTTGGGGTAGTATACTGGAATCCCCTATAACTAACCCAAAAAGGAACTACATTGGAGCCTTTGGGTTGGCTGACTGAAGCTTGATGCAAGAGTGATGTAGGCTGGGTGTTGAAAAGCATGAAAGTTAAGCTTCTTTCGCAGGCTTGTCCATACCGGCTGCTTACCCCGGCTTTAGGTCGTGGTTCTTAGAAAGCTTAACCGAGGCCCCCACCGCTGAATACCTGAACCTGAAACACACTGTATTCCCTCCTAAACAACCCTAAGCTTCTCGAAGTGCTGGCTTTTGAATTCTTGAGGTTCCGACCCCTGAAGCCTTGAACGCCACCACCAGGCCGTGGAACACTGCGGTTTCGCACTGCAGTTTGTTCCCGAGGCTTGCCGAGCCTCCAGTTTTTGCGGGGGAAATTAGGATGCTCTAGACGTTCTGTAGGCTGATGTTTTGAATTCCGGGTTTAGGGGTTCGTCAGGGGTTGAAGGGCCGTGCTAGGTTGAGGAACCCAGGCAAATCCCGCTACACCCTAAAGAATACTCGCCCGAAATCGCTTGACTTCAATTCAAGGCCCGACATCCCCATATCCTTAAGACCCCTGAACCCTCATAGGAAGCTCAGTTTTCTGAGGCAGCGCCCCTAAACCCTTAACCTGAACTTCTAACCCCTAAACCGTTTACTTAGGTTTGTTTACTTGTCGTGGGTTGAGGGGTTTGGGGTTGTTGGAGGTCTAGGACGAAAACGCGAAGCCTTCAGCGCACCGCGCAAGACCACTAGACCCGCAGACCGGTTTCGGGTTTAGGGTTCAGGGTTTAGGGTTTAGGGTCCAGGGTTTAGGGTTTAGGGTTACGCTCAAGAATCCCTAATACCTAACCTCCCAAAACTGCAAGGCCGGCAAAGAGAAGCCATCACCCGATGCCCCATTTCCTTGAGCTGTACAGGGGCTTAAGAAATACATGAATATTTCATTTATTTATATATATAAATATGCATAATATGTATATATATATATATGTATATACAAATATACATACACGCCATATACATATATCGCATAATGGTATTTTATTTGCTCTTCGGGTAAAGGGGGCATGGTTTTGGAGGACTTGCGCGACGATCCCGCTGTTGCGCTGGCGGCTGTAAGGTGCTCGGGGCTGCCCCAGTTGCAGGGCTGAGGGCGTATGGTCAGACAGCTAGCCCTCTCAATTAGGGTCCCTTCTGGCTCCTTTTTTGTAAGGCGCCGTACTATTTAGGTACCCAAAAAAAGTGAACCTAATGTAGAGAACTGCCCATGTGGGGTTTAGGGGTTAGGGCTGAGTGGTAATGAAGAGGGTTCTTACCCTCTGACCCCGCGACCCCTTTCAGCAACATAAGCAAGAAGAATACTTGAGCGGCCCTTCCTTCGGCGCCCGTATTGTGCAACAAGGGAATGCAGGGGTCTGGCCTTGTTATGAATGCTGCGGGGTCTAGGACTTGTTCTGGTTCGCAGGTTTTAAGGGCTGGGGCGGCTACGGATCATGAGTTGTTGCTTGTCTTTGGATCTTCACATGTGAACTCTGATGTTGGAGCGAGTGGAGGAGCGAGTGGAGGGCCCCTGACCCTTGACCGGGATCTACCATAGGGGCCTTTGAACGAAAAGAATCGCATCCGATCCTATCTACCCCGTTTCTAGTTGCACCAGAATATGTTCTCTCAAAACCTGAACCCTGAACCTGGACTCCTATTCCAGTCCCGCCGGAGCGGCCCCAACCCGAAACCCTCCAGCTGCGCCGTGCAGGCAGAACGGCGATGTTCTCAAGCTTCTGTCGCCAGAGATGAGGCAGCGAGCTTTGTTGGCTCTAGGTGCTTCGGAAGGCCCACTATGGCCAAGTTAGGGAGTGTTAGGAAGAAAAGCAGCTCTTGCTTTATGACATGTTGCAGTCTTGCTCTGTGCACAGGGCATGTGGCTTTTGCTGGAAAAGTTCAGGAGCACGAAGCATGCGCCGACACCGGAGCAACCCTGGGTGTCTTTTGCCCCTCGAATTTCAATGCCTCAGCACCCTAAACCCTAAACCCTAAACCCTAAACTCCCCTGCACGCCTTACCCTCAAGACCAACAGCCCAACCCCCAGTTCTTTCACCCTCAGACCTTGTCCCCCTCCGATCACAGGAAGCTCTCGCAGCCCCAAAAACCCAAGCTCTCGACAGCAGTCACAATTCCCAAGCCCCCGAGCTGCAAAATGTAAGCAGCAACCGGTGTAGGGTTGGAGACTCTACGGTTTCAGGGTTCACGGCTGGGGGAAATGGGGGTTTACCCTAAACCCTAAACCCTAAACCCTAAACCCTAAACCCTAAACCCTAAACCCTAAACCCTAAACCCTAAACCCTAAACCCTAAACCCTAAACCCGAAACCCGAAACACTAAACCCTAAACCCTAAACCCTAAACCCTAAACCCTAAACCCTAAACCCTAAACCCTAAACCCTAAACCCTAAACCCTAAACCCTAAACCCTAAACCCTAAACCCTAAACCCTAAACCCAAACCCTAAACCCTAAACCCTAAACCCTACCGGGGGTGGCAGGGCCGATCCGAAGATGGTCCTTGCAGCACTCCGCGCCGCCCCAGCGGCCTCTTTGAAGGCTGGAGAGCTACAGAGGTGTAAGGATAGGGTTCAGGGTTTAGGGTTTAGGGTTTAGGGTTTAGGGTTTAGGGATGTTCCCCCTTACACTCATGCCTAGCCCAAGCCCTAGACCTGAAACCTGTAACCCCTGAAGCCTGCCCTGCTGCCGACATCCCGAAGCCCAAAGTTGTCCTATACACAACACCATGCACCCTCGCCTAAGAGCCTAAGCCCGACCCCCAAAACCCTACTTGGAGGTTCATGGTACTTATGATCCAACTATAACTGTACATACAACCCACTTATAAGCATCTTAAGTGCCCTATTATGATTAAACGTACAGTTATAAGTACAGTTCTAATTGGTCCATAAATACCATGAACCTCCAAGTACACCCTCAAACCCTTCGCGCACTAAAGCCTCAACTTCTCTGATCAATGCAGGCGGAGGAGCACGGCCGGCGAAGCTTGGGGGCTGGTGGTGTTGCTAGTGGGGTCTAGGTTGGGCCTTAGGAGCTGTTCGGAACTTAGGTTTCAGGATGTTGTGCCCTATTTAATTGGGCTGCGTTTGTGAGCTGACTTTCAGGTATCCGGAGCTTTGTCCCAGTTGTTGTGTACAGGGCCCTGGACCCCGCCCCATAAACCCTCAACCCCACACCCGAAGCACGCTGAGAAGTTCCTTTCGTGTAAGGGTAGTTGCATGGTCCCTTAGTATGCCCCCTTAAATGGGTGCCCCTTATTTTGCCCTTACTTATCCTACAAAAACCCAAGCGGCACTATTTCCGAAACCTTAAAACAAGGTAGGCAAACATATTAAGGGAGCATGCAACTACCCTAAACCCTAAACCCAAAAGGACTTAGATCACAAGACATTCTTAGATTTCGCCCCGTGAGAGAGGGCTCCTTGTCAGAAGGCCCGTGCTGCGCATGCTGGACTAACATCCGATTTGACGGTGTAGGGTTTCTGCTCTCAGGGTTTAGGGTTTGCGGTTTAGGATTTAGGGTTTAGGATTCAGGGCTCAAGGTTCAGGGTTCAGGTTTGGGTTCCTTGGGTTTTTGGGCTTTCGGTCTAGGCCTCCAAGTGTCGCGTTCGAGGCAAGTCTGCCGCGTGCGTTTCAAGCTTCAACTGCCAGGATCTCGGTGGCTGAGATCGAAAACAGTTTGGCCGGCACCTCAGCATCCTAAGCCCCTAAGCATCCAAGCCCTAAACCCTAAACCCTACTAAAGCCTCAGCATCCTAAACTCTTAGCCCGAGTGATGTTCCCGATTTGGAACAAAGTAAAAAAACGGCTGTGTCGTAAACCATAGACCATAAATCCCAAATCCTAAACCCTAATAACCCCAAAAGCCAGAAGCCTTGAGCCAGAATCACAGAGACCAGGGCCCTGATAAATTCTAGCCTAAGGTCCAGAGGCCTGAAGACCCGCAGCCCGGGTTCCGTTTCTAAAGAGCTGTCGCTTTTGGGGTGAAGGCATTCGTGGTGTTGGGGTTTATCTAGGCGTTTCGGGTTCGAGGTTTCGGGGCGAAGAGGTTAGGGACGAGGCGGCTCAGGGGCTTAAGTCTCGGGATTGGAGTTTGAATCGAAGGTTTGAGGCTTTGGGGTATCAGGGTGTCTCAACTCTTAGGGCGATAGGAACGGTACCCCCCCCCCCCCCCCCCCCCCGAGATCTTGTGGAAATCCTCAAGATGCTTTTGTCCTAACGCTTCTGACATCCCTGAAGCATCATGGCAAACCCTAAACACTGAACTCCTGCCCCCAAACCTTGGACAAATACGCCGTCCGAAGCCCTGGGCCTAGGACGCCCCGTAGTGGCTTAGGATCCCGTAGCTCCTCCTGCACAAAAAACGGGCAGCTTTGTCTTCAGTTGGGTTGCTGGGCGACCGGGGTGAAATGTTTTTGTAGCAACTTGAAGCCTGCTTTGGTAGAGCTTTGAGAAAATGCACATGTGACCGGAGATCCCGTCAGAACCGCACCGGATCTCCGCTGCGCCATGCGCAAGATGCGCTGCGCCGGAGCCCCGCGAATCTGTCAGGGTTTCGGTGTTCGGTGGATGGTGCTGAGGGAGGGGGTGCAGGGTGTGTTTGTGCTGCTAAGCGGAATGTCCAGGAAGGTGCTTTTGGATGAGGGGGGCGGGCTGGTCGCGTGACGTGCTTCAGCTTCGAAGTACAGGCTAATCAGGGTGTCACTCTAAGTCCTGAGCCGCCCCCAAAACCCAAGACCCGCAACCCCAAGACGTTCAATCAGTCCCTTCGTCCGAACACTCGCGGCCAGAAAGTTCGGAAAGGAACGACTGGTAGAGGTGGCACAGAGAACCACATGCACAAGCCCAAAACCCTCAGACTTAAACCACCCTAAACACCAAGCCCTACACCCTAAACCCTGAACCGCAAGACCCCCAAAACCCCCCAAACCCCCAAAACCCCCAAAACCCCCAAAACCCCCAAACCCCTAAACTTCCCCTAGCCCCAAAACCCCAAAACCCAAAACCCCTAAACCCCTAAACCCCTAAACTTCCCCTAAACCCTAAACCCTACCAAGCCCCAAAACCCTTGCCCTCCGAATCCCAAGAGGGCGCAGACCGAAGTCTGGTAAACCCTCAACCCTAAACCCCAAAACCCCAAAACCCTAAGCCCAAAACCCTCAACCCTAAACCCTAAACCCCAAAAACCCCAAAACCCCAAGCCCAAAACCCTAAACCCTAAACCCCAAACCCTAAACCCTAAGCCCTCTGAATCCTGAGAGGCGCAGACCGAAGTCTGGTCATGGAAGCTGTGAAGCTGGCTTGGGGCCCCGGGGGGGGGGGGGGGGTGTTTTGGGCGGTTTAGGGGTTTAGGAGCTAAGTGGTTTAGGGTTTGGGGGGTTTAGGGTTTAGGGTTTGGGGATGAGGGTTTGGGGGGTTTAGGGTTTTAGGGTTTGGGGATGAGGGTTTGGGGATCTGCGGTCTGGGGTTTAGGAGCGAGGGGGTTTAGGGTTTAGGGATATGTGTGTGTCGTTTAGGAATTGGGGAGTCTAGGGTCTAGGGTTTAGGGAGGAGGGTTTGGGGTTAGGATGAAGGGTTTAGGGTTGGGGGGGTCGTCTGGTTTGTATGTTGACTTATAAAACATTTTGGTGCTCAGATGTCCTCATCTCATCATCTGAGATTTTTCTTTCCCACCCTACCTACAACTTAACTTTGAGGAGCATATTCTTGAGTTCAGGTATATGGGGGAGTCTGTCTATGAGGGCACTGACCTGGCGGGAAGTCGCTCAGGTTTTCCGGCTTTAGAGTTCTGCTCGGCAGGCCCTTGAGTAACATTGTGTTTTCCCCTTATATATTTAGTTCAAGAGGATCCTTGTTGCGAAGATCTTGTCAGGGTTTAGGTTCGAGGGCTGAGTATTTTTTTTAATGATTTAGGTTCCACTGAACCCGAAAGATTCTAAACCCAAAGATGCCCATGAGATCCGATGTCTCGAACTTCCGCCAAAGGATGGCTCTGCCCTTCTCTTTGCCGCGGGGGCGCCCGGATAGGGGGTTCCCTGAACCCTGAGACCTCAGTCGGGAGGTTTAGGGTTTAGGGTTTAGGGTTTAGGGTTTAGGGTTTAGGGTTTAGGGTTTAGGGTTTAGGGTTTAGGGTTTAGGGTTTAGGGTTTAGGGTTTAGAGCTTTGGTGCTGCACCTAAATACACTGAGGGTCAAACTGGGGCTTAGGGGTTTGGATTTAGATTTATATGGTTGAACCCTTGAAGGGGGACCCGTAAAGTGTTCAGGAAGGGCTTGGACCCTTTTGGAGGCTTAAGTTTGGGGTTGAGGGCCTTTTGGCAAGGGCTTCACTTGCCATCCTTTCAACCCTCTGAAGGTTTTGTTCAAAACCCACCAAAGAAGTAACTAGATTTGGGTCAGGATGTTCCGAAACCTTTCAATCGAAGGACGGAGTGCTAATGCCATTAATTATATTTACTTCCTTGTTAATATAGAACCGACAACTATGTGTGTGTATATATATACATATATAGATAGATTGATTGATAAATAGATGTTTCATTTTTCTCGACGCATTAGCATGTTCTAACATGCCCGCAATATGTTTTCAGAAGAGTTGTGGTACCTAAGCCCCATCCCTAAACCCCAATCTTCCGGCTACTGTCTTCAGAGCCCGTTCGCCGGGCCTCGTACACTTCCCCAGAGAGTTCAATTTCCCTTCATGTCACCCCTTTATTTAACGGTTTTGGGTTTAGGCTTAAGGGTGTAGGGTCGCACCGTATAAGATACCGGGCTCCTTTTTTTCTGATTTGAGGTATCTTATTTATGGAGGGGTTTTGGGCTATTTACCTGAACTCTATCAACCCGAGAGGGGAGGCTGCCCCAATGTAGGTTACTCACGTTCTTAACGTTACCTACAAGCGGGACCCTTCTGAGTTCGACCAGCCCCCCCACCCACAATCCTGCGCTTCGAAGGAGGAGAGCCTCAGAGACGACCGCTCTGTCGTCCTGCAGGTGGAACTCACTCTCAAGATGCGGTGGTTAGGATTTAGGGGTTTAGGAGTTTAGGGGTTTAGGGGTTTAGGGGTTTAGGGGTTTAGGGGTTTAGGGCTTTAGGGGTTTAGGGGTTTAGGGGTTTAGGGGTTTAGGGGCTTCGATGATTTGAGCCCGAACCCCAACCCCAACACCAGGTTGGAGTCAGCTTGGCACTCTTTCTGCTTGTGGCTAAGAAAAAAGCCGCGCTAGTGTCGCAGTTGCTGCACCCCGTGACAACTGGTCCTACCGCCTCTCCCAGAACTCCGGTGCAGGACCTTGTGTACAGTAGGAGCATGGAGTTTAGGGTTCAGGGTCTAGGGTTTGGGGCTTAGGTGGGTCTCTGACAAAATGAGGCCATCATGTTAAGAGTGTTGCAAAGCTCTTTCTGATGCAGTTCTGGGCCTCACTTGGTTGCTGCATTTGTCTGTTCGCTGTTTTGTCAACCAACCTCAGCTGCTGCACACTTATAATTCCTACTATGGCCACCAGAAAGCAGCAGTAGTTTAGTGGTAGAAGTGGAGGTATACTCGTGGAAAGCGTCTATGTTTCAAGAGATTACCGACATGGAATCCACTTCTTGTCGGCCGGCGTTGCGTGTCAAAGCAGCAGCTTCGCGGTCTAACGTGTGCAAGCCTAGTCACCGAACAGCCGCTCCAGCCCCTTCCGATGACTGCACCTCAGCACTTACGGCAAAAGCCTCGCAATGCCCAAGCTGACCTCTGAAAACTGCCTGAAAGGCATATTACTGACCCGAAGTCCACGCACTTCGTTGCATACTTGGGACTTAGGCCCTAAACCCTAAGCCCTAAGCCTTAAACCCTAAACCCTAAACGCCCTGAATTAGCATAAAACGTTCCTGGGGGCATGCTCGGCCCGGCTAGCGGCCGCCAGCGGCTGCTGGCGGCGTGCGGGGCGGCCGCGTGCGCCTTCGTGGATCTGGGGGTGGCCCATCACGCCTGAACTCTTAAACTTCTAAGCCCTGGAAACCCTAAACCCTAAAAAACCCTACACCCTTAGAGTTCATAGGGTTCAGGGCTTCGACTTTCACAGCTGAAGCTCTAAAGATGAAGACTCGGGTGAGCAGCCCCCGTCCTACACACCAGCCCCTGAACATTTGTACCCTTACAAGGTGTAGGGATGGGACCCATGGAACGATAGCCACAACCTCGAATGCACAACATTAAAACGATTGTTGTTGTTTGTTTTTTTTTTTTGTCTTTTTTTTTGGGGGGGGGGGGGTCGGGGGGGGTCGCGGGGGGTGCGGGGCGGGGGGGGGGAGGTGGGGTTTACGGGCTGAGAGCTCCCCTCCACAAACCCTCAAACCGATAGCCCGAAGTCAAGAACACCAGTCGAAGGGTAGTTATATGGACCCTTAATAAGGTCCCTCATCTTCTGTAAATGGTTCTGAAGTATGGGCCGGTATATAAGGGGTATACTAGGGGTATTTAAGGGTTCCCCTTTTAAGGGCCCATACTAAGGGACGCAGGCAACTGCCCTAAGAACCAGGTGCCTATGCGGTGCTGTCCTGCGAGCGGCCATCTGCGTGGGTGGTCGGGGCCACAGACGCTTCAGGATAACATAGAGGCGGGAAGAATTGCGAATAGCATTCCCTTATGGTCCCGTTAAACCAAACTAGTTATGCTGAAAATAGCCCCCGAAACCCGATCGCATTAAGGCCCCTATGTTTCCCCGTAAAAACTTGTGTCAACCCAACACCGTGCTGTCTTGTGGAGAGGGTGGGGTGCCAACCGCTTCTGCTTGTCAATGAGTGGAAGATCTGGGCAGAGAGTTCTGTTCGCAGATCCGCTCCGTGAAAGAAGCTCCCAACCTTGAAGGCCTCAACCCGAAAGCCTAGAACTGAGGTCAGCTGCTTTGGTGACAGCCATACAGAGGTGCCACGTCTTTTCGGCTTTAGTTTAGAATATAGAATCCTTTAGAGTGCCGTTTGAGGGTCTGTTTCTAAATGAGCGGCAGCCTCGCTCCCCTGGAAGGGTATCTACGGCGCGCCCTGGGTGCCGACGCTGGAGCGTCGCCTGCGGGTGGAGTGCCGGAACTTCGGGAGGACCAAGGGTTCAGGGTTCAGGGTTTAGGGTTCGGGGTTTAGGGTTCAGGGTGGAGGGTCAGGGTTTAGGGTTCAGGGGCCAGGGTTCACGGTTCGGGCTTCAGGGTTCAGGGTTCACTGTGACTCGGGCCTAGGATTTCGAGGGTGTGAAGCTTCAAGTTGAGAGTGTTTTCGTCGCGGTTCTTGACTTGGATGGCTTGCTCCATCTGCGACTCTGCAAACCAGGTTTGTTGAATGTGTGCCCTCCGTCGGAACTCACCAAGAAAGGATGAGCCACAGATCTATGACAGGTCCAACACGAGCTGTGGCTGCCAGTAGCAAGTTCCACCGGCTTCTGGGACTTTCGTGCACACAGCTTGCTGCGATGGCGGCCTCTACAAGCAGGAAAGGGGGGGGGGGGGCGCGGTTTAGGGTTTAGGGTTCAGGAGATTGTAGTTCCAGTTCGTATCAGCGAGCAAAACATCACGGAAACTACGTTTTCCATGCGTCGTGAGAGCGGCTGCAAGCGACCGGCGAAATGCGCCATCGGAGGCGTGCCCACCCAGTGATGCAGAGGGTTGGGGGGTTCAAGATTCGGACGTCCCGGCTTAAAGCTTACACTAAACCCTAAACCCTAAACCCTAAACCCTAAACCCTAAACCCTAAACCCTAAACCCTAACCCTAAACCCGAAACCCTAAACCCTAAACCCTAAACCCTAAACCCTAAACCCTAAACCCTAAACCCTAAACCCTAAACCCTAAACCTTACAAACCCTAAGCCCTAAACCTATTGGGCTTTCAGGCTTTAGGATCGTGCCTTCAAGGGGTTGCGCACTTCCACTTTCACAACAGCCGCGGAGGTCAGCACTAAACCTGCCGAACTAAGCCCCCACAAAACCCTAAACCGCTAAGTTTGTCCATGCAGTCTAAACTTAACCCGAAACCAACCTCAGCCTAATCTCCTAAAGCTGCAAACCCAAAGCCTGTTCCATTCCTGAGGCACGCAAAAAGCTTGAAAGCTGAACACCTCTAAGAAGCCTCAAAAACCTGCCTAGACATCCGAAGTAGCCACAATCGCGGCCCCATAGCTCAAACCTGATCGACTGTTATGATTGAGAAACTGGGGTGTCTAAGCAAACCCGAAATCTGCAATCCAAGAAATCCCCCAAACGATCCTGAAAGGAACGCTTGGACGGCGGCGTCGGTCGCGCGCCGCGCCGACGCCGCGCCCAGCGCTGAGTTCGCCGTGGTCCTGGCCGGGACGAACGATGCTCCTGCAGCTGAAGTTCATCTTGTTGGCTCAACGTCCAGGGTTTAGGTGCTGGTTTCTGGACATTGAGGGTTGATGGGGCTGAGGGTTCAGAGCTGAGTTGAGGGGCCTTGGGGATATTCCGGGTCGAAGGTGTTGGAGGTGCAGATTTTTACGGGCCTTTGACCGGGTTCTGGAGTAAGGCTCGGGGCTTGCAGGTCCAGGGATGGAATTGAGGGATGATAGAAACCCCCGGTATTGAAAAGTAAAGAGGCGCCCCGAGATGATCAGATGTGCGTTTTGCTCGATAAAACGATAAGAGTAAAAAAGAACGATGACGTTCAGAATAATGCTAAAACTCGAGAAAACGATAAGAGTAAAAAAGAGCGATGACATAATTCAGGGATATCTTCTGGGATAGGGGGTTTTCACGCAACCTCAATTGGCTTTCATGGTGAACTCTGCCCGTCGGCTCGTTCAGAACAGAAGTTTACGCACGCCATAGCCCTAGAGCTGAATGCACGGCATCGTTGTTTGCATAACTTTACGGGTATGCGGGTATGCACATGTAGACACATATGAAATACGAGTCGTAATTCTAAGCAGATACATATTCTTGCCTCAGAACCAAGACATACGTTTGTAGTTTTGCATATGGACGCCCACGCACCCGCACACATGACTTCGGGGTTTAGATTGTAGTTCCCCTGTGTTGACAGGTAGGGCCCAATGCACCCCAAAACCTCATGCACTCGGAAGGCCTCTGGAATTTGGCACATTCTCCCCTATTGGGCTTCAGAGGATGTGATGTTCATGCCTCAGCCGTTAACCGCTCGAAGGGTTTTTCTCATTCCCGCATGCCATACAAGTTTAGGGTTTGCGGGCCTCACCCTAAACCCTAAACCCGAAACCAGCGGTGAACCTCAGGGAGTTGCGCGGTCCTCAATGGAAAAGCAGCCGGGCGCTCCCTACCCCCCGCCCCTTCCCCGTTTTTGGGTTTTGAGAACCATCCAACACGCCACCCAGGGCCCTAAACTCACAATCCTCAATCCCAGAAAACCCCTCAAGCCCCAAACCCTCCTTCCCGAGAATCCTAAAACCCTTTAAACCCCAAAGTCCTTAAACCCTAACACCTTCCCGAGAATCCTAAAACCCTTTAAACCCCAAAGTCCTTAAACCCTAACACCAGACAAACGAAGGCGCTCCTTGAGTTGGCGTCCGGCGCGGGGAACCAAGGCACACCTTTCTGCATTTTAGGGTTTAGGGTTTAGGGTTTAGGGTTTCGGGTTTAGGGTTTAGGGATCAGGGCTTGGGGTTTAGGGCTTAGGGTTTAGGAGGGTTTAACTGCCTTCTTTGCATGTTTTCAGGGCTTAGGGTTTTAGGGTTTTAGGGTTTTAGGGTTTTAGGGTTTTAGGGTTTTAGGGTTTTAGGGTTTTAGGGTTTTAGGGTTTTAGGGTTTTAGGGTTTTAGGGTTTTAGGGTTTTAGGTTTGGAGTTTAGGCTTAGGGTTTAAGGGTTTTAGGGTTTTAGGGTTTTAGGGTTTTAGGGTTTTAGGGCTTTAGGGTTTTGGGTTTGGAGTTTAAGGATTTTCGGGTTAGGGGTTTCAGGATTTTAGGGTTTTTGGGTTCAAGGGTGTTAGCGTTTTGTGTTGAGGGATTGTAGGGTTTAGGGTTTGGGGTTGAAGGATTTTAGGGTTTGGGGATTTGGGACTTTAAGGTTCAGGATTTAAGGTTTTCGGGACAAGGGTTTCAGGGGTTCAGTGCTTTGGGCTTAAGGGCTTAAGCAATCTACGGCTTGGAGTTCAAGAATTTTCGAGTTCAGGGTGTTGATGGCTGAGGAGAAACCACGGTTTCAGCATCGTTGTGCTGAGACGGCTTCTCAATACTGTGCAGAAGGGCTCCAGGGTCCAGGGCCCTGAACCGAAACTACCGAGCCCTATATAGCCCCATGACCCGAAACCTCCTTCCTTCAGTCCCGCAGCTTTTTGGGTTCGTGGGCTTAGGCTTTCTGCAGCACTTGTCCGTTGACGTAGGGTGCGGTTTCATAGGCTCGTCATAGACATGCCGAGAGCGCATAGCTTACATAGGGTTCATGTTTCAGAGGTTATAGCCGAACATGCTCAAACTGCGCTGTGATGGAACCGTCCTTGGTTTGATTTTATTTGACTTGGCCCAGCCCACAATGCCCCGCCAACAAACAGTTCAGCATTCCTTGCAAGATGCGTACGGAAGTGTCAGTGGGTTTAGGCATCCCTGTGTTTAGATGTCCAGATTCCCCCCTGCCCACGCTTCGCCAGGCATGCTTTCAATTTACAGAGCAGTGAGCCTGGGCACATTTAAAGGCCTTAATGAAAGGAGGGACCCCCCCCTTGAAGGGACCTTAGGTATTTATTTGGGTGCAAATAGGCGCTTTTTAGGTTATCGGGACTGTATATGGTATTTAGAGGGGTGAAGGGGAATAAGAGTAAGGGTCCCTTCTAGGGGTCCCTTCTTATACTCCTTGAATATTTTGGTAATCCTGGCTGACAGGTTGAGACTGTTTGAAGGGTCAGAGTTCAGCTGCAAGTTGGAGAGTGCTTTTTGGGGACTACTGAAGTCCTACAGCATTGTTTGAGCTAAGCGCGATGAGCCCTGCTGCGGCCAGAGCTCGAAGCCTTGACCACATGAATCGCAAACATGTGGGATGCTGAAGGCCCAGCAGGTCGATGTTTCTTTCCCCGGCCTCAGTATGCCGAGCTTGCAACAGCCGCGCAGCCCCAAACCTTCAAGCCCACCTCCCCCCTCCCCCCCCCCCCCTACAGCTTTCAACCCACAGTTGGTAAGCCCACCGTCTCCATGCTATTAAAATGAGTCCACATATGATGTCCACATATGATGCCCAGGCTCACTTCTTCCACTCCCCCCTGCAACCCCTAAACCCTAACTTGGTAGCCCGGTGGTACCTCTTTTTTTTTTTGTTTTCTCTCTCTCTCTCTCTCTTCATTTTGTTGGTTCTAGGCTCCTATATAAAGGGCTACCAATTGGGATGATCCCCCTTGTACTAACAGGCCTGAAGAGGGGGTAGTAGTATCCCCTACTATAATTCCTATTAAGGAGCTCCCAAGCGACACCAGCCCCTGTAAAGGAACCAGCTGCCCGAGAACTACCAGCCCTCGCCAGAGGCCGACGGGCTCAGTCCTAGACCCCGGGTCGCGACGGGTTTACGGCTGGGGTTGCTCGATTCAGAGTTTCAGGATGTGGGTTTGGGGTTCTAGTTTACGGCTTTCGGGCGTGGCCGATCCTCGAGGCTAGATGAGGCCTCATCCACTTGAGCTTTCAGAACTTTTAGTTTAGGGTCTAGGGTTTAGGGTTTAGGGTTTAGGGGTTAGGCTCAGAATCATACGACATGTCGAGGCCCTCTCTCACTCTCTCCCTCGCTCTCCCTCTCCCTTACTCTCACTCTCACTCTGAAGGGTCATGAACACGGCATGTCTGGAAGCACTAGGTAACCACCGAAGCCACTCCCAGCAGCCATCCTGTGGCAACCCTAAGCCTTTCACTCACACGTCAGTTGCGAAGCCTAAAGCATGTGGGGTTGTGGCCAGCTCTTCCGTGCAACCCGAGACCCCACTCGACCGGGAATCTCAGAAGGCCTTCGCCACTTCCTTCGGCCAGCTGTGCCTCGGACAGTCGAGTGGCCGTGGATGGGTGGGGATGAGGGTGTATACTTCGTAAAATGGCTGGCGCCCAAACCCTAAACCCTAAACCCTAAACCCTAAACCCCCTAAGCCCCAAACTTCAAGGCTTCAACCTTGGGCTTCGGCCCCCAATGCGCTGAATCTTGGAGACCCTAAACCCCGAAGCCCTAAACCGACCGGAGCCCTCGAACCTCTCCTAACCCCTGGAGTCGGCCCTTAGTTCCCTTTTTTTAAGGTTAGGGTCCCCTTTATAGTCCACTTAAAACCCAAAAAGGGCACCCTTTTTATCCTAGGTTACTCCTGGGTCTCGTAATTTTGTTCCCCTAAACCCTAAACCCTAAACCCTAAACCCTAAACCCTAAACCCTAAACCCTAAACCCTAAACCCTAAACCCTAAACCCTGACCCTAAACCCTAAGCCCCATCTCAAAGCCCCCAAAAGCCCTCAACGCTCCATCGGCGTAGGCTTGAGGCGGTCAAAGCGCCGCGAGTCGCTGTGCTAAGCCTTCCCCCTTTGGGCGAGGCTTCAGTGCATGGGGCCTTTAAAGAGGGGGCTTTGTTGCTTTACTTTTGTTGAAGAGCTTTCAAGGGTCGGGGCTTTAACCTTTAAGTTTTTTTTTGTTTATGGATTTTGGGGGTGTATTGGTTTAACAGTGCAGGGCTTTAACGGCTCTATGGGCTTTTTGCTTAAGGGTTTAGGGGCTTAAGGGAGTTTAAGAGGGTAGGCCTTCAAGGGTTTTAAAGGTGTTGGGCATGAAGCCATGTAAATCCTAGAACCCATATATCCTACATGCCTCATAAGCCCATTTTTGTCAACCCTACAAGCACAAAACAACTCTGAGTCCTAGAAGCCTAGAAGCATACCGCTTGGGGCTATTCATGAACAAACATGACTGGCACAGTCATGAACGGAAGTTTAACTTCTCCGCCACCCTACACCCTAAACCCCAAACCCCACATCCGACAGGCGGCATCCGGAAAGGCGGCCGAGATCATCGCTTCGTACAACAGGCCCGGGCCGCACCTCATGACCGCTGCCGCTGCTGGAACATGAGGGTCAAGTGTTTTCAGGGCGTTTTTAGGGTTTAGGAGTTTCCCTTAGCCCTGGCTGAGCCACTTAGGATTTTTGATGGCCTAGGGCTCAGGGTGTTCAGATGTCGCCGGAGTCTGGCGCTGGGAGGGCGTCGGGCTCATGCTCCTGATGGCCCTAGACCCTTCATTATTGCCGACGATGCAGAGATCTGTATTGAACGCATTGCGGCATGGTATTGGGAAAAGTTATGATTCCCCAAACCTGGTACAAATGAAACATGAATGATGATTAGTCGTAAGTAGATATTATGATATTAGTTTTTATATCCCTAAACTCTTCAGGATCCCTTTACGAGAACGCAACAGCCTTCGAGGCCTGTTAGAGTCCTTCCATCCTCTGTTGCTTGGGGTTTAGGGTTTAGGGTTTAGGGTTTAGGGCTTAGGGTTCCACAGTAGCTTTCGCTTGGCCCCGGAGGCGGATCCAAGACGCAGTGAAGAGGGACCCACGCGCACGGTATCTCGGCAGATGAAGTCTTGGGTTTAAGGTCGTAGGGATGCGGTGGTTTAGGGTTTTAAAAGATTCAACTGCTTATAGGGTTCAGTAATGCGTTGGGGATTGGGGCTTGTAGAGTTTGCTTGGCATGGAATCTACAACTCGCCACAAAACTGGGAGTAAGAAAGGGGCCGAGGCTCCTAACCGAGGTTCCAGTTTGTGGACACCCTTGGCTACGGCACCAGAAATGATAGGACCGCGCCAAAACATCGAAATCCGGAACGCGCAGTACGTTCGAGCAAGTTAGGCTCGGGGGGTCCCATCCTGGCTTGGTTCTTTATTCAGGCTGTTCCAGCAGCCGACTCCTCACACCGCCATGAAGTTTGGGGGGGGGCGTATGGTAGAGGAGTCTTACGTTTCAGGGTCGGAGTTCTTCTGGAACGCTCAGCCCTCGCGCCTGTGAAGCCCTTAAGCCCCGAAGCCCCAAACCCTAAACCCTTTAAACAATGCTGGGAATCCCTGGACCAACCGTAACGCTCGAAAACCCCTAAGCCCTCCGAAACCCCAGAACCCAAGCACCACAGTCCTCAACCCGAAACCCTCCAAGACCCCAAGCAGTAAATTCCGTAGCCCTAGAACCCTAGAACCCTAGAAGCCTAGAAGCCTAGAAGCCTAAGCCCTCAACCCTGAACCCCACAAAAGCACAATTAGGTACGTGCCCTTTGCAGAGCACCTCGAGGGCGTCAGCGGAGAAGGCTGTGTGGTTTGGGGTTTGAGGTTTAGGGTTTGGGGTTTCGGGCTTGGGGGTTTGGGGGTTTTGGGGTTTTGAGGTCGTGGTTGGGGTTTTGGGGTTGGGGTTTTGGGTTTGGGTCCTGGGGTTTAGGGTTTAGGCCCCTTTTTTTTTTTTTTTTTGGGGGGGGGGGGGACCTCCATTCTTGCACCAGGGTACCGGAAGAGGGCTCAAAGTATCAGATCAGTGCGCCAGCGCCGACTTTGGGCTTGATCCTACTCGTTCTTGAGTATTGGGGTTTAGGGAATGAGGTGCCCTACATCATCCCTTCCAGGGCCATGTACAGGGGTATAACTACCCAATTTCTTCATTCCCTTGCAAGAACCAGCAAGCACAAGGCACTCGGGCCTTGAGTTTCTAGGATTTTCCGGATACGTGCAGTCGGCTTGGGGGACCAGAAGCCCGTTGGAGAATTGTCAGCGTGCGGCGTTAAGGCAGGATTGGGTTTAGGGTTTTCGGCTTAGGGGCTTAGGTGGCTTTGTAATTTCCGCCTTCTGCGTGAGGTTTCGCAGGTGTTCTTCGGCTTTTGGGGATTTGGGTGCTTGGGGTGAAGGTTGAGGAGGGTTTAGGGTTTAGGGGAATTACTGATGGGCCCCATATCCCTAGGGAGCCCAATATGACACGAATGAGATTGGAGGTACATGCGTAGCTACAAGTAAGGACATAAGTATGGGAACTATGCCTATAACCCTATACAGGGTACCTCTAAGCCTACTAAACACCTCCAACAGCAGGGTTTGGGGCTGCTTTTGCTGTCCTACTTGTATCTTCTCGTCTCAGTATGTTTCGTGATCAGTCACGCCATAGCCACCCCGGAACCCTAAACCCAACCCTAAACCCTAAAACCTAAACCCTAAACCCTAAACCCAAGGAAACGCACCATGCCCCTTACCTGATGCTCGTCCTTACTGCGAACCCGAACGTCCCAAATAGCCCGACGAAGAGGACTGAGGGTTTTAGGGTTTAGGGATCAGGGGCCATTTTGGACTCTTGACCCCAAGCCAACTACTTGTAGGTATTGTTTGAATACGTAGAGGTCTGGGGGAATTCAGGTTGAAGTCTCTGGACAGGTTTCGACGCGTCGTCGGCCGCCTTCTCGCTGACCATTGCGCAAATGCAGGGGCCCCGGATGTGTTAAAGCCGTGAGTTCCATGTACTAACTCCCAAAGGCCCCAACTCCCGAGCGCGCAAACCCCCCTAAAACCCGAAATAGAGCTTAGACCCAAGAAGCCCCAAAAGGCAGCCTTCAGCCGCAAACCCGAAACCTTCAAGCTCTGAAGGACTGCTAGAAGCCACGGAGCCGCGCCACACCTAGTAGACCTCCATAAATTTAAGCCCTAAACCCTAAACCCTAAACCCTAAACCCTAAACCCTAAACCCTAAACCCTAAACCCTAAACCCTAAACCCTAAACCCTAAACCCTAAACTCAACCCTAAACCCTGAACCTTAAACCCCCCAACAGGGTACCCCTAAACTCGAAACCCCCAAATTGAAGGTATCTCCACACTGGGCTGCGCTGGCTGCCCGGTGGCCCTAGCTTTGACGAGCTGGCGGGGCGCTGCGGCCGCCAGGCGCTCGTTGGCGCACTCGAGGTTAGGGCTCAGAACCCTAAACCCTAAACCCCAAACCCTAAACCCAAGAGCCTCCTTGGAGGTTCATGAGTACTTAGAAGTAGGGGTAGAAGTGCCCGAAGTAGAAATAGACGTAGAATTGTTTACCATAATGGGGGTTTCGAGTTGCAGATGGAGGGGTTTACGCTAGAGCCTTCTACCTGCGAAGGTGGTGCACGACAAGATCCATCTAACAGAGAAGAGTACCGAAACTCTGCTGGATCTGGTGGTGGAAGCCTTGGGCAGGTGGGGTCGTGCCGCGAATCTCGGTTATTGCGCCAGGGGGAGAGAGTGTGGGCTTAGGGTGTTGCAGGCAGTCTGGACGAATAAGATTCAGGAGTTTGGGGTTGAGTTCTTGAATTTTGGCCACGCAAACCACAAGACACTCGAACCCTGGCCAGGGATGGGCTGCGCCCGTGAGGAGCTTGCACATCTGTGCGAAGGGGCTCGTGACGGCTTTCGGGGCTGAGGGTTTAGGGTGTAGGATGGCGCAGGGTGGACGGCTTCGTGGGAGCTGGTGCTGTAGGGGGCAGATCTAGCTATACTCAATACTGTTGTTAATGATGAGGACCATACACTGCTACTAATCGGTATTGTGGTTGAAAAGGGTGTGGAAGTCCAAAAAGCAAGGCAGAGTTGCGTCTATGGATGTAGAAGGGCTTGTGCGAAACTAGGCCTTCCAAAGCGTCCTCGATCCGCACGTCATCTCAGTTTTCGCTCTGGCACAAAGCGGCATCATGGGCCTTCTCTGCGAGAAAAAAGGTCCGTTGACTCAGCATGCGGGTTAGGGCTTATACAGCTTAGGGTTTAGGGTTTAGGGTTTAGGGCTTATATGGGCTTATACAGCTTTGGTATTTCACGAACCTATACAGACTCGATACTTTGTCTTCTTCACCTCACTGGCTGGCACGAACAAATTTGAAGCCTACTCCTCCCTAACCGTTGGATCAGCGGAAGCCCTAAACCTGTCCCTAAACCCCTTTCAAACTTATTTAATTAAATGTTGAAGCCCCAGACTCTGAACCCCTAAATCATGAGAACCCAAACTCCTAAATCCTGACATGCTGCAGCTACCCGCAGCTCCCCTTGCAAGCCTCAAGTCCCTGTCAGGGCACTGGGAGGGGTTAGCGGGCTTAATCATAGGTTCATAGGGTTAGTTCGAGTTATTACGGGGTTATAGAGGGTATAAGTGGGGTTTGAGGCAGGTTGCGGTTTAATGGTTTACGGATTATAGTGGGTTTAGGATTGAGGGTTTTGGCCCGCAGGATCAGCTCAACGTACAAGTTTTCAAGGCTCAGCTCTGCACTGTACGACTCCTGAAACTTATCTCCTGGAAGATCCGCAAGCCCTGATGACCCAGAAACCCTACATACAACTCCAAGCCCTAGAATCCAAACCTTAGAAGACCAACAAAAGCCTAAACCATGTTATCAAGGCCCAACAACTTACTCGTGAAGCCTAAAGCCCTTGAGCCAGGCCCTGCGGAAGACCGGCTGGGCCCTGGCCTTCGCCTCCAAACGCCTGCGCGCCGACCGCGCGCTTGCCCTGGAGGCCAGCGCTGAGGGAAAGTTGAGCGCGTTCTTCTTGTAGGGTCGGTACATATAAACCTAGATTTAGAATGTGAACAGGCCCTGCCAAGAAAGTCTAGGTTCAGCCGTGATGAGCTGGCCTTCGCAGCCCCTCCGCATCACTGGGGCTCCAGTTGAAACTGCCCCAGGGAAAGGTCTCCAGCAAGACTCTTCAAGCGCACCCGTCCTCACCACAACCCGCGTCCCCCTGTTTGAAGAGACCTTATCTGGCCGTCAGGGTAGGGTTTCGGGTTTCATTTTGGTTTTAGAGCTCTAAACTCCCTAAACCCTAAACCCTAAACTAGCTTTTGGGGTTGGGGGGGAGGCGTTGTGGTCAGAAAGCTTCGGGGCAGCTGTGCTCCCGGCTAGCAAACGGCTGGAGCGATGCCGAACTTACATGCGACAAGCCTCGGAGGTGCACGTACTTGGAGGTTCAGGGGGGGTAGTTCTAAGTAGGCTTAGAAGTACCCTGAATAGGCTTATGAGAAAACTTCCCAGCCCATGTCAGGTTCACCGTGGCTACTGCGAGCCCTAAGGAGCCCTAACCCCAAGGAGCCCGAGCCCCCTCAGGCGGTCCAAAGCCATGCTCCCGCGCTGCACTTCGCGGCGGAGGTGGCGAGTTAGGAAGTCCCTGAGCCCCATGAGCCCTACATCCCTGGACCTCTCCCAGAAGGAAGACACCGTCCCTTGCAGGGCGAATGAGGGTTCAGGGAACCCGTAAACCTTATGGCAGCCTCTTTGCGAGGGTTTCCCCCCAGTTCAATAGGTTGAGGATTTTCCTGGGACCCTATGTATCTACAGTTTAATAGTAACTACTGCTCAAATAGTAGGTATAACGCTCAAAACTGTAGGTAATTAAATAGGGTTCAGGTAGGGGTTTACAGGGTACTGGCAAGGAGCTACGAACGAGCCGGGCTTTCGTTTGCGACGCTATGTCGAGGCGGAGACGGGAATCCCGAGCGGGCTTGAAGGGTTGCATGTAGGCCCTAATGTGGGCCATGCTAATATGGAGTTTAGGGTTTAGGGTTTAGGAGGAAGGTGTAGGTTTCGTAGTTGTTTACGGGTTTTGCTTTGGTTTCCAAGTGCCCCAAATACAGCAAATCAACAATCTTAATCTAGCTTCAGCCTCTCGAGAGAGGGCATGCGCACGCCATTGATACATTCACTTGGGGGCCCCCTGAAGGTCGTGTACAGGTCCGGACTGCCAGCGGCAAGTTTGCTAAACTCCTCTTATGCTCAACGAAAGCCCAAGAATCCATAGCCATGGATCTGGAGAGCCAGCATCGAGCAGTTCGACTGCTCTCGGGATCCGCAGAAGCTCTTGGAAAGTGCGTGCGTCTGCATCATGTGTTTCAGAACCCTGTTCAGGTGAGTGAGTTTTGCTGTTTTCTGTAAACTCACCCGCCCCTGTTTGCTTCAGGAAGGGCTTATAGAACCCTCCGAAAATCTCCCTTCGCATTTTCTGGTCCCCACTCCGCGAGGAATGGCAACGCGCTGAAGTTTGCCGGTGCCTCTAAGACCCCTCAGCTAGTATACTTGGAGAAGTAGGGTTCTGTGGAATTTCCCTAAATAGGTTTATATGTACTGTTGCCATAAGTAGAACCCTACTCTTACTTGGAGGTTCATGGGACTTACTAACCAATTCTAACTGTGCTTATAACCCTACTTATACTTGGGCTAACCTCTATAAGGCCCTTTAGGGGTATTATAAGTAGGGTTATAAGTACAGTTATAATTGGTTAGTAAGTACCATGAACCTCCAAGTAACTACCCATGATCCTCCAAGTAGGGGTCAGGGCTTGTGGGCTTCAGCGGTGTTGGGCTTGCAAGGTTGACCCTAAACCCAAACCCCAAACCCCAAACCCCAAACCCCAAACCCCAAACCCCAAACCCCAAACCCCAAACCCTAAACCCTAAACCCTAAACCGTGGCTCTGCTTTTGGGATCTACTGCTTGGCGTTCGGCGTTGTCGGGGCCAGGGCTCGAGAGGTTCCAAGGTTGCCACGCGCGGGCTGTGATCTCCGGTCTCGCTGCGCCTGGAATCTATATCCTCCTTGGGAATTATTTTCTATGTTTGTTCATATAAAACCCAAGAGGATATTGAAAATAGTATGTTTATTAAGGTTCTAAGGGGAGTATAGGAATCTCCACGCCTAAACACCCTAACGACTCCTAAACTCCCTCATCTCTTTAAGGACCCCCCACAGTATGCAAGGAAACCCCCCGAAACCCGTAAAAGGATAATCTTCGTGCACAGTTTGAGATTTAGATATCCCCCAAACCCCTCCAAAACGGTTAAGCTTCTGTGCCTAAACCTTTTCACCGCCCAACCTTGCAACCTTCACAATCTAGCCCCCCTGCAGCCCTCAAGACCTCAATCGTTATACTTGGAGGTTCACAGGTAGTTAAGAGCAGGATGATAAGCATGGTCTCTATACATAACCCTATTAATGGTACTTATAAGCCTACTTATAACCACCCATGAAACTTGAGCATGCCCTTCACCTCTAAACCCTGGACAACCCCCAAAAACCCCCCTTCTTGGAAGCGACATCTATGGGCCGAGGCAGAGCCGGAGTTTCACTGGGACCAACAGGCCAGAACTTTCCTGGGGCGGCCCTGGCCATATGGGGGGAAAACAAGGGACTCCGAATATAGACCCCAGATGGTAGGATTCCCTTACAATCTGAACCCCAATGAGGTACCCCTAAGTTTCAGGATTGACTTCCTTGGCGGAGACAAAGCTGTAATGGGGGGCGGGGGTCTCATAAGAGCAATAGAAAGGACGTTATCTCTATTTCTTTTTTTTTGGGGGGGGGGGTGGGGTGGGGGGGTGGGGGGGTTGGGGGGGGGGGTGGGGGGGTGGGGTGGGGGGTGGGGTGGGGGGGGGGTGGGGGGGGGGGGGGGGGGGGTGGGGTGGGTCTCCGCCGAGGGATCCCTGTCAGAGGTTGTTTTGCCGGTTGAGTGTGAGGTCGAGGCCGTGCCAGGTCTTTGGCCCACAGGGGAGAGTAAGGGGTGGGGGGGGTGGGGTGAGGGGGGGTGGGGTGGGTGGGGTGGTTTCTTAAGAAAATAGTAAAAAACCTTCCTACCCCTTAAGCCGAAACCAGAAGGTTCCCAGAATGAAAGCTTTCTGTTTTTTGTGCTGGGAGGGCTGCGGCTTGGCGACGAGTTGTGATTATGTGTACTGCCGCAAGTGTGGCTTTCGCTGTTATCGTACTAGTATTTGTACCTCTGATGAGAGTTTAAATTCAGGTGCCACAAGGTCTCAAAAAAAATCCTAATCCTTAGATCCTGAACTCGAAACCCTACACCTTCAACCCTACAATAAACTCCAGAAAGTTGGAACATGGCTTAAGGATGATGAGAGCTGGGGTTCCCTTTGGTGTACTTTTTGGGGTATGGGGATAAGGGTGTTCCAACTTGTTGGAGTTAACTGTCAAGCGAAGCAGGTGGTCCTAGCAGCAGTGCGACAGAATGGCATGGCTCTGCGCTACGCCGTGGGCCTTGCAGGGTTAACAAGGATGTAAAGGGTTTGCGGGGTTGTGAACTTATATGTGCAAAAAGCCCCAAGCCCTAAAGCCCTCAAAAACTAAATGCGATAATTGCCTTCTGCAGAGGCAGCCTGGGATTTCGGAGTCCAAAACCCTTCAGGGGGCCCAAGCCCGCGTCAGTAGGAAATTTTGAATGCACCCTTAAACTACACAGGTGTCCTCATCAACGAAGCGATAACGAGAAAGGTCGAAACAGTAGCCATAGTCAAGCAGTGGTCATCTTGACTTGTTTTCCACAGATCCAACAACATGGCTGCACGTAGAGGGCTTAGGTCTCACAAGAGGGCTTAGGCCTTTCCATTTAGGGTGCTTGGGGATTAGGTTTCTATACGATAGTCCCAAAACTCTGCAGAACGACAAGATGACCGCCCAAAAGCGATAACCCTTCTCAAATGTTGGAAGGGCGAGGGTTTTGCCGCAGGCTCGTATGTATCATGTGTTTTATTATATGTATCTATATATATATATATATATATACGTATGTATGTAGTATGTATATATATATATATATATACATATATATATATACATGTGTATGAACAAACAAGAATATGTACATATCTATATATAGATGTAAACATACGGGTATTGGGTTTCGCCAGGTGCCAGACCTGAGGGCAGACGAGAAGTTGGTGGCAGAGGCCAGAGCTCCTGTCTAGGGACATCGGGAAATAGAATTCCCTTTCATGGGATTTCGGGTTTAGGGTTTGGGATTTAGCAAGTTTGATTCCCTTTTACGGGATTTCTGGTGTAGGGTTTAGGGCTTGAGATTTAGGGCCTCTAGGGCTTTAGATTTAAGGGCTAATAGGCAGGGCCCATCACTTGGCTTCAATTGTCGGAATATGTCCTCGCAATTTCATTCTCTCTCTCTCTCTCTATATATATATATATATATATTATGTATGTATGTATGTATGCATGCATGCATGCATGCATGTATGTATGTATGTATGTATGTATATATATATATGAATACATTCCCTGATTGGTGTCATTTGGTCTCGTTTAGAAGTAGTTGTTTCACATGTTGCCTGCTTCCCGGATGTACAAAGGTCTGATTTAGGAGTCTTCCTGGTCCTTTTCAGATGAAAGGGCCAACCTAGTCCTAAACCCTAAACCCTTGGCAAGGGAACTTGTCTTTAGAGTTTGATTCCCTTGAAACCGCAGTAGGCGAAAGAAGGGTTCCCTTGTGAACTCCTGGGTGCAATGGGAAACCTTTAAAGGTAGAGGGTGTATCCTCCCTAAACCCTAAACCCTAAACCCTCAACCCTAAACCCTAAACCTTGTGGGTTTAGGCTTTTTAACCTTCGTGGTGTTCGGGTGTCATTGTTGGCAGCTACCACCGCAAGCTACAGCCGGTCCCGAACTCTGCCCCTAAACCCTGGAAGGTTAAGGGTTTTGGGGCTTGGGGCTTGGGGTTTAGGGTTTAGGGTTTAGGGTCACCAATCCAGCCCAACCTTCAACAAGGCGACCAGGCGCTCGCCAAAGGCGTTCGCATTCGCCTGCGGGCCGCTCAAGTGGGATACAAAGTCGGGCTCCTGGGAGCTTCAGGGTTTGGGGTTTAGGGTTTAGGGTTTAGGGTTTAGGGTGATTGCTTGGAGGTTCATGGGGTAGTTACAAGTATAGGGTTAGAAGTATGGTAACTGCACTTATAAGCCCATTTGTGGTACTTAACACCCACTTTTGGCCGACTACCCATGAACCTCCAAGTAGGTCGGCCGTGGGACATGTGTTGTTTCCCTTAGTGGGTTTGAGAGGATCATATTGCTGAATATTTTCAGAGGGCTGTCAGGGCCTTCTAGTTTCTGATTTGTGAGGGCTATACGAGTGATGCGAGTGTTGTTCGGGGCTACATGCCAAGGCCCCCCTTTGTGGTAGAAGAGCGGACCTTTGCAAGGAAGGGCTTGGGATATGCCCCCTTATACTAACAGCTCCTCAATTGTCAATGGAGATTATGACGGGGGGTCCTATAATCCCTATTAAGCATTCTTAGTAAAAGCGGGAAAATGCCGAGGAAGGGCTAAAGTTCCATCCTATTCAAGAGCGGATACGTGGGTCTTGCCTTAAAGTGGTGCACCTGGTAACATCCTGTGCCCCAAACCCTCTTTCTGGCTACTTGCGAGGTAGGCCCTTGGGATTTTCTATATTTCCTTATTGGCATATTTTTCAGAGGGTTTTAAGGGCCATCCTAGTAGCCTGGCGTGGTGCTCTTCTGCCCAAGGGGTTCTGGAAGTAGAGGGGTTCTACGAACATCGGCTTTGTGTGCGATCCTGATTCAGCATTTGCATTCAGTTAACCCAGAGACTCCAATACCCCGTAATGAAGCCATATAATATGGGGAACCTCAGCATCTTTTAAGGAATATTCCTGAATTGAGGGGTATTGGCGTCTCTGGGAAGCTGAAGCCAAGGCTGCGCAAGAGGGCAGAGGCATGCCTCGTCAGACTTTTCGTAGAGAGGCATCATCATGCTCAGCCCCTACACTCTTGGGATGTTCCCCCCTTTATACTAACAGTCCTTAATAGGGAGTTCGTACCCCCTAGAATCGCTATGAAAGACTGTGAGTGGAAGGGGGAAAATCCTAAACCCTACAGCCCTCAACCCACGTGTCTCTCGAATTCCTCTCAGAGGCTTGAGGAGGATGCTCACCATGTCGAAGTGATGGACTACAATCCCTGAGCCCTAAACCCAACGGACCCCAAACCGAAGTCCAGCTAAAGCTCTAAACCCCTAAACCCCTAAGCCCCTAAACCCTAAACCCCTAAGCCCCTAAACCCCTAAACCCCTAAACCCCTAAACCCCTAAACCCTAAACCCTAACCCTTAACTCCATCTACACTCCTCCCGCGCCCCCCAAGTCCTGCAGAGCCATGGCCATGCCGGTCGAGAAGATCGAGTTCCTGCACTGGAAGCCCCTGAATGCCGAGATTCCCTGGAAGGATGCGCCCAGGGCTTAAAAGGTCTGAGGAACTTAGGGGTTAGGGTTTAGGGTTTAGGGTGTAGGGATTAGGGACCCGTGAGACCAGAAGCTTCCTGTGCTGGATGCAAGAGCATTTCAGGTCATCGCGGAGGCCGGAGCTGCTGTTGGGGAGGCAGAGGTGCGCCTGGTGTGTCGGCCTGTTCAGGATTGCTGGGAAGCGTTTCCGGCCCTTGTGTCGATTGCAAGTCGTGAGGGAGCAGCGCAGTGGCAGAGTGGTTCTGTCCCCATTGAAGCGAACGCCTCATCTGGGTTCTTCGATGAAGATGGCAGCTTCTACTACATCCAGAATTTTCCGCACAGCGAAGACGAGAGCGGCAGCCAGGACGACTTTTTCTCCGAGGGCATGATGCAAGTGCTTGACAAGGCCCTCAGGATGTTGTACAAGCAGTATGTGCATTCCTCGAGTCCGTTTTGTGCCATCCGGGTGAAGCATCCCTAACCTTAAACCCTAAGCCTAAACCCTAAACCCTAAATGACTCCTGAAGCCTGCTTCCGTGAGTTGCACTATGGCCCAGGTCGTATTCAGAGTTGGGCCGAACATGGAGCAGCCGATTGAGGTCGTCACCCTTCTGGGCGATGAGTTTCCTGGACAAGTACCTCGGACCCGGAGTAGGCCCTTATTTCTGTTTTTAGAGTTGGGGATCCCTTATCATCCCCTTACAACCCCAAAAGGGCGCCCTTTTTATTCCTAGGTTACTCCTGGGTCTAGGTGCTGATGCCTCAAGTGCATCGGGGCAGCAGACTATTTGTCCTACAGTCGGTGATGAATGACGGTGGTCGGGCCGGCCTGGTCAGCAGCCTTCATGCAGTGGACTTGGAGACTCTTGATTTCCAAGAGTTTGAGGACATCCCGGTTCCACTTCCGCGGCTGGATGAGGTTCGTAATCCAGACAGGTGGGACAACCTGAACTGGCGCATCCCCCATGGGCTACCGAAAGGTTTTACCGCTGAGCAGATGGTTGTTGTTCAGCCCCAGATGCAGTTAGTCGTCTCTGGGCATCGCTTTAGCTATACTAGCTTTCCGCATGAGATGGAGGGGTTCATCTACTGCGGGCTCGTGGACATGGAAGCTGAAACGGTCCGCTGGGACTGTGTAAAGCGAGCTGGGCGCGAGGACCTAGAAGCCTTTTGCAACGGGTCCTTATGTGCCTCAGCCGATGGTTGTGTCTGTTTGTCGGGCTCCTTGTCTGGTCCCGTGCTGCTGTTGGCCTCGGTGGATGGTGGAAGAAACTGGCCGATCAGAGTTGAGGATCCCTGGGGTCCCTTCGCCCACCCGCTATGCATTGCGGCGGCTCGCTCCGCCTACGCGTTTGTGGGCTCCCATGTCGGCGAAGGCTATGAGCTACGAGTCTGGGAATGCGCTCGATCAGCGAGCTGCTTAGATACGATCATCACGGGGGCCTTGCTCTCTCGGCAGCGCAAAGCGCTGGGACTCGGCTTGTGGCTGCGAGGAGTGATGCCCTTCCTTTTTCATGCGATGGACAAAACGGATGTGGCATTTACGTGGGAGCTTTAGGGGGGGGGGGGGGTTCTGGGCTGTAGGGGCCTTTTGGCCTCAAGATTCTGGTGTAGAGTTGGGTGTCCCATAAATGATGGACGGTACCGCTATTGTAAAGTTCTGTTTCGCTGAGGCTTGTGACCAACAGTAGCACAAAAAAGACTACCAAAGCCCTAGCCCCTGAACTTATGCCTTCTGCTGCCACTTTGTATTTCTTTCTTGGTTTCCTTGATGTGTGATTGGCGAGCGGGCAGCCCATACTCTGTCCTTGCCATATCTGCTTTTTGCACCAAACAGGCTTCTGTCTTTTTGGTGACCCGTTATCAAGGAAAGAGTAGTCCTTACGAGGCTTCGTAGTAAGTCAGTCTGCGGATCATATACGCACCCGCAGACACGCACATATATATATATATATATATACGTATATATATATATATACATATATGGACACACCCCCCCCCATGACCCACCCAGATCTGTTTCCCTCGTAAATACCGTAAAAAACCCGCTCGTGCCCTATGCCATTTTTTGCTACTCTCAGTGGCTGTCTCTCGACAAAACAGACCCCACACGGCCCACAAGACTGGACGCCGAGACGCGCGAGACCAAAAAACCAAAAAAACCATCTTTTTTAGAGAATGGGGAGGGGATGTTGAAAAAGATGGTTTTTTGGTTTTGCCTCGTAAAAAGATAGTTTTCATAGAAAAACCAACTTTTCCCACGTAAAAAGATGGTTTTGGTCTGGACTGCCTCAGGAAAACCATCTTTTTGCGAGGTAAAAGTTGGTTTTTTGCTCCAAAACCATCTTTTACGAGGCAAAACCAAAAAACCAAAAAAACCATCTTTTTTAGAGAATGGGGAGGGGATGTTGAAAAAGATGGTTTTTTTGGTTTTGCCTCGTAAAAAGATGGTTTTTCATAGGAAAACCAACTTTTCCAACGTAAAAAGTTGGTTTTGGTCTGGACTGCCTCAGGAAAACCATCTTTTTGCGAGGTAAAAGTTGGTTTTTGGCTCCAAAACCATCTTTTACGAGGCAAAACCAAAAAACCAAAAAAACCATCTTTTTTAGAGAATGGGGAGGGGATTTGAAAAAGATGGTTTTTTTGGTTTTGCCTCGTAAAAAGATGGTTTTCCATAGGAAAACCAACTTTTCCCACGTAAAAAGATGGTTTTGGTCTGGTCTGCCTCAGGAAAACCATCTTTTACGAGGGAAAAGTTGGTTTTTGGCTCCAAAACCATCTTTTTACGAGGTAAAAGTTGGTTTTTGTGTCCAAAACCATCTTTTTACGTGGGAAAAGTTGGTTTTGCTATGGAAAACCATCTTTTTACGAGGCAAAACCAAAAAAACACATCTTTTTCAAAATCCCCTCCCCATTCTCTAAAAAAGATGGTTTTTTTGGTTTTTTGGTTTTGCCTCGTAAAAGATGGTTTTGGAGCCAAAAACCAACTTTTACCTCGCAAAAAGATGGTTTTCCTGAGGCAGTCCAGACCAAAACCATCTTTTTACGTGGGAAAAGTTGGTTTTCCTATGGAAAACCATCTTTTTACGAGGCAAAACCAAAAAAACCATCTTTTCAACATCCCCTCCCCATTCTCTAAAAAAGATGGTTTTTTTGGTTTTTTGGTTTTGCCTCGTAAAAGATGGTTTTGGAGCCAAAAACCAACTTTTACCTCGCAAAAAGATGGTTTTCCTGAGGCAGTCCAGACCAAAACCATCTTTTTGCGTGGGAAAAGTTGGTTTTCCTATGAAAAACCATCTTTTTACGAGGCAAAACCAAAAAACCATCTTTTTCAAAATCCCTTCCCCATTCTCTAAAAAAGATGTTTTTTTTGGTTTTTTGGTTTTGCCTCGTACCTCTCTCGGGCCAGAACCGTTCAGCTCTACATGTAGCTATGCTTGGAGGCTCGTTGGTTTTGGTCAGTCTTATATTAATCTCAGCAATAGCATTCCTATTCCTATTAATGTAAAAGGGTTCCTAACCATCTTTATAGGACTTCTTTTCATTTTACTTATATTCTTATGAACTTTCAGAGGGTTCTTATTCAACATCAGAGGATTCCTAATACTTTTCAATAGGGTTCTTATGCATTTCAACAAGGTTCTTAATCATTTTCAAGTGGCTCTTTTAATTCCAACAGGGTTCCTCTGAAATTAAAAATCTTTTAAGATTCATATTGGTGCCTATTCATTTTAGTGAGTCTCCAAGTGATTTTAATGGTATTCTTAGAAAATTGAATAGCATTCCTCGCCCTTTGCTTCTAATAGGAATCACATTAAGTCTAACAGGAAGCCAAGAAATTTTGAAAAGGAACCACATTGAATTTTGTAGGATTCCTATTGGTTCCTATTATTTTTAGTAGGACTTAGTAGGGTTCCTCTTCATTTTAAAAGGATTCCTATCAATTGGTAATAGGGTTCTTAAAATTTTACTGGGGTTCCTAATGAACTCCGATTAACGTCAAAGGGTTCCTGACCATCTTAATGGGACTCCTCTACCATTTCAGAATATTCTTATGAATTTTCATAGGGTTCTTATTCAATGTAGAAGGATTCCTAATACGTTTTTCTGTAAACAGGGTTCTTATGAAATTCAACAAGGTTCTCAATCATTTTAAAGTGGCTTCTTTTAGTTTCAATAGGGGTCCATCTGAAAATGAAAAGGGTTCATACTTCTTTTTAGGATTCCTATTGGTTCCTGTTCGTGTTTGTGACTTGCAAAGCAACTGGAATGGTTGATTCTGGAGATTTGAATAGCATTCCTGTCCCATTAATTCTAATAGGAATCACATGAATTCTAAGGGGAAGCCTAGAAATCCGAACCACATTTGTTTTTATAGGATTCCTATTGGTTCCTACTAATTTAGTAGGATTTCTCTTCATTTTCAGAGGATTCCAATAGAATTTTTATGATTTTCAGTGGTGTTGCTTATAAATTCTAATTGATGGTAGGACCCTCTTCATTTAAAAGATTCCTCTTAATTTGTAAAAGGGTTCTTATGAATTTTAGTGGGGTTCCTCATAAATTGAATAGGATTCTAATTCATCATAACAAGATTAAGAGAAATATTAATAGGATTCCTATTTAGATTTAATGGAATTCTCACATTCCCGTGAATTCAAAAAGGGTCCCTTCTCATTTTCACAGGCTCCCTACTATTCTTCATGGGGGCCCTATTATTTTTCTACATTTTAATAGCATTCTCATGACGTTTGATAGGGAGTTCCTCTGACTCAAATATGATTCCAAGTCATTATTCCTATTGATTCAATAAAGAGTCTTATTAATCTTAATAGGGTTCGTATGAATTTCATAGGGTTTTCGTTCAATTAAGAGGGTTCTGATTGAATTCATAGCTATGACTAAGTATGGATTTCTTACTCCGACACGGCCTCACGGTGGGTCATGGGGGGGGGGGTGTGAGCACATATATATATATATATATAATTATCTCTGTGGCTTTTGCTTATGTATATATATATGTATATATTCATACTGTCTTCATAAAGGGCCGAGGTGCCCAGGTAGACTTCAATGCCTGGAGGATGCAAGGTCAGAGCTTCTTCAAACGGGCGTGGAGCGCCAAGGAACTGACCCGAAGCCTTACGCCCAGAAGCCCAACTGCCGAAAGCTCTGTGAACTCCCAAACTTGAATAAAAGTTCACGCTTCAAGGTTTAGGGCTTAGGGTTTAGGGTTTAGGGTTTAGGCTTTAGGGTCCAAGCCCTCAGAGGTCGTTTGCAAGCCTCTGAGGCTCGCCATCGAGATGTTGCAGCGGGATGGCTCCATCTTAGGGGACCTGCCCCAGGAGACCGGAGTGTTCATGTTTTCATGGGTTTAGGGTTTAGGGTTTAGGGTTTAGGGTTTAGGGTTTAGGGTTTAGGGTTTAGGGTGCTATTCTTGTGTTATGTTACTACTCATTATGTGAATCTAGTAATATAGGAATAGAATACTACACTAGTCTAATATTAGGCGACTATATTTCTTGTGAAGCCTGTCAAGGTCGTTCAAGACAGTTCACGGCTCTGGGCTTCAGGGCTCCGAAGCTGGTGGTTCAGGGTTTAGGGTTCAGGGTTTGTGGGGCTTTTAGGGTTGGGTTCAGGGTTTAGGGTTCAGGGTTTGTGGGGCTTATAGGGTTGGGTTCAGGGTTTAGGGTTTAAGATTTAGGGATTCCCCCCCCCCTCCCCCAGGTATGTAAACAAATTGCCCAATACCCATAAGAAGGACCATTGTTTTACATATATGGGCGGGGGGGAGTCGGGTAACTCCCGAAGGGCCCTGCCCCCACTTCCCCCCCACATCCTGGACCACCGAACCCTGAACCCTAAACCCAAAACTCTACACCCTAAACCCTAAACCTTTACACCCGCAGAAAATCGCACAGGAGCTCCGATGCGATCGGGACCCGTCTGAGGGGAGAGGGACATGTCCGTGATTGCGCATCAGTCTGAAGCCCTATCTGGGGCGAGGGTTTAAGGTCCCAAACCCTGCTTCTTCAGGTGGGTTCCCCCGCTTGTGTTTGTTTCGGCGGTTGGGGGTGCTCGCCGTGCTCTTGGGTTCAGGATTAGCAAAGCTACGGACTGAAGCCTTTGAACATTTTAAACCTCTAAGCCCTACGGGGCCAGCATCTCCTGCCAATGAAGCCCCAACTTCGGCACCTTGGGATGTTCCCCCTTATACTAGCAGTCGTTAATAGACTATCATAGCGGGTACTAGAATCCCTATGAAGGCCTGTTAGTACGAGGGGGAACATCCCAATCGACACCCCAAAACTAGAGTATGCAGCTGCAGGAAGTGGTGGCGGCGGCCGTGGCACAGGATGGGCGCTCCATCATGCTCGGGTCTCAGCTTGGGTTTCAGGGCTTCGGGTTTTGGAGTGTTGTTTCAGAGTACGCTGGGTGGTCGAGGGATCAAGACTTCTTTGAACTTGCGCGACATTGGGGCACTACTTGGAGGTTCATGGGCAGCATCATGGGCAGTTAAAAGTAGCGTTACGTTACAAGTATGGGAACTATGCTTAC